GTCTTTTATCTTTAATAATAATGGTTATATAATAAGTTGCATTTAAGGTTTTATAGTTAGGTTTTCTACTTATAAGAATTGCATTTCCTTATTATTATTTTAATAATATAATTAAATAATTATTAACTTAAACATTACGATTTTATTTAATATATTTAAGGTTATATTATGGTTATTCATAGTAATAACTTTATATAAACCCTTTTATCTTTTTCTTTCTTTTTATATATAAACTTTGCATTATAATAAGTATTTTATATTAAAGATAGATTTAATCTTAATGTTTAATGCATTTTATATTTGCTATTTAGCTATAGTTTTTTACAGCATCTTTATAACCTTTAAAATAGCTTTTACTTACTTTTATATTAATAATAATAATAGTAATTTATGCAATACTTATAAATAGGTGCTAAAAACTAAGAGCGTAAAAACTAGTTTATTTAATTTAATAATATTATTAATAGCTTTTATAATTATTTATAAGATAGCATTATTATTTACGCTATTATATAATTTAATATATAGGATTTTATATACTTATTTAAAGGCTTAATAATATCTTTTAACTTTCTTAATAAATTAATATACTTTTATAAAAACTTATTTATATTTAATTTCCATTATTTATGCCTTTAAATAAAATTTTAAGAATATAAAGTTTATTCCCATATTATATTTAATAATATTTAGTAATTCTTAATATATATTAATTTAAAGCATTTATAGTGTTTATTATGCAATTTTTATAAATATAAATTTTAAGAATTTCGCTCTTTAAAAAGCAATAACCCAATCCATAATATAAAGGACTAAGCGTTTGCTTAAATATATTATATTAACTAAGATTTCATAGTTAAATTTACAATTATTGCATAATATAAACTTAAAATACTTAAATATAAGTTTATTTATTTAATAATAATAATATATCTTCTTAATTTTTATTATTACTTATTTATTAATATTTAAATTGCCGGCTTTTTTAAGTATCCGGCATAGTTAATCTATTAATAGGTATTTAAAGCAATAGTAAAGTCTCCTTATTTTTATCTTTAAAAGGAAATATATAGCATTAATAATTTAATTTAAGAAAAACTATAAGTAACCTTATTTTTTAAGTATTAATATAATAATTGCATTATTAAAGGAAACTATTTTATTTATAATATTATTATAATATACTTAAAGCTTATTTATATTTATTAAGTAAAGCAAGAATAAGGTTTATACTTAAATAATATAGAAATTAATATAATTAATTAAGGTGGAAATCTTTATTATATTAAGTAAATTAATAATTATTTTATTATTAAATTTAACTTTAGCTTTTTTTATGATAATTATATTAATTTAATACTTTAGGTTTTTTTATTGCAATATAAGGAATTGCTTATATCCAGCTATAAATATTAATAATGCTCTTATATTTGGCAGGATTCCTTAAAAATAAGTTTAATTATATTTATTCTTTAAAATAAATTAGCTAGCTATAATAATTATCTTTATTTAAAAAACATTATCTTTAATAATTTAATATATAAATGCTTTATTAGCTAGGAAATTAATATTTATATAATAAACTTTTTTATTAAGTCTTACTTTTATAATATAAGTATTATTATTATAATTATTATCTTAATTTTATTTATCTTTATATTTATAAAATTTATCTTTATTATTTATCTTATATTTCTTTAACTTACTTAAAAAAGTATTAAAGTTATTATTATAATCTTTATATTTACATTATATTAAGTAGCTTCTTCTTATTAAATATTGCTTATTAGTTAAATATTTAATTAATTAGCATTTCTTCTTTTTATAAATATAATATTTTTTCTTTTAAGGTTATTTTTTTCCTCCTTTTTTATAAATATTATTACTTTAAGCTTTATCGCTAATATTATAAGATTTTAGTTATTTAAAGCTTAAATAGCTTAAGTTTAATTAGCTAAATCTTTAATTTCCTTAAAATGCCTAAGATTATAATTATTATTCTCCCCTTAGCTTTTAGCTATTATATTTACAATTAATATAATATTAATTTAGGATTTTATTTATAATATAAATTATAATTACGCAATTAAGTTATATTTTTATTATAAATCTTAGGTTTAAAAATAATTCTTTATATAATTAAGTTAATTTAAAAAGAATTATTTTTAGCTTAAAAACTCCTTTATAAGCTTTAATTATTATTATTCTTAAGTTATCCTTTTTAATACAATCTTAACTTAATACTTATTAATAAAGTTATAGCTTATTAAGCATTAAATATAAAACCTTATATAAGTTTTTATTTAAGTTTTATGTTTTTATTTTTATAAATATTATTATTATTTAATTTATATAATAATGTTAATAATTAAGGTTTATATTAAAATGCATTTTAATTTTAAGGTATGTTATTATAAATATATTAGTTTAATTTATAAAATAAAGGTAATAAGCCTTAGCTTAGTTTTTAAGTATTTAGGGAAAAACTATATAAAATTAATTTACCTGGATTTTAATATAATAGTAAATATTAAAAAATATCTTTATTTTATTATTTAGCAGGTTATATAGATTTTTAATATACTTATGAAAATTATTAAAGGTTTTTATAAATTGTATTAACTTTATTAAATTTAAGTATTTATTAAAAATATATTATAGGGGAAGAGTTTTATATAAGTTATATTTTTTATTTAATAAAGATATTTTTAAGGTAGCTTAAGGTTGTATTAAGTATAATATATATTTTTAATATAAGCTTTGTTTCTATTTTTCCGTTAATAATAATAAGCCTTGCTAGCCATATTAGTTTTTAATAAATTATATTATTAAGTTTAAGTTTTATAATTACGCATTTAAAGCTAATGGCGATAATAAAAGTTATTTTAAGGATTATCTTCTTGATAATTATTATTATTTAAAGCTTATCCATAATTTTCATAAGGGTTATGCTTATAATTGCTATTTTTAAAGTTATATATAATATTTATTTATACTTAATTTTAAGGTTAATAAGGTATTATAAAGCTTATTATTAATTTATTTCAATCTTTCCTTAGCTTAAGCTATAGCAATTAATTATAATATTATAAGTTAATTATTATATTTTATATAAATGCCTTGCATTTAAAGAAAGACTTTTAAATATTATTAGCAAGGATTTAATAATGCTTTAAATATTGCTTATATTTACGCTATATAGTTTTTGCAATAAGTAATGAAAAGGTTGTTATTATAAAGATTTTATTATATATAGCTTATTAAAGTACTTATTAAGTAAGTAATTAAGTATTTTAATAATATTTTTTATATAAAGGCTATAAACTATAATTTTAAATTAATATATTTATAATAAGCTAGGTTAATTAAAGTTTAAGTAAGCATTTTATTAATTATATACCCTTTGATAAAAGCTAATGGCTTTTTAACATTATTAATTATGCTTATAAGTTTTTATAATAAATATTATAAGGAGTAAAATTAATAAAATAAAGAAATATTAATAAAATAGGTAATATTTAAAAGTAAGTTAATAATAATAATTTAATAATAAGCAAGTTATAGTTATTAAAAGAAAGAAGTTATTAATTCTTTTAAGCCTTAAAAGCTAAGGCTTTTTCCTATTATTAAGTCCTTTTATATTAATTAAAAGCGTAATGTATAACTTATGCTTACTTATAATATAGCGTTGCATTAGCTTTAGTAATTATAATAATTATAAGCTTTATTTATTAATAAAATAAAGCTTTATTAAGTTTTATTAGGTTTTAAAGAAAAGTTAAAGATAAATTTGTTTTTAATAAAGTCTTATGTATAATAAATATATATCTTTTAAATAGCGATGAATATATATATAGATATTGCAGGGAATGCTACTTAATCTATTTAATCTTTGCAATATTTGCTTAAGGAGTTTAATAATATAGGGAGGCTTAAAAAAGCAGTTATTGCTATATAGCGCTTATTAATAAGGAGGATATAATTTCGGGTTAGGGAAATCCTTATGGGGTTGCCTCTTCTACCTTATTGATTTGTAGTGCCTATAACCACTGATTAGTGTTGGTAGGTTTCTCGTATGGGAAGCAATCGTGTATTGGTATTGTTTTATCTAAGTTCTAAGAGGCTACGTGCCCCGGAGGGGATAACTAAAGTAGCTTTCTAAGTGCGAGGGTCGTACTTGCCAACAGCGTATGAAGAATCTCAAGGTCTCGGTTAGGAAAGTGTGCTTGAGACGCCTAATTACAATGCTACAGAACCCAAAGTTGTATAAAACCCGACCATTTGGATATGGGGCTTTTCCGGTAGGACGGTATCATCCGGGGAGAACCACTAAAGTTCTGTGGGAAAACATGGAGGGCGTGTAGGTAATGATGACCCGACCTGTAAGCTCTACCGTCTTCAATTGCCTGGGTGAGCCGGGCTTTCCTTGAGCCAGTTTAACAGTACACCAACATCTCGTAAGTGTCGGGGAAAACCAAAGCAAGCCTCCGCATCCATTGGCATGTCCGAGGCCAGGCTGCCTTGTGCTCGCGGTGAAGAGAAGCTCGCCAGTCGACCCAGTAGAGTACGCACTGGTGCCCGATGAAACCGTGACTGGTGACATCCCCTTCCAGGAGTCAGATAAGTACTGAGTAGATTAGGTTCAAAGCATGGCCTCACTTCGTACGTGTGCATTACATAGTAAATAAATATTTGATCCACTTGTGTCCGAATTGATAGAAGAGGTTGGGGGACACGATCCAGCAGCAAATGTGTCTACTGGATACAGAATTTATTAGTTAATATACGCCAAGACTTGATCAGAACTTTGCCCGACTCTTTAGTCTCACTATCTCTCGAAGTCTTGCACAGTCATCGTGGGCTTTTCACAACAAGGCACACGTCAATAGCTCTAGAACAGTTTGTATTTCTGGGTTCTTGGATCCCGTCTACAGCCTGTAGGAACTTTTTGCGACTCTATGTCAAATGCGTCTACCTAACACCCGGCAAGACCCACACATTTACAAGAAGACCTCCAGGTTGAACTCCAATGCCGACACGGGGTATCTGTCTCTTATTAGTTGACTGAAAACTGATCGAAAGTGTTTCACACTCACCTGATGTCAAAGGCCTCCAGCACAGTTGGGTCAAGAATGCCGAAATGGCCGATCTTCTGGGTCTTTCCATCGAGTCGGAGATAAATAGAGGCGGCATGGCCGTGGAAGAAAGTGGGTTCGTCAGTCTCCTCAATCCAGTACCCGTCTTGTTTCGAGGGCTCCTGGACGACCTGGAAGTCAATGCTCTTTCCCTGCAGAGCCTCCTCGTGTGTCAGGAAGGCCGTCCGCAGCATGAGCAACTGGCGGTCCAGCAGGCCGTGCACCTCCTCAAATCCAGACGTCTTGCCGCAGAAGCAGGCCGCGAAATTCCTCTGGTTGCGGGCCTTGCGCTCTTCAGCCTCGTCCTTGAAGGCCACATCCGAACACTCGAAGATCTTGATCGGCAAAGCCTTGCCCTTGTTCTCTCGGATTGTCTTGAGGAGACCGGGAAGCAGTGACGTACGGACCACTTGGTACTCTGCTGTCTTGGGGTTGGCAAGCCGTATTGCCTTTCCGTCATCTTTCCTGTTCAGGTACGTGTAGTTCTCGTCATAGGAACAAAGAATGAGTGGCAAGACCTCCGTCCACCCTGCGAAAGCCGCTTCGAAACGCACAATGTCGGCCAGCTTCTGAATCTTAGTTGATGAACCAACCGTTGCCGACTTGTGGGGTGATGATCTTGGAAGGTTGTTGTAACCATAGCAGATGGCGAGGTCTTCCATCACATCGCACTGATGAAGCACATCTGCTCTTGTTGGAGGTACAGAGACTTCTATCAAATTCTTGTCCTTGCTGGACGGTTTTGCGGCATATGCCATTTTGGTCAGCAACTGACATATGCTCTCTGGGGTCTCGTCCAGGCCGGTGCAGCTCTTGAGGTAATCCACCTCTGTCTCGATGACTTTCGGGGTGAGATCTGGGAAAATGCGTGTCCGTGCGTCGTCATACTCGTAAATGACCTTGACTGGCTCAATTGTGAAAGGCTCGGCGCAATACATGGAGAACATGGTCACCATCATGTTCGTAACAATCTCCAGCTTCGTCTCGTCAGTTGCGGTGAGATCGATGAAGACGTTCTTGGTCTTGGATGAGATCTTGGAGTGTTCGCCGTTGATGATTGGGGGCATAGACAGCACGACGTTGTTCGCATCCAGCATCACTGGGTAGACGGGGGCATCCTTGATGATGTGAAGGTATTTCCCGAGATGCTTGTCCTTTTCGTAGAAATCCATGAGTTCGGTAGCCGTCATGGACTTCTGTTGGTTCAAGGGCGTGAACTTGATATCATTTGGTGGCAGGGCATCGTACACAAAGGGGCCCTGGACCGTGTCGAGATCGTGCGTTCCGATGGCCACGAGCGTCCGTTGACGGGCCAGGTTCATGTGCAGCTTGTCCTGCAGCGCAATGAAGGATTCATAGCTCTGCTGGGTGAAGTTGATGTTCCTGAGAATGGCGCCTGCAGCGTAGGGACGGACTTTCTGCGTATCGGACTTGATCGTCAGGGTTTGTACATTGCCGTCCTTGGGCTCGACCAGTCGGTAGTTCGGGATGGGGGATTTTTGGCGGAAGATATTGAGCATCAGCTGGATGCCTTCGAAACACAGCATGTCGTAGCGATTGGCCTGCATGAACGGTCGGTCAGTCTCGGGGTTGGCCAGGCGCCGTGGATCGTGGGGGCAGCTATACCGGAATCTCTAGACTCGTCGTTAGAAACCGTGCTTCGCAAAATGATCGTTATTTCAGGACTGACCGATTTTCAGCTCCGGAGGCACGCCCTCCGGACGCTCGTCCTCTTCGGTGTCTTCATCGAGCTCAATTCCAAAGTCGAAGCATAGGTCCTCGAACTCCTCCTTGGTGAACCTGCCAGACCCTGGTGTAAGCTATGTGTCTTTAGGTTGGAGGGGCGCCAGTAGGCGGAGGAACTGCGAGCTCACTTCTGACCAAGGGCCTCGTAAAGGGCGTACTTGTCGACTGCAATGGTAGGCATGCTGGCGGGCGTGTATGCGACCAGTACGCTGGTCAGAGTGAGGGTGTGTGGTGACAAGGGAAAGCGAGAGTTGCGGACTGATCGAAGCGTCGCGAAATTCCTATGCAACCAACTTGCCTGAAGTTGAGTCAGAGGCGCGGGCAGGTCCTCGAATTTTGGAGGGGTGCTTGCTGCAAGTCAACGACCCTGGTCCCCCCCTTCCCGGTGACTCCCCACCACCATCCAGAATCAGGGGCCATTCATACTCCTAACCCTGGCTACATACATGCTTCCTAGAAGTGCTTGCGACGAGGGAGATTATCCAGTACAATTCCGCAAAAATGGTTCCTCGCAAAACGCATGTAAGATCTCAAGCGCATATTCATCTGAACTACCTGACTCGAGGCACTAGGCTTTTCGAAATATTCCGCTGTCCGCTGGCCCACTGTGACCTGAAGAGGTCGAGCTGGCTACGCCATCATTTGGGGTCCAGGCCAGAGCCTCACTGTGGTATTGCACGGAGTACATTCTGCCACCTGCAGGGTCCCAAGAAGTGGACAAAGAAGGGAGGAGTTGCGAATATCGTCGTCCATGGATGGCCACAGTCGAGCGTATAAACCCCGGGCGTTACTGTATCTCCCAGAGACGGCCTCTGCGAAGAGCAGTCTTGCCATCGAGATTTGTATGAAGTACCTGATCTACTCCGTGCCGAGTGATCTTCCTAGGGTATCAGTACCGAATGCTCAATGAACCATACGGCCTTGTCACTTTTGCTTGGATATCGAATTGGCTTTGATGGCGGACAAGAGACAACATAGACTTCGGCCAGTTACGTGCCTCAGAGACAGCCCAAGATCTCGTGCACGCAAACATAATGTAGCAACAGCGACTCTGCATTGGTGGCGGATAGTGGAGGGGGCTGGCCATGTAGAGTACTTCCGTCTCGCGGAAGAGTATGGTGTGTGTGCATGTACCCGCCTCCTTGTTGTGTAGAATTGCTAGCCTGCCCCGGTTTCCCTGACGAGACTGACTGACTGCCTGCGAGGGAGGGGGGAGGGAGCGGCCAGCTGCCACCTTGGAGGGCCTGCCCACAGTGCACCAGTGACCAGTTGCTGGCTGCACAACAATGCCATCAATCACAGAGAGCTCCCCCCTTCATCAAACCTGACTTCATCCCACCACCCCCTAAAAGCTCCCGTATCACCACCACGACGTCCACAGAAGCCATCGCCCGGCCTCCGTATCACGATCCCGAACCACCACCCCGATCTAGTCTGATTTTTTTCGGGCTCGACAACGGCAGCAAGCCCACAGCACCGATCCAAGGAAGCCTTGGGAACTGCCTCGCTCGGGCAGATTGAGGCGACGCCGTCAGGACAGGAATCAGCTGCAAAAGTCGGTAGCTTAATTACATCACCCCTCGCACGCGATCAGGCCCTCCTCGCGCTCACACTCAGCAGTCCCCCAATATTCATCCCACTGTCCTTCGACCACCCGGCCAGCACTGCCATTGCCTAAATCGCTCGTCATGGCTGACGCGCCGAATGCGAATGATGAGCTCTACCCCATCGCCGTGCTCATCGACGAGCTCAAGGTACGCCGCGGCCCTCACCCCACCCACATGCTGCCCATCCACACTCTCGCATCCAGCTGATCCAAGACGTAGCACGACGATGTAATCCTCCGTCTCAATGCAATCCGACGCCTCTCCACCATCGCCCTGGCCTTGGGCGCCGAGCGCACTCGGGAGGAATTGATTCCCTTCCTCGATGGTCTGCGCCCTCTCCCCAACGCACGCACTTGGACAGCCCCTCTAACACCAGTACAGAGTCTGTCGAGGATGAGGACGAGGTCTTAGTTGCGCTGAGCGAGGAGCTCGGCAACTTCATCGAGTATGTCGGCGGACCTCAATGGGGTCACGTCCTGCTGTCTCCCCTGGAGAACCTCGCTGCAATCGAGGAGCCCGTCGTCCGAGACAAGGTTGGTTCATGTCCTCATGGGCAGCGTGCGCTCTGACACTAACGAACGTCACAGGCCGTCGAGTCTCTCAACAAAATCTGCGCCGATCTCTCCACGCAGCAAGTCGAAGAATACTTCATCCCCTTAACGATCCGACTCTCCAAAGCCGACTGGTTCACGTCAAAGGTGTCGGGATGCGGGCTCTACACCAGTCCCTACCAGAAGGTGTCACCACCTATGCAGCAACAACTTCGCCAGCAGTTTGGGCAGCTCGTCCACGACGAAACCCCCATGGTGCGCCGCCAGGCCGCCACCAATCTCTCAAAGTTCGTGAAAGAGATGCCAGCTTCGATTGTTGTGGAGGAAATGATACCCATGTTTCAACATCTTGCGCAGGACGACCAGGACAGCGTGCGCCTGTTGACAGTTGAGGTGCTTATTGCCGTTGCCGAAGTCGTTCCCAAGGAACAACAGTCAAGTCACGGCGTCCTGCTCACCTCTCTTCGGAGCCTCATAGAAGACAAGAGCTGGCGGGTCAGGTACATGATTGCAGATCGGTTTGAGAAGGTGTGTTCATTGTGCTGCATTATGCTGCCCGTGATGGTTGCTGACTCTCGGTTAGATCGCCAAAGCAGTCGATGAGGAGGTTGTAGCAAGGGACCTGGTGCCGTCATTTGTGAAGCTTCTCAAGGACAATGAGGCTGAGGTGCGGACGGCAATCGCAGGACAGATCCCAGGATTCTGTGCTCTAGTTGAGCGGACAACCTTGCTCAACGATATCATGGGCAGCGTTGAGGATTTGGTCTCCGACAGCTCTCAGCATGTCCGTGCCGCTCTTGGTACTCAGATCAGTGGGCTCGCCCCCATACTGGGCAAGCAAGAGTACGTTCACTGAGAAGCCCGCCTGCTGCGTTGGTGCGATGCTGACTGAAACTTCAGGACCATTGATCATCTCTTGCCCATGTTCCTCCAGATGCTCAAGGATGAGTTTCCCGAGGTTCGCCTTCATATCATTTCGAAGCTTGAACTCGTCAACCAAGGTAAGTAGCCCACACCTAGGTTTTCTGACTCGGCGCTAAGATCCATAGTCATCGGAATTGATCTTCTGTCACAATCGCTGCTACCTGCAATTGTGCAGCTAGCTGAGGACAAGCAATGGCGTGTCCGCTTGGCTATTATCGAGTACATCCCGTTGCTGGCGAGCCAGCTGGGTGTTAAGTTCTTCGACGAGAAGCTGAGTGCCCTCTGTATGGGCTGGCTGGGTGACACCGTCTTCTCCATTCGTGAGGCGGCAACACACAATCTGAAGAAGCTGACAGAGGTCTTTGGCGTCGATTGGGCGAGCGAGGCAATTATTCCCAAGGTGATGGCTATGGGCAATCACCCGAATTATCTCTACAGAATGACGACCTGTTTCGCCATTACGGTATGTGCTAGAGCCTCAATCATTGAATCCCTGTCCTTGGCTAACTCCTTGGCTAACATTGTTCCAGACACTGGCAACTGTTGTGAGCATGGATGTCATTGCCAAGTCAATCCTGCCCATGCTTGACAAGCTGGTTGTGGACGACATTCCCAACATCCGGTTCAACGTCGCGAAGACGTATGCGGTGCTCATCGATGTCCTCCAACGCCTGCCCGACGAGGGTACCGTCTACCAGCTCGAGAAGTCTGGAGAGACGAAGACACCGTCTCCACAGGGCCAGGAGCTTATCCAGTCAAAGGTGATTCCGAGTCTGGAAAAGCTGCAGAAGGACGACGATGTGGATGTCCGTTATTTCGCCACGACAGCCGCCGCGGTCGTGACAGGGTCAGGAGGGGAGCCTATGAACACCTCTCCTTAGAATGGAGATGACTCTGCTGGATCGACCAATGGCGTGAGGCCGATGCCGCTCACGTCTTGACGCTTTTCGCAGAGGGACCATTCCGCTCGATGCGAGTCTGGCCGTTGATTTCACCTACCCCCTGATCATACACAGCGTTTCACCCACGGGAAATCCAAAAAAATACACTATTAGAAGACGGGACAAGGCATAAAGGAGCATCAACGATTCCCCAAAGTATACGCTTTGCGGTCTTTTGCAGGCCTCCGAACCCCATTGGGCTTCAAGTGGATAGCAGCAGGGCAGGCTGTGCGGGTGGACTGTGCAAGAGCCTTGGCCTTGAATAATGTAGGACTACCCTGGAGCCTCGAGCCCGAACAGAGGAAGGAAGAGACCCCATTTAGCACACTTAGCACGTCGATGAATTACGCACGTATCGTACAAGATCCACAATGCCTCCCTTTTATATCGCTCGTCGTTGGGTATCTAAGTTAGGTCTACTGCGCCAGCCAAAGCTGTGATATTTGCACGTGAAGGGACGCCCGCCCATGCAGCCCTCACCTCTTCTGAAAGCACAGCGTGCTGATGGTCTGCCCCTTAACCCCACCGAAGCTGAAGCTCGGGTACTCGACCCTGCCAACCCGCACAAAGGAGCCGCCGCCCTCGACGTCCGCGCTGCCCTCGCCGAACCAGCCCTGGAGCTCGGCCTCGGTCCAGTTGCAGCTGGTGACGAGGAACAGCCCACCCGGCCGCACGAGGCGCACCACGCGTGCCTTGTAGCCCTCACTTACGCGGCGCCCGCGAGCGTCGGCCTCGTCGCTCAGCGAGACGGCATCGAACGTGCCCTTGTCGTGCACGATGTCCCACCCTCCCCCCTGCGCCTGGCTAAGCACGACGCCGTAGTCGCCCCGCAGCACGTCCCACTCGGCGAACTCGACCTCGTCGTCGCCCGCCACGGCGCCCGACCCGGCGATCTGCCGCGCCAGCGCCACGCTCTCGCCGCTGTAGTCCACGCCCAGGCAGCGGCCGCGCCAGCCCTCCTCCCGCAGGGCGAACAGCAGCGAGCCGTTGCCGCAGCCCAGGTCCAGGAAGGACGTCGAATGCCGGTCCAGTGCGACCGCTGGTCCTTCTGTTGATGTTTCTTCTCCCTCCGCCAGGCCCTCGAGGAACTGGAGCAGCTTCGCCTCGGCGTCCGAGTCGTCGAACCAGACCGTGCCGCGGTCGGCGGGGTCGGAGGCGTTGTTGACGAGCTCGCGCTTGTAGAGGTTGTCCCAGCTGTTTTTAGTTCGCGGGGGAGGCCGCCTCCTGTCAGCCTGCGGGACGTGTTGTGTGTGATGTAGGAGGAGTTGTTGTTCTGGAAGTTTTTTTTTTTTTGGGGGGGGGGGGGGAGTGCGCAGGAGCGGGCTAATCGGGGAAAAGGAGTCTGCGCAACTTACTATTCCTTGGTCCCTAATTCGGACGGCTCCAGGTGGTTTGGTTTGGAGGTGTTATCGTCTGCCATTTCTCTTATGACTTCCCTGTAAATGGCCCGGGTGAGTGGTTATGTACGTCCAAGGCGGGATATCATGGGACGAAGAGCAACATTATTCTGCCGCTACCGTTAAGGTGTGCAAGCTGCAGCTGGCGCAACTCAATGATGGCGGGGCACATCCGAGAAAGGCAGGCGGTGATATCACATACAAGGATGGCTGCTCGAGACTCTGTGAAGGTTGATGAGAGAGCGAAGAGCTTTGGGCCGCTCTCTTTCCACGCAACGGCACTTGGGTAGCCCGTTAAGCTAAGAAAATACATAGACTCCTCAAAGATTCATCACATTTACCAAAGAAGTAAAAAATAAGACCAAGGCCAGGACTGCTGGAGCTTGTGTCTACTTGTAATTTATCGTCATCGAATTTTGGTCAAAGATACGTGGAGTGTCTCCTCCACCATTTCTGTGTGTACAACAAGGAGCTGACCAAGGGGATACTTGTCCCTGGCCAGCAAGATAGAGGCTTTTTGCCTTGTCCCTGAGGCCAGAAGAGAGGTCGACCAGCTGCCTGTGATGAACATCTTGTCGCCTTGGCCTTTTTCTCTGACCGTAGCTTCCAAGACTTCCCCATCTTGTTCCACGTGCCAAGCACAAGGACACTCTTACGGACACAAGAAACCGTACACTTTGAGACCATGCTGCCGTTGTTGCGCACGAGTATCGTCTCCAAAGGTACTGCCTGGTCTTTTGTATCTCTGCAAAGAGCCCTTAGGTCCTCTCATCGGGGGGACCTTCAACCCAACGTCCACACGGGCGCCTTGACGAGCACCTGCCGTCCCCGGACCTCGACGGCAAGGAAGCCGGCGAATCGCACCTTGTTGCTATCCTTTGGAGGTAGAGCTAATGTCGTTGTCGAGTCAGTACCTGTGATCGAGGGCGCAGTCGAGAGTTTGCGACCAGATGGCTGTTGAGAAACCGAAGCCACGCTGCCCTTGCGGCTGCTGCTGCCAGGAACAAGCACCGACGGGGCGTTGCTGAGTAGACTTGAAAGAGTTGAACTTGCTGACATACCGGCTCTGGACTTGCTGCTGCGCTCTTTGCTGCTGCTCTTCTCACCGCCGCTGTCCTTGCCATTTTCTTCTCTCGAATCCGCATCTCCGTCGCTATCGGGCGGCCTTGTCTCGATCGGCGGGAGCGGCGCCTTCTCAACCTCCATGATGTTCGGTTGTAGGTTATCCTGTGGTAGCGGGTAAATGATTGCCACATCGCGACTCTCCATCGGCAGGTTTGCTGCTATGCCAACGGCGAGCTCCACGATCATGCTTGCGCTTCCATCAACACCGGCCGGAGGAGGCTCTGTGAGATGCTGGAAGAGATATGCAGTTAGATTTGACGTGGCTTTTCGGATGAAGTCTTGGCGGTGCTCAGAACTCTCTGCCGATTGTAGAATGTGGTGCAGGCCGTCCAGCGTCGTCATCCTCCAGCTCACGACCTTTGATGTCAATGCGTCATGCTCCTCCTGACTGGTCATCGTATAGTTGCCACGGCGAATGTTCTGCTCGATTTCTTTCAGTTGCCTGCTGAGTTCTGGGTCTAGCCCGGGGTGGAAACAGCCATGGAATATTTCCTCGACAATCCATCTTGTGATGACAGCGCGGCCGAGTGCAGTCATCTCTTGCTTGCCCGTCTTCAGAGCATCAGTGCTGACGTAGCTCTCCAGCCACGTTGGGACCGAAACCCAGTCCTTGCGAATGTTGAAGGACAAGTTGTTGATCGCCCCGTTCAACCTGTTGAACCTTGTCATGTACTCGTTGTCGTCCAGTGCGGTACGGGACTGGGTGATCCTCTGGTTGGCGACTGCATTCTGGAGCTGCTCCACCTGACCATTGAGTTGCTCGATTTGGGTCTTGCCGTCGAAATACAAGCGCTTAACATTTTTGTACTTTGTCACTGCAGAATGAAATGTTAGGGTCTTAAACCAATTCGGCATATCACAGGTGGGAAAGGCTTACGCAGATCTTTAAAGGCCTTCTCGGGGTCTTCTGATGGCTGCGGGCTGTTGCGACCTTGCTCTGCAGCCCCATCGAACTGCTGCTGCTGCTGCTGCCGGTCTTGAATAGTGCTCTGACGAAAGCTGGGGTTCGCGCCTGACGCGCCTTGAGGGGCTTGTGGAGCCGAAGGCAGGTTGTTCATACTGTTGGACGGTTGCTGACTGTGCCTGTAGCCAGGTGGGGGCCCCGGGGGGATATCGCCGCGGAGACTCTTTTCGGTTTCCTGAGACCGTCTTGTCTGGGGCGGCCCTCCTTGTGGAGCCATACCCTGTTGGCTGTGGTGCTCCTGCTGCTGGCCGTCCGACGACGACTGCTGCTGTAGCTGCTGGTTGTGTGGCTGCAGCGAAGTTGAACGGGAAGGGAAGTCTTGGGCGTGGGCCGAGTACCTCACAGCAGGGGAGGTCGTCGTGGACTGGACGTTGGAAGAAAGGAGGTGGTCAGCGTCTGTAGCGGGCGACTCATGCGACAGCTGAGATATTGTCTCTGGATTGCGGTGCTGTTCGGCACCAAGGTGGCCAGAGTACGCAAGCTGGCTCCCTTCGGTCTGTACCTGCCTCTGGGGGGAGTGGGATATGAACTGGTACTGTCGAGTGGCTGGATCGAAGGCGACCTGACCGAGTTGCTGTTGTTGGTCGGGTGTCAGCTGGGTCTGGATGTGGATCTGGCCGTGCGGGTGAATGAAACCGCCCTCGTCTGAATACGGCGAGGTATCCTGGTTGGTAGGGGACTCGACGAAGGGTGGGCAGCTGGAACTCGTGAGGGTTCTGCAGTTGTGAAGTTGTGGTCAGTCAGGCGTGCGCTCCTCCCCATCATCCAGGTGAAGACCGAGACAAGATTATGCTTACATTTTGCAGGGGCGACGGTTGGGTCTGGGGCGCCTGGGACTGCCAGTCGGCGGGCTGCTGGTCGAGGGAGACCTGAGACGGGCCGGTCCGTAGCGCCGGTGGGTTGCTGATGCGCTTGGATGGGCGACGAGCAAGGCCGGCGGTGTTGTCGTAGGCGTGCTGGGACTGGGAGTGGGAGGGGTGGTGGTGGGGGGTGTACTCGGGGCGGGCCTGGTCAGCCTTATTGAGATTGGGAGCGCCGGCGAGGATGTTCTTGATCAATCGGCGGGTGGAGCGCCGGGACTCGACGGGGGCCGGGGCCTGCTGCTGGTGTTGCTGCTGCTGGTGTTGCTGGAGCTGCTGGAGCTGTTGCTGGTGGTGATGCTGGTGGTGGTAAGCGAGGGGTGGTTGCGGGGGGGTGTAAGATTGTTTGGAGAGGTCTTCGAAGGAGGAGCCGAAGGAGGGGTTAGGCTGGACGGGGGTGGCTACTTGGTGATATCTCTGAGACTGCGATCTGGCAACAGCATCTGCAAATTCATGCGCAGCCTTGCGGACCCGCGCTTCGGGGACGGGGTTGGCGGTGTTGAGGGGTTGCAGCTGGTGCAGCTGGGTCTGGTGATGGGACGACGAGTTGTTTGGACCTGACGGCGAGGCGGTGGGAGCAGAGGAGTAGAGGTGAGATGCTGACGGCGGCAGAGGCGGTGGTTGGCTGGCAGCCCGCAGGTTCTGGACAAAGGATTCTGAGGTGGTGGTGGAGGGCCCCGAGGCTGAGGAGGGGCCTTGAGGTTGCACGCCGACCTGGTGGTGGGTTTGGGACTGGGACTGGGACTGGCCCTGAGACTGGGCTTGTTGACCGTGACCGGGTCCGGGTTGGGCGCCAGCAACGCCGGAAGGGGAAATGCCCTGGCCGGCAGCAGAGGCAGAGGCAGAGGCAGAGGCAGAGGCAGAGGCAGACGAGGCACCCCCAGCGGAATCCGTGCCAGCAGCAGCTTGGGAGGAGCCAGAAACGGCGGCGGGCCCAGCCGATTCAACCAGGTGTTGTTGAGATCGGTTGTTTGGTTTGGCGGAGCGACCGAAAGGCATTATCATAATAAAGGAAACGGGGCAGGGTGGGCGCCGGCAGAGACAGGCGGCCCTTTATTTAGGAACACTGGCTGCTTTTGGTCGTGCGTTGTTGCGTCGCAGTCAGTCGCAGTCGCGCAGTCGCAGGTGCCGCTTGCTGCTGCTTGCTGCTTCGGTTCTTGGGCTGCTGCTGCACTGCGCGCTCCGCCGTCCGAATTCCAGCCCAAGCACGCACACCTGGGCACAGAGGTCGAGCTCACCCCCAGCCCAAGGAGTGACGAGCAGGCCTGACCAGGCCGAGGCAAGGCAAGGCAAAGCAGGGCAGGGAAGGGCAGCACGACTCGAAGCAAGGCCCAGGATGACGGTTGTCACTGTCTTGTCACTCGCTCGCACCTCGCTCGCTCTCACTCGGCGGGAGATCCGAGCGCAGCGCGACGGACGGGCGGGATCTGGACGGGTCTTGCGTGTGAGGCTTAGATATGTGAGTGTGAGATAGGATGAAAGGAGAGAAGGCGAATGGGGAGGCAGGTCTGGCACTGGTGAGCTTCAAGGCCAGCACGGGACGGGACTGGGCTGAGGACAGGGCAGGATAGGATAGGATAGGATAGGATAGGATAGGATAGGATAGGATAGGATAGGATAGGATAGGATAGGATAGGATAGGATAGGTAAGTCAGGAACAGGACAGGGCAGGGTAGCAGGAGGAGGAATTGTGTGGTGATACCCGGTTTCTGCAGCCAGGCGTTCCCACCTTCTCACATCCGTGCCTGAAGCCTGAAGCCCGAGCATGCGCATGAGGATGGGAGTATGAGTATGGGCCTGCACCTGAGCAGGGCTGGGGTTTTGCCTGCACTGCGTGAGAACCGGCCGCGCCTGTTGGTGCTGATGGGGCCGGCTCTGCGCGGTGGGGAATCTCACCAGACACACAGCAGAGCAGCCGCAGGAAACTCAGTCAAGCTCGGAAGAGCTGGTCGGATGGGCGAGTGGGTGGATGGATGGGGAAAGCTACCTCAAGGTGGGAAGGGGAGTGGCGCCCCGCGGTTGTCCACAGAGGCGCCATGCCCGAAGAGGAGCACTTTTATTGCTCGGGGCAGTGCAGGACCATGAGGAAATCCCTCTGCAGCTCACCGGCAGGAGGCCAGGCCTCATCAGGACCTGCCCTGGGTGCCACCAGAGAGATGCATGTTCAATTGTCCAGCCTCAGCTGCCCGGGCTGCAAGTCCCCACTCGAGATACAGTACGCCAGCAATATAGTTGCCCTAGGTAGCATGTATGGTATGGTATGGCACGGTATGGCACGGTTTGGGCATGGTATGGGGCATGGGACGTGGGGCAGGGAACCGAAAACCGAAAACAGAACAATAATTAACATTGTCGTACCTTGGCTAACAGGTGGTATGTGCTGCTGCGATGGAACCCTCCTGCTGTGTTAGAAGCAAATCGATGTGTTTCATCTGGTGTATATGTCTTTTCGAGGAAACGTTGGACCAATGCAGGCTGATATGCACCAGCCAAGCCACAGGCAGGACTCGACAAAGAGTATACGTTGTGGGGCCGTGTGAGAAAACAACGCAGTGTACCACCAGACACTACTCCTGAAGCTGGAGGCAGTTGCTTGAGAAAATGTGTGGGTGTGCGCGTGCATGTGTTGGAGAGGAGTCAGCAGGGCGGGTCCAGGAAAGAGCCCGTTATCGCCATCGAAGAAGGATGGAAATTAAACATACACAGCATGGCATGGGCAGCAGAGTCAGCAACAGTCCAACCCCCCGCAGAGGATCCCCCACTTCCAAAGCCCATGCACTGCTCCGTCTCCGTCTCCTCGTCCTCGCCTCTGGCATGCCACCTCGACTGGCTCGATCAACACCCAACATGCATCTATCTCAACGCTCAAGCTAGGGTGTTGGTGAGCAACTGCTACCGTGCATGCCGTGTAAGCTGGTAGGCTACCTGATAGATCGTCGCCCCAGCGTCAATCTTCTCTTGTCTTGGTCTCGGCCCACGGATAGTCTACTTTACCTACCAGCTAGGTGGATAGGTAGTCTACTCACTGTACTTTCCATGGCCGCTGTGAATGTAGTCTACGGTAGGTATCCCGACCCCTGTTCGCGTCCGTCCATGCGCCCCCCGAAAGCCCTTGCCGCGTTCTGCCAGGGTCCTGTGGAAACTTTCCGCTTGCAGCGTTTATTATATGTATTCGGGGCTGTCAGGCCAGAGCTCCATTGTCTGTCCTGCAGGAGATGGCGACGGCCGCCTTGGGCGGGAACTATTCCGGGGCCATTAGTGCCTCTTCTAGTCAGGCTATATTGCAAATCCAAAATTTCTGGCAGTGAACCGAGCCCGGGGAGGGGCAGAGGAGAGAAGAGAGAGAGAGACTTGCCCCATCCACACGTGTGTGTGCCTCCATCGACGGGAAAAGCGCGCGTGGGAAGTGGGTTCCAACAGGGCATGCCTAGCGGTGGGACTGGGACCAGCGCCAACGCGGCCCCAACGGCCCCAGTAGAGCTGACGAGCTGACGAGCCGATTTGCGACGGCGGGTACTCAAACACACGAGGCTACAGTCATTTATTACTAGACTATTTACTGAATATGCGCGTGGTTGATGGTAGAGTGGCCCAAGCTCCCAAGGTCACATCGCATCACCCTCCCCCAAGTAACGTCACCAGTTCTCCATTGACTTCTTCTTCTCTCCCTTCTCCATCCCTCCCACGCCGCCGTCAACAAGGCACAGCACAGCATCTTGGACCCTGAGCTGAGCGTTGTTGTCACATATACGCCTGGGTGATGATCGCCAAGGGGCAATAATCAATCTGGGGGAGCACCGCCAGTCCCATGCCCAGTCGCTACCGGAATGCAACATTGCAAAGCCACCACCGTAGCCATTTCCTTGTCGTGGGGAGCTCTCTCTGTGCTTTGGCTCTGCTCTGCTGGGTCGGGTCCCATCCCATCCCCATCCCACCTCCCAGCACCACCCAAACCCTGTCCCTCAGCCCCGCCGCCTCTCTATATTTAGTACCTTCTAGGTCTTAGGGGACCTCCACACCACTACCACTCTTCTGTCCGCTGCATCGTCTCATGTCCTCCTGTGTGCACTGCCGCTCCGATGCTGGGTACTTCGTGCAGAATGCCGCGGAGGAAAAGTGTAGTGTCTAAGTGTGCCCCGAGACGCGGTGACACCCGGCCCAGTCGGCGTCGTCTCCCGTCCGCGCGATAATGCCTACTACCACCACGGCCGCCGTTTCCCTCGGCCCTACACACATGGCTCTCACATCAGGTACCTACAGAGTACTACTCCCCTTGATATTCCTCACCCATCATCTGTGCATAGGTGGTGAGACGAGGACTGCGTCAAAAGGTCATGTCGGATGACGTCTCCGGCGGGACGGGCATGCGAATATGCACACACACACACACACACACACACACACACACACACACAGTCTCGGCCCCCCCTTTATTGCCTATAGAACACTTGTTCCACCCGTATTACGGGGAGATAAGTGGCCAGAACCGGAGAACGGGACTCGCCCCAATATGACCACATTCACACACTCACTATGCCTGGCTCTTGTTTCTTACCGCACTATTTACTACACCTCACGATACGACACGGCCTCGGGGCCCCGGGGTGGCGGGGGGGGGAGGGTGAAGGAGGAGGAGGGGAATGGCTGCGCCGCACTTGAACATGAACTGCTCCCGACTAGGCCCGCGGCGGGTTTTCTAGGCATTGCTGAGTCGTGATAGTTGAGCATAGTCGAATCCGTCTCCAGGGGAGGGGCAACATACTTTTCACGCATTGGCGAGCTGACCGTTGGCGTGCTTCAGCTGGTGGCGACGAAAGCTACGACGGGGCCAAGGATCGGCATCGCTTGGGAAGGCTTCGTCCCAAGGAGGCGTATGAAGATGAACGCTCCCTCGTGGTCAGAGAGGTACGGCCAGGGGCGCGCTGCATCAACATGATGTTGCTGCACAATAGGCCCGAAAGACTGACTGGGGGCGAGTGCCAAATGGATCACGGCGGGTCCCTTCGTGAATGCCTCGCCGTCTCTCGAGGAACAGTCCTGACAAGCAGATGGTCGAACGCTTGCGAGCCCGGAGCAAGGGCGAGGCCTGGTGGCAGCAAGGTCCCCCCGTAATTCACCTCCCCGGGATGCCGGCAGTTGCCAAAATAGTCCATAGCTGTGCATGCTTTCTTGCTTTCTTGCTTTCTCTGAGGCGTCTTTACGAACCAGAAAGAACAGACCACGGACCAGTCCCTTCCCACTATTCATGTCCGCCGCACTGGGGGCCCGGTCGGCAGTCGACCCGTACATTTCGTATATCATACCAGCCACTGATGCCCAACCTTCCACCTCCTCCTACGACCGAAGAAGTAAAACAACACAAAAGGGGAATTGAAACTTGGCCATCCTCTCCAAAAAAAAAAGCTAGTTATAGAACAACACTCGACCACCGCGCCCCCGCCTTCGTCTCGACGGAGTATGGCTCTATACCTCCCTCTCAACCATCCCTTGTGACTTCCGGCTCATCCAGACCAAGTTGTCCGAGGACAGGAGCATGCAGCCGGGCTTCCATTCTCTGGATGAATAGGGCACTCGGCTCCGCCCTTGGTCACACTTCCCCGAAATGACATCAGAACGGACTCTGACACCGTCTCCTGCACAAAGCACGCCCTGCTGTCTTCGAGGCAGATCTCAGAGGGGCTAGCTGGCCAAACAAGCCCTTCTGCAGCGCTCAAGCCGAAGTCCCCCTTATATCGCCCGGAAGGTGTCAGCTGGCGTATCGTCCGCCCCCACCGGGGCGATCTTAGGTCGGGATTCCTGCTGGTCTCCAATAGCAATTGCAGCCGTTGGGTATTCAACGGCCCCGCCAACCTATCCTCAGTGGCCCCAATGATTGTTCTGACCGAAACCCTCCTCGAGCGTTCTCTCTTCCAGATTCCGGATGAAATCCCGATTGCCCCTGGCCGCCCCACCTCTCTGAGCCTGGCTGCCCCTCCTGCCACCAGCGCGGGCGGAAGCCGGATCTATAAGGCCGCCCCCGTCCGCCGGTGGAGGATAGTAAGCAGGGCTTGGCTGCAGCCGAATGGGCGCGTTGGGGTCGAGATGGCTGGCAACCCTTTGTATCGCTGCCGGTATGCCGCTTTGTTGCTGTTCCATGGTCGAAGCCCGCTGCCGTCTCACCGCTTGTTGGTACATTCCGGGCTGCTGCGTGACAGCATTGTAATTTGCGTTTGGCATCTGTGCGGGGTTCATACCAACTTGGCTGTATGGATTCGGTTGCGAGCCGTACGCAGGTGGCGGTCCGGCATGGCTGGGCGAGTACATATTATTTGCTCCGTAGGCTGGGCCTGCGCCGTGGCTGGAAGAAGCGTACTGGCCAGTGGCCATGGAGTAGGCACCCTGGGCCGCTGTGTTGGCCTGTGCCTGCGCCGCCTGCGCCCTTTGTTTGCTTATCGCCTCGGCCTGCTGCTGCTGCTGCGTCCCAGGCGCCGGTGACCTGTTGAGGGAGCTTGCCTTGAGGTTCATCGGCGGTACGAAAGGACCGGTGAACTTGGTCTGAGTGATGAACGGGTGGAGCTTAGCCTGCTGTGGTGACCACCTCTCCAGAGGGTTGATGGTGAGTAGACCTCTTACGAAGTCTATGAAGGCAATCCGGTTGTTCATTTCTGCCATCTGTCAGTATCGGCTGTTTTGATCTTGAGTGACGGCTGGCCACATACCTCTCTCTATCTCGATCGGCTTCATGTTCTTCCGAGGCATGGGGGTAAGACTTGATGATTTCCGGTAATGTCTCGGCCTGGAAATACTTCTTGCTGGGCTGTTCTTTAGTGCCATGTTCTCTCGAGTACTGCTCCATGCTCTTCAGGTGGTACGTCCGACGGCCGAACTCGTCCTGTCTCTTCTCGAAGAATTCGCCCGCCTGCTTGCCCATTTCGATCATCCAGTTTGGCGGGTTGCCGAGCATTTCAACGATCCGCGAGACCTGGTTGTACTCGGACGACCCGGGGAACAACGGCAGGCCGAGGAAAAGCTCGACGACAATACAACCGAGCGACCACATGTCTATTGCTGAGGAATATGGCAATCCCAGTAGCACCTCAGGTGAACGGTAGAATCTCGACTGGATGTACGTGTACACAGTCTGCCGCTCGTCGCATGCCGAACCGAAGTCGATGATTTTGATGATGGGGCTTTCGAGGTTCTTCAGGAGGATGTTCTCGGGTTTCAGGTCGCAGTGGATCAGTCGAGCCTTGTTCAGAAGCGCCAGCCCGTTCAGAAGTTGCTGAGCGAAGACCCTGACCAGAGTTGTGCTAAGACCACGGAACTGGTTCTGCTTGATCAACTCGTACAGATTGACACTGAGGAGCTCGAAGACCAGACACAAGTGCTGTTTGTGTATAAAGGTGTCTTTCAACCTCAGCAAATGATGGTCATCGTTCTTGTCGAGCTTGGTATTGAGCTATATAGATGTTAGCGAGACGTCCGAGATCGCAATTCAGTGCAGTCTTACCAAGTCCAGAACAGACACCTCCATCATGCTCTGGTTGAAGTATGCAGTGCGGTTTTTGATGACCTTCACAGCAACAACCTCCTGAGTCTTGAGATTCTGGCATTTGACGACCTGACCGAATGTTCCTTGGCCCAAAACATCCAATATCAAATACCGATTTCTGCCATGCAGGGTTAGCTGGCTGCACCCTTACCGCGAGGGTCTCGGGCTAACTCACTTGTGCCCAGCCTCCTCAGAGCCGAGGATATCGTTCACGTATAGGATATAGTCACTATCCTCGTTATCATAGCCATCGTTCTTGCAGCCTTTGCTTGGCTTCGTCAGGACCCGCCGAGGGTTGCGCGATGACTCGTACTTGAAGCTCGGGTTGCATATCCGGTACGTCGCCGGCAGATGAACGGTCAGGGCTTGAAGGGGCTGCAACATCGTCGTCAGTCTCTGATCGCGGCGTACTTGAAACACACGGACGTGGGACCTACACTAATAAAACCGCCTTCTGGATTCGCACGCCGGAAGGCTGGCTGCGCGGTGACCCTTGGCTGGAGATCCTGCGATGTCCTTATCTTCTTGAACTCGGGCACCGGGCCCTTGCTCACCACCGGACCTGCTGACATGGAGAGTATCCGTTTGGGAGATGTGGGGTTATTCGGCCAGGTGTCTCCTCGTGGACTCATGACGCCAGGCTGGGGGTATTGCTCAAGAGCAGCGGGAAAGGGAGCCATGGGCGGCAGCTGCTGGGATGATTGCCGACTGTTCTGGTAGTACGGACTCTGTGGGGAGTGGTAATCGGCGGACCGTGTCGGGGACTGTCGCGTTGTCGGGGGTGCAGAGAATTGGCTGGCCCCAGCTTTGGCGTACGGGGAGGTTGGGGACAGCACCTCCATGGGCGAGTACCGTTGGGCAGCGGCAGAGGGCTCCTGCGGAGAGTGCAGGGTGGACGATCGGCTGCCACTGGAGACATGTGTAGAGTGATGAGGTCTCATGGGCATTCTCATGCTCGCGTAGGGATCGTTTGCGTCGGCCATGGGGACGTCGCCGTTGTTGTCGCGCAGTTGCGGGGTGGTGACGGGGGAGGTCGCGGAACTCGAGGCATGTGAATTGAGACCTCCCTGATACTGGTCATATTTGAATCCTGCAGGCGCCTGGGCCGGCGCCTGAGCTGGCTGGGCAGCGTAGCCTCTGGGGCCCATCTGGTCATTGCCATTGTATCGCCTCGATGCGCCGGCAGGGTCGTGGTAGCTTGGCCCCCACTGATCCATGGCTGCGGTTCGTTGGTGACGTGAAAGCCACCGTCGGGGTTGACGTCGCTATTCGAGGCGGAGGTAGAATGGGGGGGGGGAGGTGAGATAGTCGGACGGTGAGGCACGTCGGCGGGTGGGCAGATGGCCGAATGCTGAGGTGAGGACGGTTGGAGAGGAACAAGAGCGTTGTTGGGATCGCGTCGGGCTCTTCTCGTCAAGAGATGGGTAGAGATGGGCGAGCGTCCAGGATGCAGACCCTGGAACGAGCTCGATGGGCGGGCAGCAAGCACGGATATTGTCGTTGGCTGGCGGGCGTGCTAGGCGAGCAAAAAGTGGGTTGGTTGTCGACTGCGAAGGGGAGGGGGATGACACCAGAAACCAGAGGGACAAGGCCGCCCGGCGGAAATGACCTGGTTGAGCTGGGCCTGGGCCGATCAATTGGGCACAAACGCGTCCCAAAGAAGGCGACAAGGGGAGACCCGTTATCGACTTGCTCTAGACGTTCATTATGGAATGGAACGGACAGGACAGTAAACAATACGTCAGAGGCGGCAGTGGCGGGTTCACTGCCCTTTGGTGGTGATGCTGTTGAGATGGGTGTGGACCTGGAGTCGTTTGAAAAGCGTACCACTGCTTTTTTGGCCGTTTCAATGCCAGTCCAGAATGTCTGGGCACACACACGCACACTGGAGGTGAGCGACGGGCTGACGGGACGGGGACGGGGACGGGGACTGGGGGAGATGGGGAGGGAGAGGGAAGGGGGAGCAAAGCTGGCCCGGGTAGTGCCAAGCCGTAAACCTGGAGATGGAGAAGCCTTGGGACCCCGGGTTACCTACCCAAGACTGCATTCACTACCTGCCTGCCTGACGAAAGACAGGCTGGCTAGGAAGTTGCTCACTGATGCCAGTGAATGAAACCTGGGCAGCTGGGCGGCCGGCCAGAGGGGGCCGGGAGAGCTAGGCGCACAGCAGGGTCAGCGAGGTAACCTTGTAAGGTTGGTAGAGGAAACCTTGGGGACACTCCAGCTCGGCTGGGTTGGGCACTAAAACAGGCGCCAGCTCGTTTCCAATCTGGTGCACGACGTCGCACAGTATGAGTCTGGCCTCTCGGAGCTGGTGTTCCCTTTCGTCACTACCGTCTGCCACACGGTACGATTTGTGCCGGACGCTTGTCAGAGCCATACCATCACCACCGCCGGCCGACCCAAGACTTCCTGCCAATCACCCCTACCCAGAGTCATGACCATCCAAGCGACGGAGCACGATACGTCAAGTTATGAGCACTACTTGACTCCCTCTATGATTGCACATTGTCGTCGCCATCTCGAGTCATTTGCGTCTGCTATTGTTGGATCTAGTCGACGGTCTTGCTCGGGAGAGGTCACTCACGAGCCGTCTCACGCATTTCAGCCAGGTTTCGGAACCATTGATTCATCTACAATGGTAATGACAAGGTCCGCCACGGCATGGACAAATTGTACCGAATGCCATCTTGTAGTTCGTATCACAGTCTAAACTACTCAGCGCTCAATCTCATCAATGTCACTTCGCTCAGCCAAACAGCGTTGCTGGCCCGTCGCCCGCCCGCTCATTTTGAACAACTTGATACTCAGCCCTCGACGTGTATTCGGCCAAAGAAATCCTTCCCCCCCCCCCACAGCACAACTCTGAATGAATGCCACCAGGAGCAATTGCAGAGACGAGTAGAAAAGATGTATGAATTTGCAGTCAAAGTGAGAGGTAGAGAAATTCGTAAAGTCATCCCAAAGTATAACATCTCCACATACAAGCCACCAAAGTGATCTCGTTTGCGTATCAAAATTGGAAAGAGAGCTCCCCTTGCAGGACCCGAAAACACTCCCAGCAGCGTGAAGACAAAGGTGGTATCCAGTGTACAGAAAGCACACACACAACCTGGTAATTTTTGTGACAGCGGACAGACAGTCAGGAAAAAACCACAGGACACGGAACGGAACATCCGTGAACTATGATCTGAACAAGAACGAGGAACCTTGATGTGAGGTACATGAGAACGAGATTTCCTCTGCGATTCACCAGCAATGTCAAGACATCGAGACAGCCCAGCGTCGATGCCGTCAAAGTTGTTCAATCATTCCCACGCTCTTAAAATGCTTGCAAAATCCCACAACAAAAAGGGTCGGTTGGAAGAGTGAAGGCGCCAATAGACTTGAAATTGATGTTGTAACAGGCACGGTTCGAAGAGTGGGTACTTCGTACACGCCATTTTCAACGCCTGGGAGCGCGAGGACTTGCGTCCTCTCCGACACTCTGTTTAGTTGGCAGGCGAGATCGGGGTTGGACGGACAGGCGCTCGCCAAAGGATTAGCCCTGGTAGCCGCCATACGCAGCGTTGGGTCCCTGAGGTGGCGCCCACTGGGCATTGGGTAGTTGCTGGCCACGACCATAGCCACCGGCGCTGGGTGGTCCGCTGAAGCCCATCTGAGGTCCATAACCTGCAGGAGACTGGGCGGCGGGACCACCGTAGTTACCTTGCTGTCCGTACTGCGCTGCGGCAGAAGTCAGTGACGTGACAGGATACCCAACAGAGTTGGTGAAGCGGGCTATCTCACCTCCAGCATACTGGGGAAAGTAGGTGTTGGGGGTGCCGGGGAAGGCAGAAGCCTGAGCACTCTGGGGGCTGTATGCTTGGTTTGGATCGAAGCCGCCCGGTGGGTTGCTAGGAGTCTTGTCCTTGCCCCACTTGTTAAAAAGTCAGCATCTGTTCAATATTTGCCTGGAAGGGAGTGTCGCAATGTCGACTTACACTGCACTTCAGAGGCCTGCCATTGACATTGTAGCCGTTAAGCTGACAAATCGCCATCGCGGCGTTCTCGTGCGAATCCATCTTGATGAACGCAAAGCCGCGATCGGCCTGGAAGCGCGACTCAACGACATAGCCGAAATTGGAGAACAGGGGCACGAGATCATTCTGAGTGGTGTAGGGGGTCAGGTTGCCGACGTAGCAAGTCGTCTGCCACGCTGGTGTCTGGTTCACAATCATGTCGTAGCTGTGGACTCCGTGAGTGGGGAAGTGGTGGTGGCCGTAAGGAGTCGTAGGGGTCATGCCCATCGACTGCATTGCTTGCTGCTGTGCGATAGACGGCTGGCCCTTTTGGTTCGCCCAGTTGCAGCGAATCGCACGCGAGCCAAGCCACTCGCCGTCCATCGAGCTGAGCGCCTTCTCCGCTTCACCACGGTCTCGGAACGCCACGAATCCATAGCCACGGGATCGTCCGGTCTTCATATCCCACATGACCCGGGCCTCGGATACGGAGCCGAACGCAGAGAAGGCTTGAAGAAGAACTTCGTCGTTGACCTCGTTTGACAGATCGCCAACGAAGATATGGAAGTGGTTCGAGGTATCCTCCTTGTTGGACGTGTTGGACTGGTAGGCCCAGTTGACACGGATCTCCTGCGTGGTTTGTTAGTTTCCCAAGATGACAGCTGCTGCCACACGCTCTGTTTACGCACCATCTGATGTACACGACGGCCGTTGAGGGTTTGCATGGCACGCTCGGCCGCGCCAGGGTCGTCGTACTCGACGAAACCGTAGTTGAAGCCCTTGTTCTATGTTAAACCAAGTCAGCAACTTTGCAGAGGTAGCAAACGGCAGGGGTCGCTTCCGACTCACGTTCTTGTCGGGGATGATCTTGACATTCTGCACATGACCAGTAGTCTCAAAGATCTGACGGAGAACATCCTCAGTCACACGAGGGTCCAGACCACCAACATAGAGAGCCCTCTTATTGGGCTCGGGGGCCGCACGCCGGACGAAAGGGTTGGCACTGCCCGGAGACGTGATGGTGTTTCCAGTCATGGGCGACGTGATCGCAGTCGGGATTGGGTTCGTGTTGGGCGGGATGTGCAGAGGTGGTGGTGGCATATGGCTCCCAGAGCCACCGTTCTGGCCATTTTCATAGCCAGGAGCCCCAGCGTTGGGCTGGGGGGGAGGAGGCAGCTGAGCGCCAGGAGGACCAGGCTCGGCCATCTTGATCAGCTCGGTGACAGTGGTCTTCGGGAAGATGGGTGATAGCTTGAGAGGCAGGATTTGCGTAAAGCAAGCCCTGGACTAAACCAAAGTAATCCACGAAGCGCGAACAAGAACGTGGGGGGGCAGAACTGCAGAAGAAAGTACTTTCTCCTGTATAACCTCGCAGATGTCTGGAAAGTATATCCCTTGAGCCTCTGGAGACCAATATCTAGCCTGGTCTTCTGGTCGGGGCGGCCTTTTGTCTTGAGCAAATTCCTCAACCAAGCCCTGGAGAGACACAAGAGGGGAATGTGTCGTGCTCCTGGCTGTGTTGCGATACCAAGCGGCGGCTGCCCAAAGCTAGACAAGCAGCGGAAAGAGCTCAGTCGACGAAAGGAAATATTCGCACACGATGATAAGCTGAAGCTGACAGGAGATGCGAGAAACGGAAGACGAAGAATCCCGACGCTCGAAGAGGATTCGGAGGTGATGTCGACCAAGAGAGACGAGCAGCGGAAGCAGCTAGAGATATGATGGAGACGAAGACGGAGATATCGACTGAGACCCGAGGAAAGCAGACGGCACTGGTGGACTGACGACTAGCAGAGCAGGAAACGACCAAGATAGGAGAGAGATAGAGAGAGCGATAGAGAGAGAGAAGGAGAGAAAGGAGATGGCCGTGAAAGAGGAGGAATCCCCCTGAAAAGACTTTACTGCAGCAGCCGGTCCAGAGAAGTTGAAGACGTGGTGTTCTCTGCTTCTTAGAAGAGAAGGACAAGGCAAAAGGGAGGTGAGCAAAGTGAGGAGAAAAGAAAGAGCACCCAATGAAATAGTGGGGGGAGAGCCGCCTTCCTTCCAATCATGCGATCTGCCCGAATTGGGGTGAGAGGGGCAGAGCTGTCAAGCAAGCAGGCAAGCCGGCCGGGACCCTGGAGGGACAGCTTCCTCATGCCTCAGGGGTAAACCAACGGCCGAACCACAGCCCAGCTTCTTAACCACCGTCGCCTGCTGCCCGACGTTTGTCACCTATCCCTGACCCATGTGAATGGACATGCGGTTGGTTTGCGGATACTAATGTGTTCTCATGAACATCTTTTTTTGATGCAAACCCTCTTCACCACAGTTGCACCCCACATAGATCCATAGGCCGTTTGCTAGGCCCTCACACGTCTGGAACCACCCCTGGACAGCTTGGGGGGGGGGGGAAGATCCCGCGAGTAACCAGCAAGCAGGCAGAAGCCTTTCTCTCTTGAACCATTTCCTCGGGATGGGTGCATGATGAAATCCCAGTACTCAATTTACTGGCGGGATCAAGCCATCAGCGTGGAACGTGGCATGACTGTATAAGCTGCGTGGAGGGTAGCACTTGATGACGTGCCATTTCGCCCAGGCCCCATTACAAGGGGCTTCCCTGATGCACACATGCTCACAAGGGTCTCTTTTTGGCGCCCAAGACTCGGGGTGCAGTTGACGACAGAATATGAGCAAGTCGTGTGCCGAAGTCCGAGATGTCAAAAACGGCCCCTGCTTGGAGATAGTGACTGCGTAGGTACTTGAAGTATTCAAGGCTGCACCGAGGCTGGCTCGATTGTTACGCTCTGCTCGGTGGACGGCAAAGGAAGGCAAACTCTATGAGGGAGGAAAAAAAATGCATGCCAACCTAACAGCAGTCCGAATAAGGTATCCACCGACGAGGGGACACAGCACATCGGATGAACGGTCTTGATGACTTGCCTAAGCAGCCTACATGGCCCGTTGAAACATGCCACCCACCAGGTTTCAAGACTTGTTTCCTGCACATCATAAATCCAAAACAACACGGGACCTGACGGTTTCGAGGCGGTACTGTACATATTGATGATGCACTATAGAGTCTTACTCTTATGCTACATGCATGCCTAATTCTACATGTTTTTAACAAGTACTTCCACTCCATTTGCTGGCATCAGCCCCTAAGCCTATGCCCTTTGCCCGTCCCCTGATCACAGCCTGTAAAGCATGGCCGACGGCGCTCAGGTCTCCTAGTATAGAAATGTGCCCCTTGTCCGTAGAAATCCTCCCGCCTTTTGCGATCTCATACCCGGGAGGTGGCATCGCCTGTTTGGCCAGCACTACACCATCGCCCGATCCGAAGGCAAGGTTGTCGTAGGCGTCCTGGCAGGGGATTGCCTCGCGGCATGCCACTCGCGCCGCAAACACCGTCGGAATTTCCTTGCCGTAGATGACAGCTATGGGAGGGTAGGCATTGGCGGCCTGGTGCTCCGGACTGTGTTGAAGTTCCGAACGGAAGCGTTTGGTCTCGGCAAGGGTGCGGGCGAGGTAGGCGAGGTTCTTGCTGCGGTCGGACTTGTCCTTGGGAGAGACTGCGTATGTTTCTTCCTGCTGCTGTTCTGTTGACGAAGACGAGGCATCCATCTGCGGCGCAAGGCTCCGATCTTTGACCAACCTGCGTTGCGGAGAGGCTGTTGGCCCATGTCTCTTGGCTGCAGGGTCACTAGAGCTCCGCCCCCGGGATATGGACAGCTCTGAGAGACTGAGAAATGAGCCCAGGGACCCGACGCGTTTTGACATAAACGGCGGCAGCGCTGGGTCGCTCACACTTGGGCAGAGACGATACTTCACCCATTCGTTCGTATCATAGAAATCCACGGGGTACTCCTCGTCCGTGACCTTGTCGATAAAGCAGTATCCGTCCTCCGGTAGGAACACCCAGGTTGTGCGAAGTGTGAAATTGACATGTGCCGTCAATACCTTCTCGTTCAGCAACACCGCGTCGCCGTTTCTTAGCGGGCCAAGGATGTTGATACATCGCTGGGGAGCCCCAGCATATACAACACCAGAAAATAACTCTGGTGCTTGATTTACAGCATGCCGGGTAATCACGCCGCCCAATGAGTGGGCAATAACCAGTGCTCCACTCGCATTTTCGCCCTGGTTTGACGGCAGGCTTCTGAGGAACTCAATCAACTTCCGGGAAAGGAGATGAGGGCTAAGTCGCCAGTCGTAGCCATAATCGTGGACTCTCAACTTTCCGCTTCTCGCATTCTCACACTCACGGACCCGTTTGAAGAGCCTCTTGGAAATGTCCACCGGGCCAATGTTCTTTAGCATTCCGGACGGGATGATCGACTTCTCCATGTTTTCCTCGTCCTCCGGGTTTAGTCCCACCTCGAGGTTGACCTTCCTCACTTTTAAGCCAACCTTCATGGGCACCCAGAGCTGTCTATGAGGCGGTTCAGCAGACCGGAGGATCGAGCCCCTATATCCACCCATAATGACAAGATCGCCAGTGAGATTCTCGAGGACACTGTCCAATGGATCCCTGGGAACTTTGATGGTTCTCATAGAGGATGATTTGCTTGCGTCCAAATTGAGCTCCGAGGCCGAGAATTCGGCCTTCTTGAGAGGAGACAGCAACGTACTTGGCATGCTCGGTAACTTGAATGAGGGCGTATCAAAAGAATCCACAATTGCCTTGAATCTCGAATTGACCTGCTCACGAACATGTGTGAATCGCTGGTCATCCCCGAATGAAGACATACGCGATAGCGAGTGGTACAGCATGGAGTCGTCAGACGTCGATCTTCTGATACCCAATGATTTCCTAGATGCGTTGGATGGCTGGCGGGAGATCCCTGTGTTTCTATCCGCATCCTGCTGAGGAGGCGATGGTTTTCTCAGGATGATCATTGGGAACGTACTGGCATGGCTCGAGTGCCCAAGATGGGGAGATTGGGAGGGTGGCGTGTGTCTCGGCGTCGGATCCTTCGACTCTGACCTTGATGATGTTGAACCCGAGGAGAAGAAGGAGGGAGTGGGCAGACGATTTGGCATGAAGTTGGAGGGCAGAGATATTGAAGGGAGGGCTTTGGACAGCCGCCTCAAAGCCTCTGCTCCACCAGAAGAGGATCTCCGATGCCGTGACTGAGAAAACACGCTCGCCAAAGCGGGTTTGTGGCTCTCTGAGGTTGAGGATGTCACAACGATCTCCTTAGGACCCGTTTTCCAGGGCGTCGGAAGAGGATCCAAATGTCGCGGCTGCAGCGCTGTTGCTGTCGTCGTCGGCGGTAATGAGGTCTCGCCAGCCGGTCCCTCCTGTGTTTGGTTGCTTCGCTGCGGCCGAGGCTCTTCTCGTGTTGGTGTGTCGTCGCCCGAGGAATCCTGCCTATTCACACTCGCGCCGTCAAAGTACCCAGCGATGACCTGGTCCATGGATTCTTGCTCCTTGCTTGCTCCGGCGTCGTTGAAATACCCGTCGATAATCTTATCCATTGCAGCTGCCTTCTCAGCCGCCGGGGTCTTAGGCGACGTGAGATAGGTCACAACCGGGCTCAAAGCCGGCTGAATGAAAGATTGGGCAGCATCCTCGCCATACAAATCCTCCTCTCCCTCTGAACTGTCGGCGGGCGGGCTGGGGTTTTGATCGTCCAGGGTCTGAGGCTCGAGGCGAGGGGTCCTCAGAGGAGCCTCCTTCGCCTCATTGTCGCGCCTGAAGAGTGAGTCTCCAGCAATGTTCACAGCCATGGTAGATCCAATCGCCTTCGTAAGACACTCAGGCGACGGTGGTGTCTTGCTAAGGTCCAGAGGGGAGGCAGCCGAGGATTCCGGTTAGACGAAAAAGTCGGCAGCGACCAGAGTAAGCCAACATCAACGGCCAACAACCGAGGTGCAGAGACTGAGATGACGGTGAGGCCGGGAGAGGCAGGTCTTGGCAACACGAGCGATGAGCGCAGTGGATACAATATCACAGCATAGACTCTGGGGGAGAATCGAGATCCCAGTGATGAGTTGAGGTTGTGGAATGAGAGGTGATGTTCACAGGTGAAGGCGGACGGACGGGATGATAGTGTACGGTAAGCGGCTCATTGACCTCCGGAGGCCACGGCTCGGGCTGGACTGGACTGAGAGCTAGAGTGGACTGGGAGCGAGAATTAATTGGGACATGCAAGGTTGACGGAGTTGAGGCCGAAGTCCGACAGCTTATGAAATGAGCAACTCGCTCGGAGCAGATAAAATGAAGGTCGGACGGCCGGACGGTCAAACAACAAATACTGCGAGTACCTGACAGAGAGGCAGACAGAGAGACAGAGAGAGACAGGCAGAAACAGAGAGAGAGATGGATGCTTATGCGAGACTCAGCCGCTTCCCCACAAGAATGGGAGCTGGCAGGGTGGTGCTGGCTGATAGGTGTCAACTGCGATTATGATTGCGATTGGAACTGGCGCCAACGATCCGGATCCAGATCCAGCAGGAAGGAGCGGTGCCTCGCCCGTGCGTACGGTGCCACCTCATCGCGGCCGACGACTGGCCCAACGCGCTGGCCACGGAGGGCGCCAGCTTGCTGGGACTGGGACCTGGGCTGCCTCGTCGAGGTGGCACACCTGGCTCCATCTCATCCACGCGGGCTAGCCGAATCAACATGCGCTCATTATTCGTATACGTACTCCGTAAGGCACAATAGACTGGGTATTCCCCAGAGCGCCACGGGAATCAAGCAATGACAATGACAGGCCAGTCTCAGGGGTCCCGCGCTGGTCTGAGCTGGCCAACTGACGTCATGACGGGGAATTGCAGCCTTGATCGATCTTTGACAGGCGGCCCGGGCAGGCAAGCAGGACAGCAGCCATGCTCCTTGACCGCGCACACGCGGTTACGAGAAGGGGAGCAAGATGATGAGGCTGTCAAGATCGCTGCGAACCATTCTCTTTTATGCACGCTCCTGGCTGGTTGTGCATCTGGCCTGCACGTGCATGTGCATTAATAGATGCCAAGTTGCAGATGCCAAGCAGGGGCCCGCCGACCAAAGATTGGGCCGTCAGCTCTGCTGCTGATGTGATCGGCTCCTCAGCTTACTGTGTTTACTCCGTGGTCTGCGGCGCAATCGCAAACATCAGAGCATGCACAATCATGGGTTGACAACAGAGCCATCGGTAATGGGGCTTGTATGAGCTGTCAAATATAGTGCTGTGTCTCCTAGATCAACTTACTTCGCAGTCCACAGTGTTCTCCAATGTCATCCTATCTTCTACCCAATGTCGTTCGGTGGCCATTTCTCCGGGCGGGTGGCTGTAAGACGCCGAAAGCCCGGGCCCATTCAGGCTGACAGTTCAGAGCAGATATCCCTAGACGGGCTGCAGTGACATGGATAGATTCAGGATCGATAGGGCCTGCGAATGCATTGTCCGGATCTAATCATTATCTGCAGTTCTCTCTATACTGGTAGCACATCTCCCTCCAGGTGCAGCCCTGACGGTTAGATCCTCGACAATTTCAACCCTCCTCGCCTCGGCAAGAGATGGTGATTTCCTGGGTAGCATCATCATTATCGTCCACCTTGTATTACACACCCAAGCAGACATGAGCCATTCTCCTCCTGGGCGCCACCCGCGACCTTACCTCAGGCAGGCTGAGGGACAAGGCTGAACTTACCGCCATCAATATCCTTGGTCTTCTGGACGGCCTTCTCCCATCCTGCCTGAGCCTCTAGTCGGTCCATATCTACCCAGTGTCAGCGATGTTCGACCGATTTTGAATTGGCGTGTACCGGAACAAGCTCCGGGCGAAGGAAGTCTCGATCGGCAGAGGGCAAAGCTTGAACCTCCAACTTACATTCATGCACCTTGGGGAAAGACTCCTTGGCTGTGCCCCTCGCAAACTTGCCCATTCCATCAAAGCCCGACTTGCCAGCGAGAAGCGGGTAGCTCATCAAGATATCGGCTGCTGTCAGGTGTGGGCCTGTGAGAAAATCTCCACCGGAAGTCTCCAACTGCTTCTCCAGGAACGCCAGGTGCTTCTTGATGTTGGGATATACTATCATCGAGATGATACGATTCGCAATGGCGGAGGAGATGGGCCGGACAAAGAAAGGCACCTGATTAGACTTGAGGGCTTTGTCGGCTTGGTTAGCCGGCAGTACCCGAAGGGCGAATGCGCTCGGCCGGACATACCAGAGAGCACCAAGTACATTACTAGGTTGGGCATGAATGAACCCTCTGCGTAGTGGAGGAGATACGAGTAGCGCATCCAGGCCTCTGTCTCCCCGAGGATTTTGCCCTCCTGTCCTTCCTTCCATCGCTTCGGGACGATCGTCTTGCCCTGAGCAAAGTGGTCGCACAGGTACTGGAAGATGAAGCCAGACTCGGCCAAAACCACCGGTTCCGAAGATCCGGGCACTGCGACAGTAATGACGGGAGACTTCCCAAGAGGGTGCACTTTCTCTAACTCGGGCGGCGCCAGCATGTTGGACTGCCTATGGTAGACTTTGACATCGTAAGAGAGTTCAAGCTCCTCCAAGAGCCAAAGCAAAGAGTTGGCTCGGGAGCCGTTGAGCCTGGCCATTGGCACCCGTCAGTCAGTGAAGCTTCAGGCATGACGAGCCAGGGGGGGCGAGTGCTCACCAGTGAAGCGTAATCTTCGGTTGTTCCGCCATGGCTGATTCTCTGAGGCGAGCTTGGTCAAGGCGGAATCACACAATACAGTCGATGAAAATGCCAATCGCAAGAAGTCCAGGCGAAGTCTCAGAATCGAATGTCACAAGAAACGGATACGAACGGATGCTTAGAGCTATGATGCTTTGAAACGGTATAGCTCGGTCGCTTTAAGCTCTGCAGCTGACAGGCATAAGCAACTAACTGTGCGACAGCCGAGGCACCTGCAACGGGCACACACATTGTGGAATGAACCTCGGACGATCACCCGGCGATAGCCCTTGCAGGATATTGTTTGCATGCCTCCACATAATCAGATTGCTTCTGCAATTGAAAGCAAAAGAACATCCGGCCCGAGTGCGAGTACGAACCGAACCGAGTAAAACCTATGTGAACAGTCGTTCGAATGCGATTACCCGTTGCTTGTCATCAAATAGTTTCCCGAGATCAACTGACACTCACCGTTCTAGGAAGTATGTTGGCACATCATTCCCTTCTGACTAAAGATGGCTCAGCTTTACTTGGGCAGTAGATACATTTGGTTGGGTCCAGAAAGTTCAGGCCGTGTCTGATGCAGAGACGACATACAATCACTGGCCAACCAGGCTTGCTGGCAAATCAAGAAATCCATCCAGTAGTTGATTAAATATTAACCTGGGTACGAATTAACAGGAAAAATTGGTACCTGCTATATGTTTGGGCACGCAGGTCGATACCTCAGCAATCCAATTTCTTGGTTTATGTAAGCGAGGGACCGGCGCTGAAGGAGGCAACGCCAAGCTGTATGCAATACCGTAGCCGCATGCAATTAGAGCATACAAGACCCACCCTTCCCATGCTTGGTTCGTCGACGACCGGTCAATCACCCTCACCTGCGATTTCAAGCCGACTTACCAACAAGCATTTACCCCCGACCATCGCCGCTACCACCTTTGAACGAGTCCGCAGGGCGAATCAGTCAAGATGGCGGGCCTCAAACATTTCAGTACGCCGTACACCACCCTCAATGGCACACGAGACGCGAAATACTGACCTCGTTCCACAGAGATGGCCATGGACCCGGCCATCATCCGGCTGAACAGTACGACAAACCCTCCCCCTCGACGACACCCTTGATCGCCCCACGCTTGGGCGTCCCTATGCTGGATGATTCAGGACCGACTTTCTGACACGTGCCCGACCGACAGACATGAGCTCGAACCGATACCAGTACTTCCGATGGACGAGACGGACGGCCCTGATCACATTCAACTACGTGATTCTGGTACCGGCGGTAATTGGCGTGGCGGCATACGCGACAGACGTACGTTCAGACCTGCGAGCGATTGTGACCCCCGATGCTTGTGGTAACAGGAGGCTGACTTGAACGGCGACAACTATAGGGCAAGTGGGACCTCAGGGCGAAGCGCAAGGGAGACCTGCTTGCTGAGTACTAGACCGGTGGTTTCTCTTCGCAGTGAGGGAGGAATTGTACATGAGACAGGCAGGGAAAGGGCGAAGAATGCAAAACACATCAGTCGTCCAACCAACGTCACGATTTATACTGGAGAACTGCTACACTCCAGGCCCGCGCACCAGAACTCCATGCCTGCGCACCAGAACTCCATGCCTGACAAAACCAATCGGGATATCATGATGCAACAATACCGTGCTTATCGAAACACTCCACACCGCATCGCCCTGCCGTAACCCATTGAACCTCGTTGTGGGAGGTCTGTGTACTATAGGTCGTTCCCGGTCCAAGGAGGCCTACCCGGGGCGATCTCCCGTCCTCCCATCCTCCCGTGTAGTCTCTCTTGAGCGTAGTCTTCCTTTTCCACAACAGCAACCCGCGTGCTCACCATCGCCTCCCGCCTCTGCCTCGCCCAGGAGGCCCCTCAGGAAGCTTTTCCCCCCTGCGCCACTCGCCGACCGGCGGCGCACGAAATCCGGCTCCTCCTCCGCCGCCCTTAGGCCCATACATAGTCGCAGACCAGGCGTCCCGGCCTCCGCCCCTGCTCATCTGCGGCGGGCCGAGGTCGACCGTGCTCCTCGCCTGGCCGGCGCCGTACCCCCTACCGGCCCTGGCGGCCGAGGCGGGCTGCACGCTCCCGTCCGCCGGCGAGGGCGGCAGTATGGCGCACGAGAGGTAGTCCCCGACTACGAACCGCGCGTCCGCCAGCGACTTTGCGCTCTCGGCCGCCGAGCCCGCCGTCGCGCCCATCCGCAGCCTGCCGTCCTCCGTCTCCGCGCCGGCGTCGTCGTCCCCGTCTGTCGAGATCCCCGGCCCGCCGTCGCCTATCACCACCGAGCCGAGGTCTTTCACGACGCAGCGCGCTGACCCTTGGTCCTGGTCCCCGGCGGCGCGTGTGTCGTAGTAGAGGAGGCGGAAGGCCAGGCGTGTGCCTATCGCTGGGGAGGGGAGGAGGTGTGGCGAGGTGGCGGCGAGCTGGTGGCTGAGCTCGGCGAGCGTCGCAGAGGGCCATGTGTGGAAGGACACGTGAGGCAGGTTGTCAGGCGCGGAGAACTCATCTGGTCTGTTGAGCGGTCAGTCAGTGATGTTTTTACAAAGACAGGATGCCTGCCATGATGGCGGACCTACCTGTGGAATGCGCCGGTTCTGTAGAACACCTTCAGAAGAAACGGGGTAGTCGCATCGCGGTCGACCTTAGCTGCTTGATCCATAGCCGCGCAAGGCCCTCGATGGGCGAGGATGGTTCTCTGCAGCTCCGCTCTGCCCGGGACTGACCTAGCGTGTTACTCTGAAATGATCGATTCCGGTCAGGGTTACCCCATCTGCCTTTATCAAGGCCTCTGTATCTCTGCTGCAAGTTTCATACGGGAAGGGATGCAGGACCTCGTCAATACTGGAATGTGCGGTACTGGACCATCCCGAGGCTGAAGCTCAGGTGGGAATAAGCTTCCCGGGCGTGGGGAACCCTGTTGCTGGTGGCCCCCGGCCGTGGAACGAGCTTCTAGAAGCTAGAATTTAGGCGACTTCAGCCTCGGCAGGCATTTGACCTCGTATCTCTACCCAAACGTCTGCCAAACATACCCACAACTCAAACTCAGTTCGCTTCGAAATAACCAAGAGCAACTCCTGAACTGCAGACGGGACCAATACGAGGCCAAGATGGACTTCGCGGCGTTGATGTCCCAGGAGCTCGCCAAAAAGAAAGGCCCCTCCCCGTCCGACCCCAAAACAGCCGCCGACACCTCCTCCAAGTACACGCGCAAGGCCGACGCCGAAGCCGCCAGGGAAGAAGCCTATCGCGCCGAACAGAAGCGCCTCGCAGAAGAGAAAGAAGCAAAGGCCGCCGCGAAGCGAAAACGCGAGGAGGACGCCGCGGAAGAGGCGAAGGCCAGGGAGGAGAAGCGCCGCAAGCTCGCCGAGGAGTCGAGGCGGCGCAGGGAGGAGAAGGAGGCCGAGGAGGAGCGCGCGCGGCGGAAGCGGCTGGGCCTGCCGGAGCTCAAGCGGGACGGCTCGACGCCGGCGTCCGGCGCCGAGGATGAGGACAACGGGCAGGACGAGGTGTCGGCGCTGACGGACGAGGAGCTCACGGCCAAGTTGCGATCGCTTGGCGAGCCTGCGACACTGTTCGGCGAGGCGCGCCCCGCGAGGGTGAAGCGGTACCGCAGGCTCACCACGGCGGTGACGCAGGGGCCGATCCCGACGACGCTGCAGCTGGTGGAGGAGAAGGACATGAAGGTGCCGGACGAGGTCCCGCCCGAGGGCGACAAGGAGGCGCGGCGGTGGCTCTACCGGCAGCTGGCGTCGTACTTCACCATGGTGCTGCGCGAGTGGGAGCTCGCACTGGCGAGGGAGCGGGCCCAGGCCGGCGGCGAGCTCGAGACTAGCGCCGCGAGGCAGGCGTACAGCACCATGGTGCAGTGCAAGCAGACCATGACGCCCCTGTTCCGCAGGTTCGAGAAGGCCGACCTGGACGAGTCCGTGCTGAAGCCCGTCGTGGAGATCGTCAGGGCCGCCCAGGAGCGGCGCTACGTGGATGCCAACGACGGCTACCTGAGGCTGAGCATCGGGAAGGCGGCGTGGCCCATCGGCGTGACCATGGTGGGCATCCACGAGCGAAGCGCCCGTGAGAAGCTCCACAACGGCGAGAGGGGTCACGTCATGGGTGACGAGGTCACGAGGAAGTACCTGCAGAGCATCAAACGGTGTCTGACCTTTGCGCAGGTGAGATGGCCGCCCGAGGACGTCAGGCAGCTGATGGGCTGAGGGAACGAGCTCCGAATGTCAAGGAGAGCCAGTGGTAGGAAACCACAAATGCATAGCGTAGTCATCTCCACGGAATTATCGTCTTTTCGATCGATTACCTCACGAGTCTTCGACGCTCCCTGCTCTAATGCACATGTAAAACAAAAGCGGGTCTTCTCCTATGTTCTCTCAACTCCAAACGCCTCCGCAGTTCGTTGGGCATTTCACTCATTAAATCAAGTCGCTCATCGCGATTGAAGATGGTCCCTGAGGCTGGGAACCAGGGTAGTCGTCCATGCCGCCCTCATTTGGACCATCTCCCCATCTCATGCCTGTACCCTGCAAGGCTCCAAGAGCGGCCGCTCCCTGGTTCTTGTGCTTTCCCTTGACCTCAAGATCCGCAGACACGATGCCAATGCGCCGGATGCGATCTAGGGCCTCCTTCTCGTAATTCTTTGCAGCAGCTAGAGATGCCGCTTGCATCTTCGCACGGGGATTCGGAGAGGTAATGGTCACAACCTATCATTTCGTTAGCGCACAGTTATGGATATCAAGTTTCTGCGTCATCTTGGCTTACTCTGTCGATGGCGTTGATGCGAGCATCCAAAGCACCATTTCCTATCATGTCCACCAACTCTTGATCGATGGAGCCCCCTTGTGGAGAAAACGCAGCGTTCAGGTTGTCGATAGTGACGCAAGAGAACGGCTGGACAAAGTGGAAAATACACTTGCCACGGATCACGCTGTACAAGTGCTTGAGGTGAGGCTGCAGGTTGATGTCAAGGAGGTAGTCTGGGTAGTACGACTCGAGAATAGACAAGCAGGCCGAATACCTGCCATTGACGAACTGGGAGATGGCCCTGCGAATATGAGGCTCGAGCTCGAGAAAGGTGCGGAAGCTCGAGTTGTCCAGCACCCCGCTGAGCTCCGGCCGGCTCATGGTAGCGAGTGCCAACAGACCCCCGTAGACTGCGATGTCATTGGGGCTGGCAAACTGGTCGAAATTGTCGGGGCTGACCGTCGGGTCAACCTGCAGGAAGCTTCGTGCTGCCTCGGGGTACTTAGCCTGGCCGAGGTAGGAGAGTCCGTACATGATATTGCATATTGTCTGTTGAGCCTTGTCGGTGCCGGTGGCGCCCTCCGTCTGTAAGCCGCTCATCTTATTCACGTTGGTCGTGACGGCGGACCAGTCACGGCGGTAGAGAGACAGACGAGCCAGGTGCAAGCCGACCTCGATGATGTGCTTTGCTGAACTGACGTCCGCCCGACACTTAGAGTAGGCCTCATACGCTAGCGCCAACTCGCCGATTTTCTCAAAGTGCTTTCCAAGGTCCTCGTTGCCCATCTGCTCCATGTCAGCTGTGTGAATGTGGGGTTGAGGTTTTGGCAGAGGAACCAACCCTTATGGACTCCTTGACCAGATTGTTTTTGTATTTCTTGAGCTCCGCCTCGAGATGGTGCGTCTCTGATCGGTTCGCCTTTTCCGTCTCGCTGACCCAGACGCTGTTGTATTCAGCCTCCGGCTCGTCAGGGCCTAGCACACGGAGGAGCTCATAGGCATCGCGGTAGAGCTGGACATCTCTTCCCCTGGAGACCACCTCGTGGATGGCGAGCTTCAACGCATCCACACTGAGGACGGTTGACGTCCGGGCAATGGTGAGCAGCCGGTCGAGCCTGGTTCGGCCTTTGGGAGCGTGTCAGTGGCGATACGAACATATTGTGGCGGGGGAGCTCCAAGTACCTCTGTAATTCTGTATGTAGGATTCCAAGTCCAGTTTAGGGATTTCTGCGAAGGATCCAGTTAGCAAGCTGGTTGTGCTTGGGCAGGGAGGCGAAGATGGGAGGGTAGCTGGTTAAGAAGAAGCCGACGGCGAGAACAAGCTGAGCTCCTGGTGACAGAAAGAAAGCTGGGCCTACCTGTGACGACGATGCCTCCTTGCTGGGCTCTCTGAAGGAACTCAGGCGGTAGCGTGTCGCTGGAGCTCGCCATGGCGATTGCAATGGCGGAGGGTGCGGTGTTGCCGTATCAGAATGACGCTGAGCTCTCTCTGTAGCGCGTCGTGGTGACAAGAAGACGTGACAAGCTTCTGATTGCTGGATGGGCAGTGTACGGCGTGCAGCTTCGCTCCAGGCAGGGGTACAGGGGTGCAATGGCGGGGTGTCCAAAAACCCAGGGCCCTGGGTGGCAGGCTGTGGGGAACACCACCTACCTAGGTACACCACCTGTGAAGCCCGTCGGGCTTCACCGGCAGGGCCGAGCACAGCCCGGTCTTGGAGGGGAAGGGCTACTGCACGCCCAGACAAGCCTTCTAGATTCACCACCGAAGCATGCATGCCAACATCTCAACACATCACCACATCTCACCACCTACTCAATGCAATACAGGCATCCAGCTGAGGCTGTCAGCCTTGTCGATCACAAGCCCAGCTGATGCACACCCTTGTTCCAGAAGCCCATGATGGCGACATCACAAGGTCACAAGACCAGTATTCAATGGTTCTGGTCCAATCTGTGGTTGATCAACAATTCTTTTGTGGCTGAGCCTGCCGGTTCTGCTGCAGCAATCAACAACAGCAGGCCTCGGCTCAGGTTGGGTAATTGGAACTCTCTCACATCATTGAAGCAATCAACACACACATTATTATAGCACTGATGCAAGGGGGACGGCCGGCCAGTCCTGCATGCCCTCATGGCGCATGCATGGCTCGCTCCGTTGGCGGGCTTGGGGCCACCAACAACCGCTGCCCAGAACTTAGCCGAGCTGCTGTTGATTACGTGTGGCTGCCGTTACGTCATCGCCATTGGCGCTCGCTTCAAAAGTTCTCTCGAGGGGACCGGGGGCAGACTTGGCACTTCGGAGCCGATGGTCAACGTCCGAGGCGGCGCTGGTGCATTGCAGTCGGGCAGTCGGGACGCAATAGGTCGCCTTGTTTTGTTTAATAATCCATCCAGGCCGGCCTCGCTCTGTTGGGGGATTTTTCTTATCAATCGGGTCGAAAGCCATCGGCACGGTCGTCACGACTGGAACAACGGCCATGCTGGTTTTGTGACGGCGCCGTTCAGGCGTAATAAGACTCGACTTCCCCGGGCGCCTGAAACACCAGGAGCGAGACGAGTGATGCAAGCACAGTCCCTCAGCGCGCCCGCATGTTCTGGGGAAACAGGCCGAGCAGGTTTATCGTCGGCTGACTCGCATGTTCCATGATGGCGACGTGTCTGCTATGCAATCATGTCGCAGAGGCTGGAGAGGCCGATGTGTTCAGAGGCAGAAGAAGCCCGTCTGAGGTTCCCAGATCTCCCCGCCGTCTTGGCGAACCGTGCCGACGCGCCAAGATCGGCGAGAGCCTGGCCACTTGCCAACGTCCTTCCGGCCGCCCAGACTTGCAGAGTGGGTGTGTGGCCACCTCGCGCCCACATGCGGGCTGGCGGGCTGCTCCGCCCTGGTGGCTGTGCTGGGCCCCTGCCATGCGAGCCTAGAGGCTTGGGTCTCGCAGATGGGGCGATTCGCCGGGGCAAGGAACACATACCGTACTCTGACGCGGCGGATTGCCTGTCTCAAAAAGATTCTGATGCGGTGCGACCGTGACTGCGCTGCAGCCAGTGGCCGAGCGAGCTCCGAGCACTGGATCCTTCCTTGGTCAAAGCCAGGCACAGTGGCCTAGGCACAGTGGCCTTGGCACTTGGCAGCATGTGTGAGCCGGGTCAACGCAGAGAGAGACACAGGCACAGGTACAGGCACAGGGCGCCGAGGAGCAGAAGCCATCGAGGCACATGAGCGGCTCGCTTCCGGGGTGCAGTCACCCACAAACCTTGAACGCACCACTGCCGCCGCCACTCTCGGACTCTGTCCGTCGCTGTGGTGGGCTTCCAAATCTCGGCGGCCACATGTCCCGACTGACCTGCCCTTTGCGGCAGACTAATAAGTTGTACCTGAGCTGGCAGGCTGGGCAGTGCCTAGGTGGTGTCGCGAGGAGAGGCGACCTGCACGAGAGGCCGGATTCCGTTGACTGACCAGCAAGATTGGCGGATATAGTCTATCTGGCTGCTGTCCGATATCCCCATACACCAGCCATCCCGCCAGCCAGGCCAGCCCACGGGGTTCGTCCCACTCGAAGGAACCGAAACCCGGTAGACCTAGACTCACGTATCTGATTACTGCGGACCCAGCGTGGTCTGGCTGGGGCAGCGAGTGGGTCGCATCTGTTGTCCGGTTACTGCGTATACTACGTATACAGACTACCACGGACCCACGGTACATGGTCCGCCACACATACCAAGGCGGCATGGCACGACCATGCCGTCGACCACCATCTTTCTGGCCGGTATTTCATGGCAATTGGGAGATTTATCTTCATCCCAAATTGCAATAGTGGCACAGCGTGCAGGATCTGCAGCCTGCTCTTGGTCCTGCAGAGATCCAGCACAGGCAACCTCGATCTCTTCCTCCGGGATTTCCTTTTGCCGTGGTATCAAATGCTTGACGTACACTACAGTAGGAACCCCAAAGAAATTTCCGACTTGTGTGCTAGCTAACGACCCCACACCATCATAGACTAATCCCACCCCCGTCTTCCCCCAAGGAAGCCCCCTTCGTTGTCGCAACGTTCGACCTTTTCAATGCCAGCCCGGGACTCCGGAGACAGGTCTTCTGCAGTCTTGCCGTGGAGCTTGCGCGTTTCCCGTCTGACCACCACTCGCCGGAGGGCACGGCACCTCTTGCTGGCTCCTGTCGCCAGTAAACCGTATTCGGCGCATTGGCCCTCGCTCTGGTACAAGCCGTCGTACAGTCGTATAATGGTCCGGTATGGGACACCTTGTTACACTAATCCTCCCGCACAGATGGCTCCCCAGACCCTGTCCCCGAGTCCCAGAGATCTGAACTGACGGCTTGGCACCGCAGCTCACGTCAAGCCCTCAACCGTCCCTGCTGGAATTCCAGTGACACTCGAATCATATCATAGCTCGTCAGGCGCCGAGCAGGGCGAGCAGATCGGGTTTTCCGACTCTGGACAACTGATTCAGCACTGCCTCTCACTACGTATACACCAGCAAGGTTGTGTGCGTCCGCCCCAGATTCCGCACGAATTCATGTTCCTGTTAGACATGCGCCCCCCTCCCCTCGAGACCTTACCCACCTGGCTAGCCACTTCCATTCCCGTTTGAGTGGTCATGGTGGTCCTCCAGTCTCCATCCTGGATCATCCCAGTCCTGGCTTCTGCTTGTCTCCTTGCCACAGATAGCCTCGACTCTAAAGAGATGCCGGATACCACCCACTTTCCTTTCCAGAATAGGGACCCTGGCGACACTCTTTTTTCCTCCCCTTCCTGGACCGGACAGGACAATGTACCTGACTGGCGGACCCTACCAGGCCCAAGCATTGCTGCTACGTAATCAACCATGCAGAAGCCGTGCGGTCTTCTACGTACAATATTCCCTGTGTCAAGAGACTCTCGCTCCGTAACCCTCCCTCCCCCCCCTTCGCGACCCCCTCTTCCATCCGGGAACGTCCCCGTCGTCACCGGTAGCTCGAAGAAGTTCCATAGCTTTTCCACCAGCCTCCACATCAGAACTCATCCCTGCCGACTTACATGCCAAGCTTTGTGCTAGAGTGAGCCATCACAACCTTTTCTCCATGCTACACACACCCCGGCACCGAACCGGCGTACACAGCCCTCTTACCCCTTGCTCTTTCTGACTCCTTAGGTCGACAGCCAACGGAAGAGAACCCACCCAGGGCTCGCTGGATTCCGCATGGTACTGTACATACATGTGTAGACTAGTTGGGATATGAGCTTTTGTCTGCTGGGCATCGCTGATGGACGAGACTTCGGGACCCCCCCTGCTCCACACCTAGTCACCGTCATAATACTTAGGTACAACATATGTCCTCTGCCCCTCTGTCGCTAGAAATTATACCTCGTCTAATCTTTTTACTGGACTGGACAGTTCGTTGATGACTCCTTCTGCCTCCTCCTATCTGAAGCCCCCAACAGCGCCCCCAGCTCCGAAGCGACGCTATATCACTACAGTTGCTGGACTTGCAATATTCCCCGACGTCGCGACGCTCCTCGGCGGGTTGACCGTGTTATATCCGAGCCGCCCGCTTGAGGTCGTTGAAGTAGCGTTTGTCATGTCGCATGGTCCGCATTGGACTTGAACCACAGCCATTGTGTATTGTCATTGACGGCACTCGTAGCTCATGCCCATAAGACATGAGCCGCGAGGCCCGGAGAAGTGCAGGGAGACTTAGAAAGAGGGAGTTGGCAGGCCACGGCCCTTGAGTCCTTCGCGGCCACACAAGGGTCTGGTGAACTGGGAAAGGTCGATGACAACATCCAATTCAACAACTCCATACACGAATTTCTCGCGAGCTTAGCAAGAGCCGTTCAAGACTATCACGGTCCCTAACAAGCAAGATGACTGACCATGAGCTGTCACCGGATTCCGGCTCTGGCGGGCCGAGCCCTATTTCGGACCACCAGGATGACCAGCAGTCTGCCGAGGACGTCTCGGTCAAAGCAGAACAGGGTGACGAGAACACTACAGGGTCCAATCAGACAGTACAGATGCCCGTTCAGAAGCGGCGACGTGTCACACGTGCCTGTGATGAATGCCGGCGCAAGAAGATCAAGTGCGATGGCAAGCAGCCATGCACACACTGCTCTGTATACAGCTACGGTCAGTGAATTTCTATTCGGACTTTCGAGCTTTCCCCCTTTAACGCTGCCGACTATACAGAGTGTACATATGACAAGCCTTCCAACCGAAGGCGGAACCCTGCTCCTCAGTACATCGAGGCCCTCGAGAACAAGCTGGCACGCGCAGAGGCAACCCTGCGCAAGTTCGTCCCGGACGTCGACCTCAACGACCCGAGCCTGGATCCCGCCGTCCAACAGGAGTTCCAGAATCGAGAACGACAAAGATTACAAGCTGCGAAGACCCGACAAGAAAAATGCCAAGGAGGCGGAGCAACAGACAGCCCAAATAATGTCCATGATCGAGACCTTGGGCCAGCTAGACCTCACAGAGGGCGGTGGATGGGACTTCCGAGGCACCTCGTCCGGCGCCGTCTTCCTGAGGCGGATGAAGGACCACTTCAGGGGCTTACTTGGCTATGACTACCAGACTACTTTCCTCCCGCGACCGGCCCAGGTTCCAGGCTTGCTCAAGCTGGACTCACCGCAGTCGACATCGGCCTCGACTCCCATCGATTCGAGAAGCTCAAACGTTTACGACCTACCTCCGAAGGAACGCGCTCGACAGCTGAGCTATTGTGCGCTCTCGTGTGCAACAGCACTCCTGCGAATTGTACACCGACCATCTTTCTTTGAGAAGTTCGAGGAGTTGTACGAGAAACCGGCAGATACGTTCGAGACAGAAGACAACCGATTTCTTGGCCTGCTGTACGCGGTAATGGCTGTGGGTTGTATGTACAATATTGCTGAGGAGGAGATTGACAACCAGGTGAACTACAGCGAAGCAACTGAGGAAGGGTAAGCCCTCTGGACAATAACGCGTGGGGGGAAACCATACTTCGAGTACTGACACAGGGACAGGATGGGCTATTACACGTCGGCGAGAATCCTGCTGCAAGACATTACAGAGTGTCGGGATCTGACCTCGTTACAGTCCCTACTGTTCTTGATTCTGTTTCTGCAAGCGACTTCGAACCTAAGCGCGTGCTATGCATTCCTAGGCATCGCTCTGCGCACCGCCCTCAGGATGGGTCTGCACCGGCATTTGCCCAATGCCAACTTTACACCCCTCGTAAGCGAGTCGAGGAGACGCATCTTTTACTTCATCCGACAGCTGGATATCTACTGTTCAGCTCTCCTAGGATTTCCGGTCTTGCTCCACGCAGAAGATATCGACCAGCAGTTGCCCTCAGAGATCGACGACGAGTTCATCACCGCGGATAGCATCACGACGCCCCCTCCTGACACTCCTGGGTCATTCTTCCAAGCCTTCAATGCACACTCGAGGCTCATGGAAATACTGATGAAGGTCATAAAATACATATATCCACTCAAGGGACTCGAAGACGCCGTTACAAGCTCGGATGGTGACTCTAGCCCGACCTACATGATTGAATATCGTCGCATAAAGGAGATCGAGGGTGACCTTCAAGTGTGGCATGAACAACTCCCACAGAGGTGGCGTCCCAGTGCCGAGGGACCCATAGAAGTGATGCGGTAAGGCTATTTTCTCATTGCCTTCCAACTATGTTGGCGAGGCTGTTCCCGTACCAACTACTACCCGTTGATCGTTTGCACTGTGGCCACCTTTCACTAGCAGCTAGCTAATCCTTTCTGGCTTCAGAGTTCGAACCTTGTTGCGATTTGCGTACGCACATGTGCAAATGATGCTGTACCGACCCTTCCTTCACTACATTTCCCCAAGGTTGTCCGCCGGTGAAGTTGTCGACGAAAAGTACTACGCTTGCGCGGCTGCTGGAATAAGCGTTTGCCGGAACATCATCCACATAGCGATGGAGATCAAGAACCAGGCCCTCGTGGTCGGCCCATTCTGGTCTATGCTGTATACTCAGTTCTTCGCCATCCTGACTCTGGTATTCTATACTCTCGAAAACCCAGACAAGCCGGGCTCAGCAGAGATATTCGCCGAGGCCAAGGCCGGTCGAGAGATGATTGCCAAAATGGCCCTGAGGAGCCTGGCAGCAGACCGCATCACGAAATCCCTAAGCACCTTGTGGGAGAATCTTCCGGAGTCAGTGAAGCAAGGGAAGCCTAAATCTGTGTCTACGAAGAAGCGGCCTGCGGCTGGGCCAAAACCGGGCCCTGTCCCGCTGTCTACTCACAAGACACCTCTTCCGACGAGCAGGGGCAGCGACACGCGAACAGGAGTCCCGCTAGCCTTCCGTTCTCCCATGCAGGGTGGCAGGTCATCGTCGCGAGGCTTCAGCGTGAACCCTTCCGAGCTACATGCTCTGGATGTGTCAGGTACAGGCGCATCTGATGCCGGAACCCCTTCGTCAAACCAGACGGCCGAGACCCCCTACATCCCACAGCATAGCAACACGCCGAACCAGGCCTTGACCCAGAGCCCGAACGACATCTACAAATTCGACGCCATGATGTTCTCATCGGGCGATCCCTTTGCCTACCCGAACCAACCGCTTGTCGAAGCACAGCCGCCGCAGATGCCACCACCCCCTCAGGCCGACTCAAGCGGCTTCTACATGGCCCCAGGCCTCTACGGCGGAATAGAAGGGCAGTTGAGTGAGTTTGTTTATAATTTGTATACCTATGTCGCCACCAATTTAGCGGGAGAGACTCAGAAGCTGACGCGTCGATCCCACAGCTGGCCCTCTGCCTCCGTACCTTATGCAACACCCGGCCGGACAGGCTGGCCTTGACCTATCGGCACAGATGTACCAGTCGCCCAGCTCGCTGGCTGCGCAGCAGTACCACGTCAGACAAGGCCACCACCACCAGCAGCAACAGCGACAGCAACAACAACAACAACAACAACAACAACAACAACAACAAGCTCACCCAGGAGTGGGCAGGGAAATAGACGAAATGATGACGGACCCGGGTTTCAGCCGGAACTGGGACATGTTCAACGCGAACTTCAAGCCGATGTGAGCAAGAGACTCCTCCCTCAGGGGCCAACGAATGCAGTTTATCGACGCCAGCCGGGACGAGTACAAAACGCGCATCGCTACGAGAACAGGAATGACGAAAGGGTCCAGGGGGGCGGTAGCGAAACTAAAAAAAAAAAAAAGATTACAAAGGAGAGAGGCGGCAGCGTTTGGGGATGTGGGCGTTTACCTATACCCCAGGGCATATACATTGGATCATCGATGGGCGTTTTTTGTGCTTTCTGGTCGGCAGATTTACAGAGCATTTTAGACGTACGGATTTGTTCCAGCGCGCTGTCGGCCCGGGAGTATCAGTGCTCAGGGTGTGGTCGCTCGGATGGGCTTGGACGGGCATTTTGGGAAAGGGAGACACGGGAAACAGCGGTCCTCGCAGGCTTTTTGCACCATCTGGACTACCCTTTTCTTTCTTTTTCTTCTTATTTCTTCTCCCTTTTTCCACACTTCCATTTCTCACTTCCCCTCCTCCTCGAAACACTACATTGTACTACGTTTCACACCGTTGTTCGAGGTGGATCAGCGGGTCCGCCTTGGGGGAGAGATGACGGCCAGTCTGGGGCGACGAGGTGTCCACCCTCGAATACCACAAATGACGCCGCCATAGGACAGAAACGAAACATTACCACACTGCTGCGGCGGTGGCTGTGGCCCGTCACACGGTTGGTGCCTGTGGCCTTGGAAGTCTCCACGTAGAACATGGGGCGGCGCCAGGTGCCTGGAGAAAGCGAGACCTTCTCGGCGTATTCGGGAATCACGAGCCTCGTCACCAACCAAACAACCAATTTCAGGCATTATGTAGATTCATTTTCAAACTCTTTTCTCAACAACAACGGGACGTACCCACATCGCGGTAGGCAGAACCGAAACCACGGGATACGAGAGGTAAAAAAAAAGGTTTTTGTTTTCCAGCCAGCCATGAATCAAAAGAGTCGCACACATAACGTACACGCACCCAGCTTACTTGCTCCTAGTGACCTCGAAGAACTCGGTGAGGCCCTTGGCCACGACATCGACATTCATGTTGACCAGTGGCATCTTCTCGTAGCTGCCCTCCTTCATGATCGCCACCAGCGCCAGGTAGCGGTCGACCTCGCGCAGCATGACGGGCCTGAGCCCCTCGTTGACGACGATGTGGCTCTCGGCGAAGGAGACGGCGACCTGGTCCTCGAGCCGCTGGGACCACGGCGGGCCCTCGAGCCGGTCGCGGTGCGCCTTGGAGCGGCTCCAGCTGCCGTAGACCATGGACACGTCGATGATGACGTCGATGTAGTCAGAGCAGATCTCGTAGCTGGCCATGTCGGCCGGCGCCGAGTCGGTCGCGATGTAGATCTTGGACATGACGTCGAAGAGGTAGGCCTTCTCGAAGCGGCACGTGCGGCACAGGTTGGTCAGCATCGCCTCGAGCTGGCCCAGCCGCGGGATTAGCTTCTGGATGACCTTGGAGAAGGCCTCGAAGATGGAGTGGTTGTAGATGCTGGTGAGGTGGAACGTGACCGGGGCGTTCTCGAAGCCCTCATCCGACAGCTCGTCCTGGATGCGGATGGTGATGTCCCGCTGGATGTCGAGCTTGTAGTCGTCCGATAGGCCGTCGACCTTGTGGATAAACACCTCGATGTTGATGGAGGGATAGTTGCGCTGTAGGTACAGGATAGTACCGTTCAGTCGTGATACCGCCTCGAGGTAATCATCTTGGGCGTCAATGACCCAGATGAGCGCGCCGATCTCGCCAAAGACTGCGTCAATATCGAAGCTTGGGTTGTCGAGAAAGTCGATCTGGCCAGGAAAGTCCCAAACTTGAAAATCCATGAACGACCTGGAGGTCCTTTCCGGTGATCAGTCCGGGCCCTATGCGGCATGAACAGGATTACTTACGCCATGGAGTCTTTCTGAATTCTCACTGTCGACTCCAAGAATAGCGTTTCAGAGGGCGGTACTTTGTGGAACACGACGCTCGAGATGGATGACTTTCCACTCCTATTCACGACCGTCAGTCTCTGATGCTCCCCCTCCCCCTCCACCCTGGTTACTGTACCCGGAAAGGCTTACCTCCTCTGGCCCATGAGCAACAGTCTTGGTTTGCTCTTGCCCGCGTTTGCGGCCGCCACATCGTTCGTCGGGGACAGGGCCCCATCTCGTCGTTGTAATCGCGCTCGATTCTGTTCGTAAAGACGTTCAAGATTTAGCGCTGCTGGACTGACATATTTGACGTTGGGTCGACGGGGCGTTCCGGGAGCGGACGAGCCGCTGGACCCCATTGAGGACATAGTGTGCATAAATCAAATGGCAAAAACTGGTAAAAGAAACAGGGTTGGTTTGAAGTGTAAGATGAAGCAAAGACGCTATGCCTGGCCGGAGTAGGAGATGGGGGTAAGCGGGCCTGGAGAGCCTTCCATACAGGCACAGAACGACCGAACACCGAAGTGACTGGTTGTATGCGCTCTTCATATATCCCTCACAACCAGCCTGGAGGTCTGCAGTGGCTACTTGTAGTTTTGTCGACGGAAAAGGCTGTGATGGACCACTCGATCGGGACAGACCGTTGCTGCAGTATCTCTCAGGCTGTTCACAAGGCCTGGCAGCTACCTTCCAACATTGGTCAAACGGTCGTCCGGAACCTCGGGAGGCAACTGCCACGATCTATCGCTGGGCGTAGGAGGATAGAGGGGGAAGGGGATATAAGTCTCGCTTCCGCATGCATAGACGGGAAGACGCATGAGAGTTGGCGTTGATACGCACATGGCATCGCCTCCCAGGTCGGCAAAAGAGCGAGGATGGCCGGCCGTTCCTTATCTTCTGCCCGCATCCGCTGCTCCCGTTCAGCTACCAGATTTTGTGACGGCCGAACTAGCGAAGGAGCAGGAGGAAGGCAGAGATACCAATCACCCTGGGGGTCGCACAGGCTCGTAGAGTGGCTCAGCAATAGTCGGTGAAAGCTGAGAATACAAGCTGAGGTGACTCAACTCGAGATCCCCTGCCTGATCCAAGCTGACCCAGCGCACTTGCAAGGCTGACTGTTGGGCCTGGTACAGGAGAGCCCAGTATACTAAACCCCGGGGTCACTGGGGCAACTTGATGCAGTGAGATGCCACTGGGCAGGGCATGTGAAGCATCCGTGGTGGAGTGATGCAAAGGGCTCTTGGAAAATGGACTGCGGGCACAGGCGGCCTCGGGAGTTGCCACCTCGTGTAGCGGTAGGTTGAGGTATGACGAGAACCGAGGGGGTGGTACTCGGCCGTGCAGCGGCCGAGACAAGTCAACCACATCGAGCAGCAAGCCCAGAGTGCAGGACGGGGTGAAAGACCATGGGCAGCCAACAGGGAAAGCAGAGACATAGGAAACACAGGGGAGAGCATTACCTCCATGGTGGGCGTGGTTTGAGATCCAACCGGCACACGCGTCTGCCTCCTTAACAACCCAGAGCAGCAAGGCTTGAACGAATCAGGCCCAGAGGGTGTGCCCGCAGAGGTGCAGGATTACTTCGTCCAGAACGGCACAGCTCATACCGGTATCCTTGCCCTCGAGCCGCCCCAGAGGGCCACAGGGGCCGTGAAGAGACAGCTGCGATGCGACGTGAAGCTGACAGGTGACGCGAGGCGGATGGCTGGCCAACTAGAGCACGTGTTAAACACAGAGCACAAAAGTAAGCCAAGAGTCCTTCTCCTGGCGGGCAAATTTGAGTGGTTACCGACCAGATTGGCAGATGTCTAGGGGGACCAGGGGGACCAGGCACGTTCTCAGAGGGAGATCCGAAGGTGAGATGGAAAGACCGGCGTTGTCGGCAAGGCACGCGTGGTGATGAGTCTGCAGGTGAGGAAGCCCGAGGTTCTTGGGTTCGAGCCCTGTGGTGTGCAATGCAACACGAGTCGAGAGCCTTGTAGCGCTGTGCCGGGCTGCGTCACTTGTGGTGTTCAGGAGGCGCTGGACGTGAGCAGAACCACTCAAGGGCGGGACAATGGCTCCTTCCAAGGACAGTCGAGGTGGTGCTATTGTAAATGTCGACCTGTGGAGGTGGCAGACGCTTCGATCCTGAGATGGGCCCGTCACTAACAAGATGAAGTTGTTCATGAGCCTTTGAGCACAGCCGGCTGTTTGGGCAAAGGCCCTTGGCATGCCCCAGCCACAAAACATGTCAGGGTTAGGGTACACAGCTGCTAACCCTACCAAAGTGTTAGTCTATCTGGTCTCGACCCCCAGCTGTCACTTGTGCCAAATCAACGTCAAAGATGCTTCTGCATACGGGAGACACCTGACATGGCACAGGCACGGCACAGCATGACACAACATCTTCATGGTCGGCCGTATGGTACCAAAAGTCTTGGTGTCTCACACGGACCAGGCAACACAAACCACAGCCGGGACAGAAAGGAACAGGACATTGATCTTGCAGCTATCCAAAGGCCTGCCTCGCTGGCTGGTTGATCATGCCTCATCCTCGAGCCCCTCTCATTACCCTGAATACTGCAGAGCCCAACGGTTCAGGATGCTACGAAATGAAGATACAATTGTGATGACTGAAGGCTGTGCTTCTACAAGGCTGACCTCGGAAAGTCAGAGACTGACATTCAAGGCATTTCGGGTACCTGCTTCTCGTTTTCCTTCCTGTTGCCCGGCCGTCCGAACAGGCCCGCCACAAAGCTCTTCCTGCGTTTGGCCACCTTTACTTTCTCGGGTTTGCTCTTCTCGCCAACGGGCGTGGTCTCCTCCACGCTCGTGGGAGGGGTGATCTCACCAGCCAGAGGCGACGCCTTGATGTTCGAAAGGGGCTGTGACCCAGTCAGTGGCAGACCTCTTGGTGGGCCGTAGACTTACACCCACCTTGACGCTCAACCTCTTCTGCCTAGCGAAAATCGCTGGCTGCTCCTCGTCAATAACGCCCATGGAACCGTTACCATTTGCTTCCTCCTCCAGAGACTGTGCCAGAGTCCTCCCATTGAGTGCCATATTGTTCTCTGCCATGGCGACGAAACGTATCAAGCCCCTGGGCGGCGGCACGCCTAGTGCTTCCTCGAGGTGCTCCGACAGCAAGTAGGCATTGCGCTGATTTGTGCTGGGTTGGACATATGGGCCCAGAGCTGAGAGCGTCAGGGTATATGCGGGCTCGAACGTGCCCGCGAAGAATATGCAGGCAGAGTGCTGGACCTGGACGGCGACGGAGGACAGAGGCCTTTGATAGCGCTCGGCAATCTTGGCGCTCAGCTCGGTGATGAAGATGAATTCATCGCCGATCTAGCCGGTGATGAGTGAGTTACCTCTCCTGATGGCGGACATTCATCGCGCTGTGCATAGACCTATCAGTGGGTGGTGGACTCACGATGACATTGGTCTTCAATTCAACCACGACCATGGAGTCACTCTGTATCCTCTCACGGAGCGTGTCCATAATGCACCTGCCTGAGAAAGCTTCCTCATAGTAATGAGTCTTCCGCCTTGAGAGTTCTGCCCTGCCCATTGTCACGGCTGCTGGCTTGAGAGTGTCTCCTGGCGGTCTTCGAGTAATAGGCTGCACGAGCTCGTCCATCTCGGTGAGTTGAGGCAGTGTCCACGGGTGCCTGTTCGCAACGGCTTGCCGCTCGGAGATGGACATCTTGGATGAATATTTCGGCTGTCTGGTTGAGACACCCGGTCAAATGGTCAAGCGGTGATCAGGTATGTATACCGAAGGGAAAAGCTGGCCCCCTAAGTTTTGCTGACAAACGAGTATCCTGCGGATGAACGTTGATTGCCACGTCTTTATTGTGACAGAAAAATTCCTCATCTAAAGACAGCAGCGCCAGTGAGTATCTGAACCTTGAGATAGGGTGCGTGTGGGCTCAAGATGAGCTGTAGTACTGTATCACGTGTATGCCTCTCCCGAGGAGTCTTTGATGTGGCTTGCACGAGGTTCAATCATGCCTGGCTGTCTGTTTCATGCAGGACCCGTGGTGTGTCGTTGGGTGCAGCAGACGTATGTTGGATCAGTTCGTTCTCGTCTCAGCTGGGACCTGAAAAATGGGGACTTGGGCAACGCCGTCTTTTGGATTGAATTAGTAGCATGAATGAAATGCCTCGATGCTAAACGACGGACGGATAGCAACATAGTGAGCCGGAATTCTGCTTGTGGAGCTGAGTAGTGTCACTAGGCAGAGGACAGCTGGTTTTCTCCTTCATTTCAAGCTCACACACTCACGTATGGCAAACAGACAGCGGAAGGGACAATCTGTATGCTGCTTCCCGCGGCCGGGTGGTAGGGAAGGGGCAACTGGCTGGGGTGGTTTCACCATTAGACACCACAATACCTGAGCATGTTCACAATTCGGAATGATCAAATCTGTGACGGAAAGGAGATATATGTCTCGGTACGTTGTGCTACATGCGGCTGGTAGCCCTTGAGCTCATCTTCAATCTGTGACCATCAACTTCCGTCAAGCATGGACTGAACTGAACTCTGAGAAAGCTTTTACAATGCACCAGTCGACTTGCATGCGTCAAGCATTGAATGGTTTGGCATCGAGTAAACCGCAAATGCAACCCAAACGCCAATGATCAACGCGGAAAGGCCAAGAGTCCAAAGTCCAGCCCTGCTGCCCGACACCAGGCGTCTCTCACACCGCTGCCTGTGCAGCTTAACAACCACGACTGGTCCGCTCACATGACCAGGCTCTTAAAGATAGGTAATTACAGCATGACCATCGCATAATCCAACTGCGGCCAGCTCACGCGACAGGACTTCCCTTCCTCGCATGCGCGTATGCAGTGACGTGCTTCTCGACCTTGAGCTGCCAGCCCGCAGCACACAGAGCTATGGCCTCCAGGGGCACAAGGACGACAGCCAGGTACACGCTCGCCCAGGACTGGCCACACAGCGTACCAAAGTAAGGGGCCTGCCCCATTTGAACTGACCTCCACCGGCACGTCCAACTGAGCAGGGAGTCGGTCGTTTCCGAGGCGTTGATCGCGTAGAAGACGATGACGGCCACCAGTGCGGCCACGAAGCCAACCACAGGCGCGGCAAACATCACCGGGGTGTGGACGGGGGTGTTGTTGCGGAGCTACGGAGGAAGGGTCAGCCTGCTGGCCAGAACGAGGTTCACCGGATAGAAGAATGCACAACGACTTACACGAGGGACCTTGCTGCATAGCAGAGCTGCAAGGTTTGCAAGGGTGACGAGAGAGCTTCCAGCGACAAGAGCAACAGTTGGCTGCATGTCGAAAGATTCGGGCCACATGGAGAGCAGAGGGCTCCCCTCTAGCCTCGTCGTGTTGTAGACCCTTGTGGCATCGGCGGAGAGGCCCATGATAGTGATGCCACAGAGTAGGGCGAGGGCAGTGGTGGAAACCCTGGCTGCATCGATCAACTTGAAAGTCTTGGTCTGCCCCTCAAGATACTGGTCGCTGTGAGAGTCCACCTCAAAGGTAGACGAGGAAGCCTCATGCTTGATCGATGAGCTCGCCATGGTGGTGACAAAAGAATCGAAACGGGGTATCAAATAGGAACGAGACTGAAGCGAAGGGAAGAAACAAGAGACTAACGAGACAGATCAAACAACAAGAACAGCAACTCGTACCACTACTAGAGAGACGAAACTTCAGAAGAAACGAAACAGAAGGAGGAAGATGGGTACTAATAAACCACCACGGGCCATAGGATGACTTGATACAAGTCCCTCGCAACAAGGTTGATTATGTCTTGCAGATTGCAGGGGAAAAGCAACGGATGCCCACCCAGTAGCCGCCAGCACCCAGGCGCCTGACGAACGGCCATCATCTAAAACCGGCCGCACAGTCCAGTGCGTGTCTATCTCGAGCTGCGAGCGTGAGCGGGAGAGTTAGTGTGACTTTCCAAATTTACCTGCGCAGACGAGACACCACCGGGCTCAGCGCGTATGCAGTGAGAATCGGGGGTGCATTGTGTTTCCAGCCTCTCAGTGAGCACGACCGGAGAGAAACAAGAGCTCCCACATCTCGGATTGGCCCAGCAGGCGGCACGTCAAAGTGGGGTGTCCTGAAGCGAGGGCGTGATGGCGGCACAGGATTGGTCTGCATGAGGTTCGAATGCAGGGGACGTGGGAGGAAACGCTCCCGCATCGCCCAAAAAACCCTTGGCCGCGCCCGCCAGGTCGCCCGCCAGCCAGGGGTCTCTCCGTCAGCGGCCCGGCGCTTAAAAGTTAGGTATGTATGCCCCATACCCTGCTGGTGGTGACGGTACAGTACAGATGTACCCGCCCATGCCTGCAGGGTTTCCTCCCAATCAGAACTGCCGAAGGCGGTCCCTGCTCCTCTACCTAGGTACGTGCCGACATACCTAGGTAGCGCCCGTCCATTCTTCCTGGTTGCGCACCCAGCGATCAACTATGTAATGACTCCCTCTGCTTGGACCCTTGCCATCCTCGACCTCAAGGTTCGCCTGAAATTCCACCCTACCTCACGGCGTCCAAAATTGGAACTGCCACGATCTCATGTAGCTAGCTCCAAGGGGCCAGCCGCCTCGGCAGCTCGGCAGTCCTGGAACCGCTGCTCGTGAAGCTCAACACGGATGTTCCCCCGGTCGATGCATTCGATGGCCTTGAACGCCTGCTGCCAGTCTACCAGTCCGTCTGCCCTGCTGGCCATGCTCCAAGACTGCAGTTGTCCGGGGCTTCTAAGACAACCTGCCTCCCACTTGTTGTCTCCGATCTCCGAAGGTCGCTCCTCTCGCCTGCTGGTGTGGCTTGCCTGGGCCTGGCTGCAGTCCTTGCGGGCCCCGAAGGCCATCGGGGTAGAGCCTCGACTCTTCCCACCACCTCCACGGGCCTCTGCCACGTGTGTCCCGACACATGCGGCTCATGTGCACCGGAAAGCCATTTCCAAGCCTTGATCAGTAATCCAGCAGTCGACCTGCGCGCAACTGAGGGCTAGCGGTCTGCCTCGTGCGAGACTGGCGCATGTCGCTCTTCCTGCTCCACGCTGTACTCGCTGGCCCCATACGCCTCGGAATAACACTCGCCTGGCCGGCTGTCAGCGCGATTCTTCCGACCCCAGCACGGACTGTAGTTTGACGTCCTTCCTGGCAGTCGATATTGGAAGACTTGCAGTACGGCCGACGCCATCTTGGATTGCGGGACATTGCCAGCTGCTGGTTGTAGCCAAGCTGTCGCCTAGGGATCTACTCATCCACTTCAGGAAACTATCGCCTGCCCGTGGGCAACCATCAAATGCTCTATGCAGCAAGACAATCATCATGCCACTGACGACCGGTCAAGTCCCCCACGCGACTCGGCGAGACTGACCGTTTACATCTTAACCTGTGTGCATCTTGCCTTGGTCCACGCTAACGGCTTGTTGCAGGAGTGGTCGCGCAGCCGGCGTTGGCGTCCTCCGCTCAGAGGAGAAGCAGTCATCGGAGCTGTCCATCTGGCCCTCTCGCATGTTTTCCTGCAGCGGCCCAAATTGCCGGCCCTCTGGGGCCAATGATCTGGACCAGGGTGAGTCTGCTCCCCAGGGTTTATATGGCGGGACAAGATAAGCGAGAGGGCGGCGTGATGTGGTCGCTTTGCATTTCTACACTATACGAGCGCGAGAGTGATGATCCAGGCTCTTCATTGCCATGCAGCGGATCGAGCCCGGGGCAGCTAGATCTGGAAACAGACGTGACCCGTCAGACCGGAGCCGAGGAGCTGAGCCCTCTAGCCGGTCTAGCACGGCTGTCTAGACAGCTTGACGACAGTGCGCTCTCGCTTCGCACCGCCAACTTCGCCTTGGTTACACAACTGAGGGGGTGCAAGCCTGGAATATTCCGCCGAGGCCGTTCAGAGCTCTCTGTGCAAGGTCTCGTGTACATAGAGCAGCAGCTGCAGCGGACATGATCCCCTGCTGGCCAAGCTAGTTGTGCGCTGACCTCTGCATACTGGTACGTAGGCAGCTTTTTTTTTGGACAGAGCAGGCCGCCTCTGGAAGAAGCAACCGATGCAGCTGTCAACCTCGCCTCTGCCGGTCCACTGTTTTGATCTGTGGCCGGCCTGGGAGTTCCTTATTTCGAGACACGAATAGAAGAAACCGCCCAGATGATGGTCCAGGCCTCAGTCTTCTGCTGAGGCCAAGCTCGCAGTCATGATTTCTCTTGGTCATCCCGTACTGCTCAGTTCCCAAGGTCCCACAGACTTGACTGACGGCCAATTACTCCGGACGGTTTCATAGGCAAGGATCCGCATCCGGGTTTTAACCCAAGAGTACAGAGCAGTCAGAGGACAGGGATAAGTCCCAGTTCTCCGGACACGACGATGTTTCTCGGTCTCCAACAACACTATCGGCATGCGCCCGCGCGTTCGCCGTGGACAGACGTCAGGAAGTCCTGGTGTGTGTCTGGGTGCCGGGCCCGCCACATCGGCCACATTGTTCCCTGGAACCTTTTGAGATCAGTCGAGCTTGGCGTGTGCGCAGCAGGTGTCTTGCGTACCGGCTACTCCGACTACATTGCGGTAATATGCCTACAGCATGTGTGTTTGTACATGCGAGCTAGACCGCCTCGACCGCCTCGACACTAGTGTCTCGGGTGTCCGAGTTACTTTCCCTTTTCTATCTTACTTTCACGAACTTCATGTGAGTCTGCTCATATAAGGGTCAATTGCCATACCTGCTCTTGACTGCCGTGTAGATAGGTACCAGCTCTCGGGAGATATCGGTCTTCTTGTTGTCGTCTGTAAGGCCTGCACATCTCTCACACTCATCCATCACTTCTCAAAACATCAGGCCGAACCACGTGGCTTGGCCAGATACTTGGCCTGGGTCTGATTTTACTGCGCCAGCAATGGAAGAGACCAACTCGGCTGGACAGGGGAGGATCTTCGTAAGCCCCCCCACATACAGCTCCCCGTTGACCTGTCACTTATCGATCCTCGTCAGCACCTATTTTCCAAACTCCCGGCCGAGCTTCGATGGAAAATATGGGCCTTCAACCTGCCAGGCCCGAGACTGGTATCTGTTTATTGCGGCTCTAAATCTCTGACTTCTGGGTTGGATAGCGGCCGCCCTCTCCCTTCCCCGTCGTCCTCCTTTGGGTGCACCTCACAGGCCAAAATCCCACCGAATCTTCATGTTTGCCATGAGTCCCGCCGCGAAGCTCTCCGACAGTACCGGGCTTCGTTTGGCATAGCCCGGCAGCCTGGGCAGACCTTCTTCGACTCGGAGCAGGATTATCTGTACTTTGGTCCCCGGGACGGTTTTATGGCCTCCGAGGCAAATCTGCGGACGGTGCTGAGCCTGTGTGACCCGACCGAGCTGGCCCAGGTGCGCCGTGTCGCCATCAACGAGGCGCTGTTCTGGGTATATGATTCTGCTTGGCACCGCCAGACTCCATGCTACCATGACCACCACCACAACCACCACCACAACCACCACCAGCACCTCCTTCAGCAGCAGCAAAACCAGCAGCTACAAACCCCTCCGACCCCTCCGACCACACCAATGGAGAGCCAGCATCGGCGCCAACCCCAAGAAACAAACACCCCGTTGCCACATCCCGGGCCCCTCCCAACCCCATCAACACCACCACCGCCCGCAGCGGCAGCCACCATGACACACACAAGCATAGCAGCTTCCCTGCTGATCGACATCTTACGCCTGGTCCGCGCGCGCCTCCCCGGGCTGATGGAGCTCGTCCTCGTCCCGCGCGACGAGAACCCGCTGTACAGCAGCGACTGCTACCTGACGGAGCCCGCCATGGGCCAGAACCGCCTGAGGAGGCAGGTCAGCGAGGCGCTGGCGGCTGCCTTTGGCGGGGCCGTTGACGGCGATGGCGAGGGCACCCCGAACGGATCCGACGCCCTGCCGCCCTGGGAGTGGAAGATCAGGACGCTCAGCGCTGACCCTGACCCGCCCTCGTACGACAGGCTAGTGCTCGGGTGGTGTGTGGCCGGCGCTGACACTGCCGGTGGTGGGGCGAAGGACGGTCGGGGAGGCGGGATGGTTGGGGCCAAGGGATCTATTGGCGTCACTACGAGGCTCGGCGCGGTGCAGGAGAGTGCGAGGAGGTTTTTCGAGGTGGAGATGGAGGTTGATGTATGTGGGCATTGAATGTTCTCACGGGCCGGTATGCTCGGTGGAAGTTCGGTGCCATAATATCTGTGACTACTTTATTCATCATATACCTTGGCCTATTCCAGATATCATTCCACATCGGCTCACGCAACCTGCTTGTGCCATGCTTGGTGGTAGCAGAGTGCCTGGGCCATCGGGGCTGTCCACAATGCCTGTATGCGCACACATTCTTGCATCACGGACCTCATGTTTCTGGGGCATAATTTAATCCGTGCGACTCGACAGCCGCGGTTCGAAGCTACGCCCGCCCAGCCAACATGTCGCTCTGCCCAACGGACAAGGACGGTGGCCGTCTAAGCTTGCAGCATCTGCGCCTGGTCCGGCAGGGAATACACCTTGTAAGTGACCTCATCCTTGCCCAGCAGACAGACCCGTGCAGGGACGCCTCCCCTGGCGTCGCTAGCCTCCATGACCTCCATGCGCACCGGCACGAAAGAGGCCACGTCCTCGGGAAATTCCATCACCCGCACCGACGACGCCGACGCCCCGTACGACAGTGTTGTGATGCCGGACTCGTTGGCCTCGTAGCGGGGACTCACCGGCCGGAACAGTATGCGTCGCAGGTTCGGCTTCCCGTCTTGGGTACTAAAGGTCAGTCTTCCCGAATGGCAAGACGTTGCGTAATGTTTGGGGCATACCTTTGGAGTGGCACAAGGCCAGGAGGACATCGTCGTTCAGGAACTTGATGTCAATTATCCGGCCGCCGCTGCCTGGTTCCATGCAGTGGCTGTGGTAGAACGCAGTGGAAGGGGCGCTGCTGATGCCATTGATAACCTCAATCTTGGTCTCGAAGACACCAACTGGGAGAAACTTCCTTAGCATCTAGTTGTTACTTACAGCTCCGTTGAGAAAGACTTACCGTCAAATGGGTTCTCCTCAGTCACCACAGCTGTGTACGTGACGCCGTCCACACCATTCTGGGAAAGGCACCGTTAGTACACTCTAAACGCAAGCCAAGAACGATATGCGTAGGCCTAGACTCACTGGTTTGGAGACAGAGCACATCCTCGCATCCACGGCGGTGAAAGTCTCCAGGCCCGAGTTCCCGCCAGCCAACTCCAGTTTCACAGCCTGTCCGAAGCGGACACTGCGCTTCTCCGCCTCAGCAATGTTCTTGAAGACATCTGCCGCCTTTGCGGTGAGGAAGTCAACCACAAAAGCCATCTGTGTCAGGCCTTTCATGTACGGGCCCCCGGCCTCGTGACGCTTGAGCTGTTTGTCCAGCTCATCCAAAACCCCGGAGCTATCCTGCACGCGCTCCCAGTCCTCGTCCCAACTCTCCCTTGGCACTTTCGCAAAGTGAATGGCCATGGGGCTGCTGACCAGGTACCTCTCGACGTACCGGAGTATCTTGGCCGGGTCTAGGAGGGCCTCTTTCTCCATCAAGTCCTCCGGCACCGTGCTGGAGGAAACCCTATCTATGGTGAGACGGACCCAGGACGAGAACATGCGGAAGAGCTCCAGCTCCTCCATCGTGATGAGGAGGACTTTGTGGCAGATGAGGTTCAGGGCGGACAAGATGTCGACTAGCCGCGTTATTTCGGTATTTGTGAAGCCGACGTGGTCTTCTTCCTCGTGGAACCTAGCGATACCCGAGAGTCGGCTCAAGATGAGCGTGCAACGCTCTATGGCTGGCAGCATGTTCTCGTGTATGAGATTACGAAGATTCTCGAGTCCAGGGATGACTGCCTTCTCCCAACGCTTGTGGCCCTGACAGCTGGTTTAGAGACTCGTCCTGGCGCACAACATACAAAGGGCTTACTTACTCGATCGCCAATGCTGTCTACCAGCCACTCTCTGACAGGACGATGGACATGTCCCGTCAGGACAGTATGATACAGGGCCTGGACAATATTCGTAGGGCCAGACTCCATCTTCTGAAGGTCCTCCTGGATGAACGACAGGAAGCGAGAGGGCAGTTCCCGCGTCGAGGACCACTCATTAACGATGTGTGTTTGTGTTTGCTTCAAATACCGCAGTAGCTTTTGTAATGTGGTCGTTTTAGACGCCAGGAGAGACAGGTTCACCGGCGAATACGAAACAAATCTTAAATCCATGGGGACCAGATACAGATGCTTGACACGCTCCTCGCCACTTAGACGTAGCAACAGAGCGTGGGTTGACACCTCCGGGTGAGCGGCGTGCAGGCCAAGCTGATAGCCACCGTCGAGCTGGCTGGAGTTGGGGCTCGGGCCCTGCTTTATAGGGATCCTGAAAGTTCCTATAGGGAAGGAATCGTAGATGCTGACCTGCACACAGCCGTCTCTCGTCCCTACAACCATAACATCGACCTGGTCGTTGTCTTCGGGCTTGAGCGGCGAGAACATAGACTCTAAGGACGCAGTGGTCGAGAAAACGAACATGTCGTCCCCGATACCGCCAGAGACCGGTAGGGGGCTGATCTTGGGCAGCGAGGCGTCGATCTCGAGAAACGTGAGCGCGTGCGGCAGGTCCGCGAGGCCGTCGGCCCCAGCTCCTCCTGAATCGCCTTGGCGCAGCTCATCCGCCGAGGACAGGCCTAGGCCTCGCAGCCCGGACGCGATGTCATTGACGGCGCCGAAGTGGCGCTTCCCCGTCAGGTTGCGGGCCCAGGCGACGTATGTGATGGGCTCCGGGTCTGCGTCTAGGTCTGCAGGTTGCTGAGAGACGATGATGCGGTGGACAACCTTTGTGTTCTCCACCCCCAAGAGACGTACAGTTCCGTCATCCCATGCGACGGCTAAGAACTGACCTGGGATCAAGTCAGCAAGATGTCTCCGGACGAGGTGGGCCACCAGGAAAGGGAAGGGAGCGGAGGCAACAGACCGTCGGGCCTCCAGCACAATGCCTGGACAGTGTGGGCACGATCGGTGCTGCTAGAAACGAGCTCGCCTTGGGCACGCCTTATTGCCAGGGTGTTGGCGTCGTTGACGGTGGCTGCGAGGTTCAGCGTGGGCGAGCATGCCAGCAGCTCCGGGGACACGGCCGCCGGGAAGCTGCTCTGGCTAAACAGGCCAAGCTTCAGTGCTTTGGCCGACATTGCTCTCGTGATGACTATCTCTGGGCCCAGTGGAATTCATTTTTTTTTTCAGGGATGCATTCCTTTGCAGGGTTTGGAGAGCCCAGCACTGGATCAGAGTGTGGTCTCAGGGCGTCGCGTTTTGTGTGTGGAAGTCGCGTCCTGGGCAGTGCAAATGGGCAGGCCTGCCTTGGTCTCTCCCCCTGCAACAGGGTGCAGCACATACAATCAGGCTCACTCATGCTCGCCCATCCCAGGATCGAGGTAGAACACAACAGACTCAGAACAACATCGTTTCAATTCATGCCCGTCATCATGAACACAAAATCAAGGTTTGCCTCGCGCGGTTCATTGGAAGTGGTTTCCCGTTATACACTAGACTACAAGTACAGTACAGCACCGCCTGGGCAGTTCGTTGCTTGAGATGCCAGACCAAAGGGGGCCCAACTCCATAACGCACTCACAAACGCCGCCGTGAGCATTGGTTGCTCTTGCTCTATTGCCGACCGAGCCCGATCCTGTTGACTCCGGTGCCTCGCAAACATTCGCACCTCTCGCTGTACCCTTTCCAAATGCATTTTGCTCAAGTGCTATGCAAGGTATCGCAATCCATGGTTGGCCTTCGTTGTCTTCCAGCACCATAAACGATTGAAGACAACGACCTTCGCTCATGCTTCCAAATTTCGCCCGTCATCGCTGGATGCCTCCTCGGCATCTTCCATGTCCGAGTCAACAAATACTAAATCTTCTGTCTCCGAATCACTGAAGACGCCTTCATCCCTCCAATTGATCTCATTGTGCTTCTCCCTCGCAGCTTCGTCCCATGCTCGGTGCGCTTCTGCGTCCAAAACTGCACTCCCTGCAAGGAGGCATGGATCCCCTCCTACGTCCATCTCCTGTGCTTTCCACAGATCATTCAACGGATTCCCCCCGAATATGCCACCTCTCATGGCAAAAGGGCTTGCGCTGGCCTTTTTGCTGTCGCCACCGCCCGAGTGTTTTCTGGACTCCCGCTCTTGCAGCTCTTGCAACGTGACAGAAGGTCTTGGCGATCTGAACACCCCGTGTGCTTCATCGTGGTCGATGAATTCGCCATCATCATCATCCAGCAAGGAGCCCGTATCCTTGTCTTGCGCGCCATCCATTGTGGATAGCTGCGTGGATGGCCGAAAGGCTTCGTCCAAGTCATCGATCGGCTCCCCGGCGTTCTGCATGCTTTCAAAGGCCCCTTGAAGAATGGAATGGACCACATTGCCAGGAGTGGGTCTGCCGGAAGTCGCGCCATCCTACTGCGCTACATTCTCGGACGAACCCATCTGTGTCATCTCCTGCCCATCTAATGGCAAGGCGGTGCCACCTGCTGCGGTGGGTGTACTACCCGGTCCACTAGAGCCGCCGATCTCGAGACCCGTTATACCCTTGGTGAGGTTGCTAAGGATACCGCCGCTATTCGGGCCCGTCTGTTGCATATGGGGGACTTCCACACCAGCGAGCACAGTCTGGCCAAAGGACCCTGCAGCGGAGCTGCTTGCACGAGGACTTCCGGGGGCCTGCGGGGTTCCAGGAGCGCTATTAGCGGCGCTGTGACCAGGCAGAGGGCTGGCTGTGGCAGATTGAACTGCTTTTGCAACCCTGTCGGTTGTTGCCGCCGCCGCATCCAAAGCGCCGTTCATCTCCTGGTCAGTCCTGTTGAAGAGCTGATACCACCACCGCACCTCGTTAAGGCGTGGGAATATCAGTCGCTCCTTGCCCCTAACGTTGTCGTCAACTACAGGATCGTAACTAGGATTCGTGAATATGTCCCGTCGGCTGAGGAAGTAGTCCCAGACAGACGAGGTTCGCTCATGGAGTTTGGCGTCGATCCTCTGCTTCTCGTTGTTGAGCAGGAACGTGCCGTATTGACAAGAATGCAGGTGGTAGAAGAGACGACGAAGAAAACGCTCGTTGAACTCAAACCGGTCGGGGAATTGTCGAACCAGCTGGTACACAGCATCAAGATACTGGTGGAAGACAGGGCTGATTTCCTTTTCTCGAGTCGCTTGGTCTTCTATGGCTGGTGTTGATGCCCGCTCATTGGCGGCAGCAGCGGCGGCAGCAGCAGCAGCCAGATTGTCGGGGTCCGAGTCCTCCCTGTCCTTGTCCGAGCCCCAGCCGTGCTTTCGGAAGAAGCCCTTGGTATTCTCTAATGCCATCTCCAACACCTCGGTGCGCCCATCAGTGTCACCAGGCTCGATTTTGGTACCAGCCATTCCGTCGTCCAGACAGACAAATTGCCCGAGCAGACCCAGAGGCCCTGATCGTTGATGAAACATATGCCCAAAAGACAGCCAGTCCTTCTCAATCAGCACGATAAAACCAGTGATTGTGCGGTAGTAGGGGTCGAGCATGATCTGTGACAAGGCGCTCAGCTGGCTGGTGCGGTCCCAGCCATCCGAGCAGTGGATCAAAACATGTGAATGCTGTATGCCCACTTGTCTGGCAATCAGAGCCGATCCGTCCAATATTCCAGTGATGTGCTTCAACCAGTCACTCTTGGCAAGGAGGTCCTGGCTGGGCGGCCCGTTAGAGATGTCTCCATCCTTGAGGGCGCTGATGACCTTGTTCAGGCTGTTTCTCATGACGTGAATGTTTTGGATGTTCAAATATGCCTTCGTCGCAAATTTGTAATAATCCATGTTCTCAGAGCCCTTGCCCACGACCTGCATGGCCATCGAATTGATGGCAGGTCGAGCATCAATGATCAAGTTGTGCTGCTGGGCCCCAAAGATGATCCTTTTTCCCTTCTCGTCGTGGAAAGCGTCACCAGCTGACAGCAGCTCTGGCTCTGTGGGGTCTGGATCGGCGGAGCCGAGGTCAGCATTCTCCGAAAGACCAGGCTGGCTGCCCGAGGGACTGGCGTCGGCGCTCAAGGAGGGCGGCGCCTCCTGGATGTAAGGATTCGAGAAGCAGGCCTCGACCAGGGCTTCATCTTGACGGTTGCGGTTTCCGGTGATGCCCACCCTGGGCTGGGAGCTCCGAGTGATGGAGCAGTTGTTGATGGGGTGCAGGTATGACAAGGTGGGCACGCGGGATCGAGTGCGGTGAGAGGCAGCATACTTCAGAGTCGCGTCGGAAATCTTGTTAGGGACCACGAGAACAGATGGGTATGTAGGAGAGAAGCTGTAGTCGGCGTTCAAGTCAGAGACCCTCCAGCCTTTGTCCTGTAGCTTGCCGCCAATGCCCTGGCGCCGGAACTCGGCTTTGGCGTCGTACAAGTGCCACCCATTTATGCCGCGCTCCTGCTTTGGCGCATGGTAGTTGAAGGCATGCAGCTTGTCTATGCTACCGAGCCGACACGAGCGAGTTTTTATGAGGTTGAAGGCGTCCTGAGCTTCCTTGTGGTCGTGAAAGTGGAACAGGACGAAGTAGAAGTCGCGACAGCGAAGACGGATGCTAGATTCTCGTCCGGAGTTCGGAGGAGTCGGTCGATACTCGCAGGACGCAATCATGGGGTATGCGACCCATGATTCTCGGGGGCGCTCTTTGGCGCCGTTTTCGGCCGCTTCGGTTTTGAGAGGGGGGGCGGTAAAGATGATGTGGTAGTCCGTCAATCTGAGGCAGCCTCGGGTTGTCTCGCCCCGGGCCACCGCAGTGACATCTTCTATGGTCTGAGTCCGAGTTGTCAGTGTCCGTCGGCGCAGAGGGCGAATGATGCCAGGGCTGGTGACGCGGTGCTCAAGGTTCGCTCTGGGGACTCACCTGTCTAATTTCCACCATTTTGGAGAGAGACTCATGGAGCCTATGGATGTTCTGGAAGCGCTGCTGCTGATTGCGATGCCCTTGGGGATTTTGGAAATTGCTGTTGAACCATGGACTGTTGGTAAAGAGCCGACAAGCGATGCAGAAACCGACAAGGACAGCAGCGCCAACAACAACGACAACAAGGGCGGCAGAGGTGAAGCTGTCGGGAAGGTGACGACGACGTGAAAGGTCGAGGGCGAAAGGAGTTAGCTCGTGGGACCTGAGATGGTACCCACCCCAGGTAAGAGTAGGTAGGAAGCCTGCAGCTGTGGTGAATGGCTTTCAGCGGCAAGTGAATCAAGCTGGGAGAGTCGCTCTTGCTTCCATTCACTTTGGGTGCCCAAGTGTCGTCACGCAGTCAGCTCCAACCTGCCCAGGTGTTGTCGAAAAGCTGCCAGCTCCAGAAGCCAGATCAGAAGTATCGAAGCATGTGAGCGCATGCTCAGCTCTGCTATGCTCCTCTGCAGACACGCCGCTTTGCGCTTGTGAGAACATGGCTAGCTGTACTTCCAGGCGCAGCGGGGAGGTACCTGACCTGAGTGTACCCCGCTGTAGCGCCATAGTCAGCTTCACTCGCGGCAGGCAGAATTGCCGGATGCGTCTCTGGGGTTGGCGGCAGCTAGACCAGGGTCAGTAAGTGACCTTGCAGTGTCTGGAAGAAAAAGATTGGACCTGGCTGTGAGGGTTCTTCGAGCCTTCTCCCGCTGCTTGCCCGCCTGCAAACTTACCTACATTGCAGGCTTCTGATGCCTGAGCCGAAAAAAAGTTTCTGGCCATCAGGGTGAATGCAGCTCTCACATAAACACAAAAGAATTGCTCGAAATGGCCCAGAAAATTTTAGATAGCCAATTTTCGTACGAACCCAGCGTTTTAATTGTACGCGAGAGTACCTGTATGGTGCAGGCCAGTCTGGTGCAGGCCAGTCTGGTGCAGGCCAGTCTGGTGTAGCTCGTCGTTTGCTGCTGGCAATTGGCACGCTGCACCTTCACTTCACCCCCCAAAAAGAAGTGGTCTGTGCGTAGGGCTACTGCGCACCAAACCTTTCATTGCGCCCAATTTTCGATTTTTGGCCGCTTCTCGCTGCCTCCAATCCTTTATGAGAGTGCCTGTCCCCGACTGAACTCCCATCCATCAATCGGCCAGCGACGATAACTCACTCCACTGGAATCTTCCGACTTGACAACACCCGCAAACCGACAGAATCCTTTTTCACGATCACCCGATCACAGAATAACCGAGTCAACATGGCGGTCCCAGGTGCCCAGATGTGAGTTGCACCCCCAGCGTCTCCCCCGGCATTTTCCCCCGCAACAAAAAACGACAACGACACGGTGTTGGACAGACAAATGTCTGCAAGAGGACGGAACTTGGACGGCCATTGCGTGGGAATGGCTTTTGCACCGTTCGACCTGTCTGTCTCCAGACTTTGTCAAGGATCCAGCCGTGCTCGAGTCGTTTTAGATACGACATGCAATCAATCACAACCACACATGCAAGACCCTCTTTGACTGACATTATGGTTTCCACAGCTCCAAGCGGAGAAAGTTCGTCGCCGATGGTGTCTTCTACGCCGAGCTGAACGAGTTCTTCCAGCGCGAGCTGGCCGAGGAGGGATACTCCGGCGTCGAAGTCCGCGTCACCCCCACCGTCACCGACATCATCATCCGCGCCACCCACACCCAAGAGGTCCTCGGTGAGCAGGGTCGCCGCATCCGCGAGCTCACCTCTCTCATCCAGAAGCGCTTCAAGTTCCCCGAGAACAGTGTCTCCCTCTACGCCGCCAAGGTCCAGAACCGTGGTCTGTCCGCCGTCGCCCAGTGCGAGTCCCTCCGCTACAAGCTCCTCAACGGTCTCGCCGTCCGTCGTGCCTGCTACGGTGTCCTGCGCTTCATCATGGAGTCCGGCGCCAAGGGCTGTGAGGTCGTCGTCTCCGGAAAGCTCCGTGCCGCCCGTGCCAAGTCCATGAAGTTCACCGACGGCTTCATGATCCACTCCGGTCAGCCCGCCAAGGAGTTCATCGACAGCGCCACCCGTCACGTCCTTCTCCGCCAAGGTGTCCTCGGTATCAAGGTTAAGATCATGCGCGGCTCCGACCCCGAGGGCAAGGCCGGCCCCCAGAAGTCCCTGCCCGACGCCGTCACCATTCTCGAGCCCAAGGACGAGGCCCCTGTCGTCCAGCCCGTCTCTCAGGACTACGGCGCCAAGGCCGCCCAGGTCCAGGCCGCGGCTGAGGCTGCTCGGGCGCAGGAGGAGCAGGCAGAGGGTGAGGAGCAGCCCGCTGCGGTGGAGCAATAGGTGGCTCCTCCCGCGAGACACGCGCGTCACCCATCCCTTCAACTTCCAACACGTTCGGATGAGCTTTTGCACAGTCCTCCTCTGTCCCCAGACAACGACCGCAATCCTTTTCAGCCCCTCCCGGCGGCGGAGGCCCCTTCGGAGCTCCTGATGGCGGGCATTGCTTTGGAGGGAATAGCCGGCCACCGCCAGCATGTGAGCGACCTTGATGGCTTCTGAACTGGGGGATATTGAGGCGAGGAGGGAGAGGTTTCATCACAAAACATCAGGGCTTGGCGTAATTGAAATGCATTTTGCTGGTTTTAGGGACAGGGCAAGTTGCTGGGCTCTTATTGTAGTTTGCAGCCTAGGCCGAACTAGAAGAACAATGAAAGGCAACGAGGAAACGAAAACATGATATCCATGCATCCCACTTGACATATCTCCAATTGACATGCTCCCACTTGTGATCCACGTGTGCCAAAGAATGCTCGATGCTTGTTGAGGCTTTCTTGCCATCCATTCAAAGTAGTTTGAGACGCTCTGATAATGCTACTCGCGATTCTCCTATGTGACACACCCCTGACCATGACATACTTTCCCTCGGCCGTCAGTTCCCTTTCTGCCCGCCGTCCGTCTTCCTACCTTCCCACGCGTGCACCATGACTCCTGCTCTCATACTCCCAACCTCCAGTCTGGACCCCAGCTCATCCTGCCCACTCCCAGGGTAACAACGACCTAGCCAGGCAGGCGGTGGAAAACACTTACCCAACGCGCCTAAGCTACAATCTACCGCGCCGCCTCGCCATCCGACTCACTGTCGGAGTCATCATTCCGCCTCCAGAACGGCAGCAGGTGGCGGGTACTCCTGCGGTCCTCAGCGCCCGACGACGCAGCAGTAGCCCCGGCCCCACCCCCGGCGGGGACCGTGCCGTACGAGGGCGCGGCGCCGGGCCCAGAGCCGGTGACCATGCGGGTCTGCGCGCCGGGCTGCGAGGAGACCAGCAGCGGTGCGCGGGCGGTGGCCCCGCGCGGGGCGGGGACGTTCCTGCCCGAGGTGGCGGCGGCGGCGCCGGGGCCCGACCTCTTGCTTGCCCTCTGTCGCAGGAGGGCCTCGACCTTCATACAGTTGCGCGTGTTGGGCTTGATAATAGCCGTGAGGATGTCACCAACGATGGGAATGAGCTTGATGGCGAAGTCGATCAGGGCCCAGAGGAGCATCGCCGCGAGGGTTGGGGCCGGCAGGCCGCCTTGGACCTTCCTTGCGGCGCGGATGAGCGTCAGGGCGTTGATGAGTGAGACGATGTCTGGGGGTGAATCTGTCAGTGATGTCCCTTCTGGTCTCTTATGGGCTTGAGATATTTTCGACAGGATCATCGCAGCGGTGTGCTTGTTGACCGGTCCCTCGAATAATAGTCACGAGTAGCCGCATTACGAAGGGCAGAGTTCAGCAGGAACCACTTACCACCCACGACAGGAAGCAGGCCCCAAAGGGTCACGGTACCAAATTGAATATGGAGGCCGCAGCAGCAATGACAGTCTGTATCGGCATTAGCTTTCCAACTCATCACACAAGTAGACAGGGTGAGCATAGGATCTGGGGCTGGCTCAAGTCTCACTCGTCACAAACAACCAGGCCTTCCCGTACAGGGAGCTCGGGCGGGAATTTCTAGAAGAGGGCGACAGAGCAACATACCGATCCACCACTCATACCGGTAAGCTTTACGCTGGACCGTCTTAAGGACGCGCTCGTCATGAGCGCTCAGGCCTGGCGGCAACGACTTCTTGAGCTTCTTACGCCGGCCATCTTCGGTGACGAAGATGTCGTATCTCGGGTTCTAGAGAACTTTGTGAGCTGGGCGGTCTTGCACGCGATGTCTTTCTCTTACCTCGGGCCCAAAGTTGTCCTCCAGCTTGTCACCGACATATTTTGTAGCCACGAATTTCGCGAGGAACGCCATGTCCGTGAGGTTTTATTGGCGAGAATGGTATGGATGGAACGCTGACTTGTGATATGTTTAGATACTTCAATTCGCTGCGAAACCTAGTGAGGTAAGAAGTACCTTGGCATTCCTTGGGTCGATGTGTACTACGCCCAAGGCGAAGAAGTGTCAAGGTTGTTGCCAGATGAGGTCGGTCTCGACTGCATGAGCATCTGGCCAGCTGGCGGCAGCTGTTGGCGGCTGCGACATGTGATCAACGAAACAGTTTCAACCTGTCTTCAGCCGCCATCCACAGGTGCTTTCCAGTCTAAAGACCTCTTTCAGAGAAATGGAGAAGCGAATCAAAACTTTTCTTCCCATAGAATGTGCCTGGCATCCGAAGGTGGTTATTGATGGCCTTTCAAAGCGAGTGTTGAGCCTTGAGCATCAACTTGGACCCCATTCTACATAGCCAGACGTGGAATTATAACTGAGCAAACTTTATATGACAATCCTTCAAGGCTGTCTTCTATATAATGAAACTAGGTGTTTGATCTTTGAAGTCTGGTCTTGACCCCGGCCAAGAAAGCCGCACGATGTGTCTGTCCCCTTAACGGCAATTCCAGCGTCCAGTCATCCTCGTACAAGTACAGCTCGCCCGTAAGAGAACCGAGATATGCTCAGCCACCCGTAAATATCCCAAGACGCCAAATGCAAATTGTCAACCCGTGAGTCCAATCCTTTCCCGCCGCCGTGCCCTGATTACAGCCCATCGCATCGCGTCGTGTCGTGTCGTAAAAGTTGCCATGTCCCTTTCCTAGTTGCCGATGATAACCTTCATGTAGGTTTCCAGCGCAGTCGTTTAAGACTTTCGTCACGGCGGGGAGCTCGGATCTCCAAGCAGTTCTAAATGTGACAAGGTGTGAATATACAGGGCGGAGTACCGCTTTTACGGTACATAGATAAAGCAAATGCGACGCGAAAAGGTACCGAAACTCTAATCCGCGAACTCAATCTTCCAGTCCGACATTTAGGTCGGTCAGTGTTTGCCCCTTCAGTCACCGCTCCCCAGACTTTGGCGGCTGTATTTCACTGGATCTCGACCTCCCGTTCGCCGACGCCGAGCCGTTCTGCTTGGTCCTCATGCCATTGCGTTCGTCATCGCTGTCTTCTGCGAGGTCTGTCAGGCCAAACTCGGCAGCCTCTTCCTCGTCGTACGCCCGCATCAGGCCCTCGCGGTCGCCGCCGTGGCCGAGACTCCGACGAGCCTCCATGCTCATACGCGTCTGGATCTGGGAGATCATGTCCGTGCCCACTGAATCGTCGCCGCCTCGCCCAGAGATCATCTTGAAACCGTTGGGATCGCTGCGCGACAAGTTCAGGAGGTACACGCCCGTGAAGGTGACGAGGAAACCGCAGAGGAGGGAGAGCGTGTTGATGGGGTCGGTGGTATTGAAGCCGCTGTAGAGTATGAATGAGGCACAGAGGGTTGCGGTCGTGAAGGTGACGTAGTAGAGGGGGTTGACGCTGCGCAGGTGGTTAGAAATCTGGACATGGCCATATTTTGCTACATTGGGGGTGGGGGAGAGGGGGGCACACATGTTGGTAGGGAACTGGCTCAACGCCTTGTTGAAGTAGTTCATCTGTGTCAAGATGCAAACCGCCGTAATGATCATAAACACGTAGGTTGAGGCGTGGGTGAATTGGTTGTTGCCCGCAAAGGTCAGTTTGAGGGCGATGCCGAAGGCTTTGATGGCCATAACCGACACTGATCCTACGAGGGAGCAAATGCTGAGGTAGATCAGGGGGTTTTGCTTGCCGTATACGGGAGCAATTCTGTAGATCATGAAGACGGAGAAGGCTGTCACTGTTATGGCATATATCAAGAAGCCTAGAAGGCAGTCAGCATCGACTGTCGTGGCAGTCAGGGCATGTCTCTTCTTACCAGGCCTCAGCGCATATGCGAGGATGGTCTCGATGGTCTCGATGTCCTCATCTGGCGGCGCATGTAGCACGATGATGACAGCGCCAATGAGGCAGATGGCACACCCAAGCCTCCCTAATATGCCAAGCTCTTCTTTGAGGAAATATGAACCCAACACCGCTCCTATCAACACCGACAGCGCGCCCAGAGGCGTGACGAGGATGGCCGGCGCGAAGGCGTACGCTGCGAAGTTGCATACTTCGCCGACAACCACTGTATCTCACGGATCAGTATGTTGAGCCAGCCAGAGTCAAGTAGGGATAATCCCCTTACATGTGCAGATGCCGGCCCACCACAAGGGGTTCCGGAGGTATACGAAACCCTCTCCCTCGAAGCCATGTGTTTCGCCTGCTTGGTTGAGACCCTACCGCGATACTGTCAGCCGGCCGGTTCGGACGTGCGTTGGTCTCAAGGGAATCGGGTCCCGTTCTCTCGCGTGTGCGGATTTGGAGCTACCTTTTTCGTTATGACGAAGCTCGTGCCTGCGCAGCCGGATACGTCAGTCAAGTCCACGCTTAAGGGAAGACGGGATGCAGGAGAAGAAAATGCGCCGTACCGATGGCTAAGCTAGATGTCATGGCCAGCCCCAGGCCGATATATCTGCGATGTCCAGCGTGGTCAGCGCAAGGTGTCCAGGAGAAAGGTCACGAGGTTCGCTGGGCGACAGTGCGAGTGGAAGGTTCGAGGGTGCGTGGAGCGAGCCGTACTTTTCCTCCATCATCATACTGTAACGAGCGCAACAGCAGCGGCACGCTGCTTGTGTCTGTTCAGAGCCGTCTCGGGATGTGTTGAGCGCAACGAGCGCAATGAGCGCGGGCGCCCGGAGTGTTTCGAGGTAGCCCGAGTATTGGAATACTTCGCGCCAGGCGAAACCCGGGGGATGGTCGTGAAGACGATTCGATTAGTCGGGGACTCGGTTAACAAAGGCACAGGCAGAGGCCAAAGCCGGTGCTTGTCGGCGAGTGGGAACAGTTGGACGGAATCTGATGACTTGTGAGATGGGCTGGCGTCGTTATGCGATGCGGTGCGGTGCGTGGCCTGTCGTCTTGGTTTGCCGTCGGTAGGTGGTTTGGCCAGGGAGGTGCTCGACAGTCGAGGATCACTGGAGTGTGTGCGAGTGCGTGTGGGGGGGATGAGCAAATCGTTTCAATGTTCCGGCCCCGTTCCAGGACAAGCGGCCAAGGCCAGTAAAAAAAGAAGGTCGTGCACCAAAAAGGGACGCTTTCCCCTTCGCAGCGAGGACGAGGACAGATTACCGGACCGTAGTGCGTGTGGGAGGGGAGTCAAGAATCTGGGATAGAGATACAGTAAATTGGCTGGGCAGGGGCAAGTGATGTTGCTGCGTACGTTTTGGCAAGAGACTCACAGCAGCGCAGGGAGTGGGCTGGCGGGCGGCGGCGGCGGGCTGGGTGAGGTCTGGAGGTCTGTTGAGTTGAATCGGGTGCCTCGTTTCATCCACGGGCGTGGGACGTCACTCCATCCCTGGAGCTAGTAGCCCACTAGCAGAATTGCTCGTGGCCTCGCCCAGGACAAGCATAGCACGGTACCTGGCCCCGTCCTGCCGGTGGCCCTTTGCAGGTGGGTACCCCCTCGACAGGCCCGGCAGCCTTGGAAGCAAGGTCCTGGGGTACGTACTGGCGGTCCCTTGCTTCTCTCCGCCAGCGAAAACCGAGGGCCCAGGTCAGGAATACGAGGGGTCCTGCCTCCCCGTGTCCTTGTCCTTGTCATGGGCTTGCGCAATTGCAGATGGCTGAGGCTTCGTAATGGAAAATAAGGTGCTACCTAGCCAATCCTCACAGCCAGCTCTTTTGCCGGGCCGCTTCGCACAAAGACCACCTGGCATTCTAGTTCCCGCCTGCCCGCCCATCCAGCTACTGGAGTTGAAACGTCGGGTCCCCGGCTACGCCTGGCTGCTTGAGCAGGTCAGTTACCTACACGTATCTGTCCAGACTTTGCTTTCCGTGTCGACCCATGCCAAATGTCTGGCAGGATTTATGAGAGAAAACTATTTACGTACACGAGTCGGCTATTGATTCAATGCTTGGAAAATAACACATCTGGTTAGTCGACATATACCATGTCATGCCACGAGTGTATGTGAGCCGCATCCTCAAGCGAATATGCGTATTGCATTTCAAAAAACCACCTTGCACCCCAGACAAGTGCATCATCGGTAGACCCCCATGCAGGCAAGTTACGCGCGTGTTACTAGTCTAGTGGTTGTGTGTGTGTGTGTGGATATGTAGAATCTGCTTCACCCGGGGCTTTCAGGGAAATAAATGGGGTCCAGAGACGTCTCCGCGTCCCACAAGATGACGATGAGCTGGGTCCAGAGCCTAGACTGCCAGTTGCAGTCTAGTTGCCAGTGGAGTTGGCCAGGCAGTCAGCCCAGCTCAACACCTGCTGTAGACCACCGAGGTACTACACAGGCAAGTCAGTAGGCAGGTAGATACCCTTGGCGGCAGCAACGCCGGTTTCTGCATGTCACTGGTGATAATCATCTAAATCCCCCGCTTATAGGATGACTGATCAGCGACTTTGTGGGAGTTCCCGAATCTCGCTTCCTTTCAAAGCAACAAGTCACGCCCTCGCCTGTTAGGCGACCCGGTACCGCCCCAGCCCCTTCCTGTCACCAATCTTAATACGCCTGTTTCGAATGCTGCGATCGTCAGGACTGCTCAAGCCTGACAAGTGGCCAGCCGCATCAGGAATCCAACAACGAAAAGCATGCTCTTCCAATCATCGCCCGCTGAATTGAGGGTCAATGAATCTCACCGTTATCGGGATCATACCACCACGACATAGATAAATAGCTGGTGATCGGTCTTCATCGCGCGCATAAAACGAGTAAAGGCCCGCATTTGCTTGCCTGATCACCAGGAATGCTCCTCTCACATTGGTACAGAGCTTTTCTACATACCCCAAGTGCCCAGACAGCCTTCTTTTCCCTGATATCGCCGCCGACAACGCCCGAAGCAGACATTCCAAAAAAAGCGCTCCGTAGACACCGACAGGCTTTTGGTCCACCCATCAACAAGCCCCGTCTATGTGCACACAAACCGATCTCCGTCCCGCACGAGCCGCCCAAGGCGCGCTCGTCTTTTCAAGAAAGATACTTAACCTTCTCGGAAGAATCAAAACGGCTTCCTCCCAGGGCACTCAGACGTAGTCATTCATAAATGCTTCGTGCCTGTCCATCACCTTCCCCGGTAGCTCTGAATACAGACCATGCGGTTGTGGAAAGAATTATTCCGACCCCACGAGTCCTGTCATCACCCCCAAGTCGAAAGCGGCCAATGGTGGCAAATTTTGAATATTCAGTAGTTGGTCTTCGAGAAGTCGCCATGAACGATGTCGTACGCGCGCAAATTGGTACCCGAGGGCCGCAGCTGAGCACAAAGAGATTCGATAGGGTCCCAGGCCTTCAAAAGCAGGCCAAGCGTCTCTTCAGATCAAACTTACCTCTCACCTCAGTCGGAATCATTAATTTTCGTCTGTGCTTCAGCTGGTCCACGTTGCTACTCGGGGGTAGATGTTGCAAAGAAAAGGGCATAAAAAGGAGGGGGGGGGGTTGGTATATCAAGGTAGGATACGTTCGAAGGGAGCAGATGCACTACAAATGCTCCCAACGCGCAGAGTTCTTGGCACACTCGCAGTCCGAGCTGACAACTACATCGGGCAGTCATCTAGGTCCGACGACGCTTGGCAACTGAAGCGATGTCAGCACAGACTCGTAATTGCTCTCCTTGCGATGACTTACTACTATCGTCACCTAGACCAACATCGTCCTCGTCTGCTTGTCTGCCTCTCTTGATAGAGAGACTCGAAGGAGACAGGTCGGTCTGGTTCTGATTCGCAGTGTCAACCTCGTCGTCTTCGTAGTCATTTTCGGCGTCATCATCGTCGTTCCAGTGGATCTCGTCGGTCTCAGTCTCTGGAGGGCCAGGCTCCGGCTGTGACGTGGTCTGAATCAGATGACCCGCATCGGCCAACGCCTGGGTCGCAGACACATCGTCGCCATGGCCTTGGCCTTCTCCGTCTAGGGTTGCCGTGGCGCTCGAATCGTGCGAGGTTGGTTCAGGTGTGCCTGCAGACGCTGCATATTCTGCAGACTCGGTCGGCTCCTCTTCGGTCGCCCCGATGTCAAGGTAGTCGTCGTTTTCCGCTGTTTCGTAGTCTTGCATATTGAAGTCAGCCGATGTGCTCTCTGTGTGGTTGTGATAGTCAAGATCTGCAGCAGGCGAGTCCCTTGCGTTGGTTGTTGATGAGAAATTACTCGACCATTCCGCTGTGGCAACAAGAGCTTGGTGAACATCGGTCAGAGCATCTTCAACCAGCTGACGGTCTGAAACTCGAGGTTTTACCTCGGGCTCGACAGTGACGCGGGGGTTGTCCACAACACCATTAGAAGTAGGTTGGGTGGACATGCAAAATGCGCAAGCACATATCTCGGACGATGCAGTGCATCCGCTAAGTTCCAAAGACGAAAGATGCTCACCATCAGTATGGCCTTCATCTTCCTGGAAGTTTTCGTTTTCGGCCTCAGCGTCTGCTTCCGTTCCCGCAGCTTCTTCCCCACCAGGGAGGTCTTCCTCCATGTAATGCGGGTTCTCAGGCTCATCATTCGCGGCTTCCGCAGCGAGATCTTCATCCTCACCGGGTACCATATCAGAGTCCTGTTGGGCTTCGGGCGCGTTTACATCGCGCAAGACCTCCCTTGCCGCAAGTTCCAGGTCATCTCCCACTTCACCAGAGAAGGACTCGTCGTTGTCGTCCTCATAAGCGGCATGAGCTTCGTCACCGTCTGCCGAGAGTGAATCGTTCACCACTTCTCCCTCCGCAAGAGCGGAGTGTGAGGAGTCCATGGCCTGCTGTTGGCTCTCACTCAGTCGAAAAGGGTTGTAGGGTTGCTCATCCTCATGAGTCGCACTCAAATCTCCTTCGATTTGGTCATTCGACCCGTTATCAGACGCGTTGTCAGAGCCCATACCCTGGCCGCCTCCGTCATAATCGTTTGACTCCTCCTCGATGGCTGCGAAGTCGGGAGTTCCCTCGTAGTAGAATGCTACCTGAGATAGTCCCTTACCCTTGTTTGCGTTGTTGGTGAGTTCTGTGAGCCGGTACAGACAGTTTGGTCTCGTTTCCAGGTATATGTAGAGCTCCGGAGATTCGGAAGAATCATGGTCAAGCTTCACAAGTCGATCGTACAGCTCTAGAACTTGAGCAAAAGTCGTGTGCTCTAGAAAATCTTTCGTTGTTGCCTCTCCAAACTCCAGTCCGAGTCCATCCACTTTCACGACAAGCTCGTCGGAAGCTTGCAAGTCCTCCGTAATGACTTGGCGAAGTTTTGGTAGGAACTGAGATAAAGGCTGATGAAGTACATCTGCGTTCTCGAAAAAGTAATCATCGGGATCAGCATCAGGTGACTCTGCAAAGAGATAAAACTCTGCTGTTCCATAGGATACCCTCACACGGGGGTGCTTCTCCGAGCTCTTGGACGACTCCGCCTCTTGGCCACCTGCGTCGTCCAAACCAGAGGTTGTACCTGTACCGGTCTGGTCCGCGGCAGTGTCCACGGGGTAAGAATCGTGTCCAGGACTCGTATCCTGGGCGATCTCCTCGCTGTGAGGTTCCATTGCTGTTGTTTCATTCCCAGCTATCTCGTCGAAGTAGTTGCTGTCCGCCAACGGCTGCGTGTCGTCCCGTGACTGAATCACACCAATTTCTTCGGCGCTGATACCTTCATCACGTATATCGTCTTCGAAGTGCCCATCCTCCAGGTGCGAGAACTCGGCAGCCTCCGTAGCAACCGTTGTGCTTTGGGCTAGCTCTTCATTTTGTTGACCAACATCAACGAAGCTTCCAAGCTCTTCTGCCGTGTCTTCCAAGTAGACATCCTCTTGGTCTTTCTCGCCCTCCCCACCATACTGCGCGTCGTCTGCCTGTTGAGCATTTTCGCCTTCAGTCTGGTCACCTCGTGCATCATCAAATTGGTAGGCTTGTTCAACACCCTCAGCGTCGACTGAAGTGTCAAAAGCGGGTATCTCTAGATCATGTTGATCCTGGTCCTGGCCAGGAATCCCATCTTCGTGAGACTCATCAACGGCTTCCTGCGCGCCCTGATCTTGTGTCGAGTGTGTGCGAGCGTCGTGGAGTGCGTCATTGTTTTCGGTGTGATACGCCAGAACATCGTGAGTGGATTCGGGCCCACCCAACGCTTCTTCCAGGTCGTCTCCAGGGCCACCGATATCGAAGTCAAACTCCTCGTCCTGGATCGCGCTAACGCTGTCGTCTTCAAATCCGACCTCTTTGTTGGCCTCCAAATGGCCTGTCTCCTCCACCACAGCCTCCATCATATCGCTCTGGCGAGGTCAAAATGACCAGGCGCAGACTGTGAAATCTCAAGGGCAAGGCGCGGTCAGCGCAGCTGGGAGATAGATCACGCGTCAAATTGGGGACAGGATCAGGTCATGATAATCGCGCCGATGGCGGGCAGGTTGGATGCTAGCTGTTTGTCACAGTCGCTGAGGTTGCCGCGGGGCTGTTTGCGCGAGTGTGAATACAAGTGAAGGGGGGTGACCACAGATACCGAAAGTTCTGGGGCAAAGTTTGATTGAGGGCGGAGTCAGCCCAGGTCTCAGCGGTCCAGGTATTTCTGGCAGATCGAGATACCAAGTATGTCAGGCTGATCGCTGGAGGGAGGGCGCGTTGCAGAGGGGTTAAGAAGGATAACGGAGCTGAGTGAGTGGTCAAAGGCCGGACATAGCTGAACGGAGTGACGCGAACGGCTAATTGCTTTCCTTCTGCAACGGGCACCGCTGACTAAACTCACTTGCTAGCGCGCCTGGCAGCTAGGGAGCTTAGGCACCCGGGCAGCCCAGATGAACGCCGCAGGAACTGGCACTCTGCCTGCCGGGTGGAGCTGGATGCTGGCCAGGGGTACGGTGCTCATTACCTAAAGTGCCAGGAATGCGGGTGTCCAGGCCATCTCGCACGAGCCACCGAGCCAGCTTCAGGACAGCACTATCAATTTATCGCAGCCAGTGCCCAAGAGACAACCGTCCAACTCAGCTCGCAACCCTCTGGCAAGACCAAGACCAGCCCCCTTGCTACAGAGTCCTCGGCTTCGCGTTGGAATCAAAATGGCAAGTCTCTTGATAAATGTAGATATCTCGCAGTCGCAATGACTAACAATTGAGTGTGGCAGGTTGTCCTCGCAGCATCGATTTGCACCCGCGGGGGCAAAGCTGTCCTTTCGCGACAGTTCCGCGAGATGCCCAGGTCGCGCATCGAAGCGCTTCTCGCCTCCTTTCCGAAGCTCGCAGACAGTGGGACCCAGCATACGACGGTCGAGCAAGACAACGTCCGATTCGTCTACCAGCCCCTCGATGAGCTCTACATGGTCCTCATCACCAACCGCCAGTCCAACATCCTCCAAGACATCGACTCCCTACATCTCTTTGCCCAGGTCGTCACCAGCACCTGCAAGAGTCTGGAGGAGCGTGAAATCCTGAAGAATGCCTTCGAGCTCCTGAGCGCCTTCGATGAGCTGGTCACCCTTGGGTACAGGGAGAACCTGACCATCAGTCAGATCAAGACATTCCTGGAGATGGAGAGTCACGAGGAGCGCATCCAGGAGATCATTGCCAGAGTACGAAGCCCTCGCATGACTTCACTCCCAATCCTTCGCGTTGTGTGCTGACTCGCCCTAGAACAAAGAGTTGGAGGCTACTGAAGAGCGCAAGAGGAAGGCCAAACAACTCGAGATGCAGCGTAAAGAGTCGGCCAGGGGCGCCCGTGGCATGGGCAACGTGCCCAGGACACCTGTCTATCCCACATACACTGCGCCCAGCCGACCTGCTGTCACCGACACATACGATACATACGAAGCTGAGAAGAACAAGTCGAAGTATGCCAGTCCCGTCCAGTCATGCCGTATCATGCACTCACGAGAGACAGATTCACCGCACCGAAGGGCAAGGGCATGCAGCTTGGTAAGAAGTCGAAGACCACCGATATGTTTGAGCGAGTACGAGGCGAAATGGGCAACGAAGTCGACGACAGCCCGCTTGTCGCGCCAGCAGCTCCCTCTCCGATCGCAGCCGAGCCAAGTGCGCCGCGTGCCTCGACTACCCTGGATCGCGATGCCATACACGTTACCATCAATGAAGCAATCAGCGCGAAGCTTTCCAAGGAAGGTGCCGTCGAGTCCATTGGCGTCAGTGGTGATCTGCAGCTGCGGATATCCGACCCATCACTGACCAAGATCAAACTCGACCTGAGCGCGCAGCCCACCCATGGGGCGCAGTTCCGGACACATCCCAATGTTGACCGGAATCTGTTCAACAGCTCCAGAACCATCCAGATGGCCAACACCGCGAAAGGCTTCCCAGTCAATAACTCGGTCGGTGTGCTCCGGTGGCGTGCTACCCCGAAGGCAGACGACCCGAGCGCAGTGCCAATCAGCTTCACTGTCTGGGTCAACAAGGGTTCTGATGGCAGCTACACCATGACTGTCGAGTACGAGCTGACCGGCGGTGATGCACTCAAAGACGTGAGCGTCACCATTCCGTACTCGACTGCCGAGCCCTCGGTCTCGAGTTTTGATGCAACATATGACGTGTCAGGAGACAGTCTGGAGTGGTCAATCGGAACGGTGGATGATGAGAACCCCAACGGAGCCTTCGAGTTCGAAGCTCAGGCGGATGACGAGAACGAGTTCTTCCCGATGCAGGTCCGGTTCTCCAAGACCACGCCATTCGTGGACGTGGACGTGAGTCATCCCTTCATTACCGCCCTGCAGACTTACCTTTACTGACCAATTCCCAGGTTTCGTCGGTTGCTTTGGTGGAGATGAACGAGGACGTGACCTTCTCAAAAGAGATTAAATCCATGGCAGACTCCTATGTCATCGAGTAAAGCAGGTTCCGCAGGTATAGAGGAGTCGACCAATATCATGCCTTATCGAGAGTCCCCGTTGTAGGACATGAATCAAACGGTGTTGTTGCACAGGCTCATGCGCCTTTCGATCGTTTCCGGCCCCTATCGTGACAATAGCAGCGGTAAATCGTACAACGTGGTTGCAGAGATATTCGTGATGACGACTGTCTTTCTATATCTGGGGTTCAGGCACACCATGCTGGACAGAGAATTGTGCCCACCAGGTGTGTGGGTGATCACTCATAAGTTCTAAAGATCAGCATGGAGAACCCGAAGGGCATGCGGCATCCTCAAACAAGAGCACAGTACTCATCGATGGCAGCGGGAACATACGAGAAATACTTGCCTTGTTGAATATCCTCGGACGATAATTATGAGGATGAGACACGTATATGAGATGGGCAAGGTACAGTACCTTTCCGTATTACCGGATTCCTTCCCCCGCCACGCAACACGATCTGCTTACCATCTCACACCAAGCATTTGCTGTTGAGCCTGTTAGCGCATCAATATGCCTAGGCTTGCTTTGTGACTGGTTCATGACATTGCGATTGTCGAAAGGACGCTTCTTCGTTTCAAGAAGACGGCAAAGGACGTGGCGGTTGGTGGAGCACAGCGAGCTCTCGGCCCCTGCCCTGAGCCTTTGAAAACCGCCCCACATAACGCATATGCCAGTGCACACAAAGACGGGATCATGTTCAAGTTTTTGTGGGAGCACCGTGTATCACAGCTCTTGGCAGTGACCTCACCTCTCCTGCGTTACTGACGGCACGGAAGCGGGTTTGTATATTCTCCCGGTAGGAAGAGGCATAAGCAAGGGCTGTGGCTAAGCCACAGGTGGCCTCGATGTTGGCCCTACTGTTTAAGTCTTTCAAGACAGCCTGGAACATTTCACAAACTCCAAGACGCGATTGAAGTGAATGCCGTTATCATGCTCCTGCAGTCAAGCTCGTAGGGCTCAGCAAGGCTGCAAAGTCCGCCCAGGGGTACCCCAGGCACCCTCTGACGCACGGGCATCTCGAGTCTGCTGCTTAGACCTTTCGACTCTCAATTTGTGTTTTGGGCAAACTCCCTTCCTGCCTCGTTGCGGCCCTGGAGAACCTGATCTTCCAGATTTCCGTGATCTCTTCGCTTCAGTCGATCAGGGACTCGGCGCCCAGGGGAATCATAGGGGAATCATTGATGATCTGCGCTTGATACCGGACACAAGGGCAGGACTTGCGGAAGGAATGCCCGAGGGAACGATCAATGATGTTCGTGATCCTCACCTCCCTCAAAGCGGAACCATGTGGTCCCATCCCAACAGAACCACAACGGTTGCATCAAATTTGAGATGGCATACGCCTGTTCGGCCGAAAAGTACTTCAGAACTGCATGAAATGTCAAAGCCACTTCTCAACCCACACTAGCAAACACAAAACCTCATCCGTCTCAGGGCCTCATCCGCACTCCAGTCCGCCAAGGCCCATCGTGATTGGGCAGACTTGGTCTCAACCGGCCGAATCCAGACGAATTCGTCGCAAGACATCAGACGAGGGGGCCCTTTCGTCGGAAATTTCAAATCTAAGGTTATTCGGCTCTGAAGTCACTTTGGTGCGGTCCCGCGGGCGAAAAGGTACAGCACCAAGCTCTCCGTTTGATGGGCTGCCAACCGAGCTCGTTTGTCGCCCCCAGGCCTAGGCGCCCCCTGATCCCGGCTGGTTTTGATGCTTAAGCATATCGTTAGTAAGGCCTGCATGCCTCTTTCGAGCGACCGCTGCGATCTCGAGTATCACTCGCGCAGATCCCCCTCTGAAGACTCGAGCCGGAATGTCGAGATGCCGGTCTTGGGGGAGGGCGCATAGCCCGCAGGACCTCGTCGAGGAGGACGGTAAAGGTAGGAATAACCACATATATGCCGAGTGATCTCCCACGGCGATGAGGATCATGATCTTCGTATGCCGTCCTCCAAGACTTTTCACGAGCACATCTGCTGATCCGTACTTCCTCATTTGATTTCTCACCAAGCGCCCCAGAGGCTGCTGTTTCGTTCCTTCGACGCCTTCTTTGTCTTCCACTCCTTTGATAGGACCAATAGACCCAAAGTACTATCTGTATTGTTTCAAACAATCATCTCTCCTTCAAAATGTTCTTCAGGAATCTCATCACCGCCCTAGTCGGCGTGTCTATCGTTACTGCTGGTAGGTCACGAGTGTCCATCACAGTCTATATACCACGAGGTCATTGTCTAACACATGTCAGCTCCTGCGTCCGTTGACCGAACTGCAACACCCATGGAGAGGGGTCTGAAGCACAAGACCAGGGCGCAACAAAAGAGGGACATCATCATTCAGCAGACTGTGGTGGAGCCCCAGATCACAGTAATCAACAACAACTTGGATACCATCGCAGCTCTGGCTTTGACTGCGGAGCAGGAGTTCGCAGCTCTTGTTCAGTCTCAACTTGCGCTCATTTCAACGGTGGAGACCATCAAGAACAACATCAGAGTCAATCATTTCAAGAACAGTAAGTGTCTACAAGTCCCTCTCGTGTGAGTGTCGTATCTTGATGCTAACCAGAGTGATAAACAGGATGGAACAATGTGAACACTGTCATTATTGCAGTCACAAACGTCATTGACCAGCGAGATCCCAACAACGTCAACACTCGCTACATGGTCAACCAGCTGAAGGCGGATAATGGCGCAGCTGGTCAAGAAATTCTTGTCATGGTGAACGCGGCTGAGCCTCTGACCATCGGCCCTGCCCCTACGCCCGCAACTCTGAATGTACCCGGTGTCGCGGGTGTGGGCAACGCTTCTCAGCCCGCCGCTGGCGGTGCCCCTCAGGTTGCTCAGTTTGACCCCAATGCGCCATTTGGCCAGGTCAATGGTTCAGTCCTGCTCCCCTTTGGCTCCCAGCCACCGAAGGCTCCCAGCGACGCTCAGGTCTTCCCTGACCCGGCCGCCATCATCCTTCCGAACCAGGGCCTGTTTGTTGGTGACACAAATCTCATCCAGCAAGATTGCCAGCTCATCGCTGCGGGTTCTCTTTTCAACCTGCAGGCACAGCTGCTGGCTAATGAGCAAGCTATCGCACAGGCCGAGCTCGCAGGTCTTGTTCTTGGGACTGCTCCCCCACCGACAGTCATCGTCAACGTGAACAATGGCCAGCAAGGTCAGCAACAAGGTCAAGACCAGGCCCAGCAACAGGCCCAGGGACAGGCCCAGCAACAGGCCCAGGAACAGGCCCAGCAACAGGCCCAGCAGCAGCAGCAGCAGCAGCAGCAGGCCGCTCAAGAGCAGGCCCAACAGCAAGCTCAGCCGCCCGCTGACCCGAATGCTGGACAGGCTCCGCCGCCTGCCGATCAACAGGCGGATCAAGGTGCGCAACAGCAGGCTGGAGAGCAAGCCCAGCAACCGGCTGAGCAACCAGCCGACCAACAGGCTGCTCCAGCGGCTCCTGCTGCGACTCCATCAAGTGCATAGGGCTAAAAGTTACGTGCAAGTGTTCTCGCATCCGCGTGAGCAACGATCGGATCGCCGACCGCCGTGTTTTAAGACATCGGGGTTCAATAGTCTGATTCTTTATTCTAAATGTTAATTATCGCCATGTCCGTATATATTATATCTCAATCGGAGCGACTTAAAATCCAGGTCTTTTCTTTACAGCGTATTAATGTGCTCAGAGCCATTGGTAGTCCGGACTGAATGAGACTGTGAATCTGAAGCATTCTGTACACTCGTGCAAATTTATCAAAAGTCGTGATTGAGATATGCCAAACTAAAACGAGCGCCCAAGTGAGGGGCGCCAGGAAACGCCCACAAAAATTCTGGCATATCAGGCCGTAGAGGGAGTCATCCCATAGGGAGCTATCCCATGGAAGGCCATCCAATGTGATGGCCTCGTTTGGAACCCCTCGCGAGTGGTAATCAAGCATCTCGTTGACGAACGCTACAGGGAACCCGTAGCGTGGTTCTTCTCAGAACCTGGAACCTTGCACATGAACCCGCGGCTTGGAAACGACTACTGGTCGATCACACCGACCTTGCTCCACACGCGTATGAGGCGTCGAGCCTCGTGACGATCATCTCTTTGCAGCTTAAGGGGAGTCCAATGAACGCATAGAAAAGTCACGAACGCGGACACAATATGGATTATCTAAGCTCGCAAGCCGTGAGGGCTGGGCTGAACATGGCCCGTTTCGTCGACGGTGCCTGGAGCCATCATCGAATTGTTGTATTTCTTAGGCCTATTAAAAGCTCAAGAAGGTTTAATTTGGACCCCAAGACGTTCTAGGTGATGTAAACAACCGAGCTTATCCCAGGCCTCTCGTTCCGCCTGGTCACCAAGCCACACTAGGCCAAGCATACCAGCGGCGTTTGTGCCGACTCCCTGAAATCGACCATGGCGACGGGGAATAAGACACAGCCATGAATCCGTGAGGCACACGTTATAAGCTCCAAATCCAGATGTGGTTCCTTGTGCCGTCCTCATTGCAGACAACAGCCGAGAATAGCATGTCATAATGTGATCCGCTTGAGAATTCTCAGGAAGTCGTAGCACAAAATGCTGGTAAGAAATACCGGGGATTCTAGAAGCAATTTCTAGTGGATGTTAGACAAGATCTCGTCGCTTGGGGTCAAGGCTTTGCAGGGTGCAACTGACCTTGAGTGGATTGGGCCTGTTCGGGAAATAAGGGAAAAGGTGAAGGATACGCAAAGACTTGCATATGCTTGTGACCCTGGGAGGCTCCAGCCTCTGCGCCGCAATTGTAAAGAGTCATCTGCGGCACCGTGCGTCCCAGGTTCGCCATGACAGCACGGGCTGCGGTGAAGTCGTCCATGTTTAGGTCGTCATCTTGTGGTGCGAACTCGCGAGTATGAAGGATGTACATCGGTCGATAGATGCAATGCATATTGAGCTCAAGAATGTGGCAGTCGCCAACCCGGCTGACTACGAAGTCTGGGTCAGGGTGGAGGAACGGCCCTCCAAGGCCACGGCGTTCAGGCGCATTGTGGGCTAGGATAGGTTTCTTGGATAAAGCTTGACTTGTGCGGAACTCAAGCTGACGAAAAATGTCAGCATCAAGAGAGCAATGGACGTAGACTCATGATCACTGGCCCTGAATCCCTGATCCTCAACTGTCTCGCCCTCCGTTTCCTCAAAAAACAATCTCCCTTGTGAAACAAGAGCATCAAATTTAGTTAGGGCTTGGAACTCCAAGTCATCGGGTAGCTTAATCGAGGGCAATTTCAGTTGAGAGAGAATGAGTTAAGAGGGCTGTCTTGGCTGTCAAAGAGGCCACCTGTAGTGAACCACTTAAAATTGCAGCTGGTGAAATTATTGGAGAGCGACGGATTAGTAGTACAGACATGCTATCTTTTCCTAGCCAAATTTGTAACTTCCATGATATTGTGAAATCACCTCTTGCTTTTCACAATGTACTTTGCAAAAGGCTTCCAAAGTTTGTTGTAACGGTCTGAGAAAACGAGTCTATGTCAGATATACTAAAAGAGTGGCAGATAACATGAGGGGTTGTTCTCCGTTAGTTCTCTATGGCTGTTGTCCACAGTCAGGATTCAATGTCAACGTCAACTCATCATGTCAAGATCCAAGAGTGAACGAAACTCTTGAGCAAACTCTGACTCCTCCAGATGTCCCATACCACGCTTTGGCATACAACCACCAGTATGTCACCGTAGCCACCTGCGCAGGATGAACCATTTGTACTACGTGCTCTGTCAGCTTCTGTACATTGATAAAACTTTTCATAAACATACCCCAGGCCCACTTTCTTCTCGTTTTTGCTTCCCTATCCGAAGCATTCCTCGGGGACTTACACAGGGACTATTTGCAAACGAGGCAAACTATGCCGCAGACACGGTCTATCGGATCACTAAGCTGCGTCCTGGTCGATGAGACGGGCTTTACATCAGGGTGCCCTGACGGGACTCAAGAAATGGCGATGGTTTCTTAGCCTGCGTCTGGCCAGATACTCACTGTTTCGTTGGAAAGATGATGTGGTTGGTGTTGGAAGGTGCGAGGGTCGTATGCCCATACGCTAGCGCTAGCCTATAAATAGGCTCTTTCTAAGCGTTTAATAGCGGGGAGATTTCTCTCCTCAACACCTAATAATTAACTATTATTTACTTAATTGCTTCATTAAATTATAAGCCCGGCATCGCTTAAGATATCTTAAAATATTAGAAAACATTAATACCCCCATTTTTATAATTATTTTCATACCTAAATTATTAGGATTTTAACGTTGCTAGCCTTTGCCTATATATCATTATCATACCCTATAATAGCTACCATGGCTAATAATAACTTATAATAATTCAACACTCTTACCCTATTTAATATTTTATTTGCTTCTTTTTATTTATTTACCTGCATTAATTAATGCTAACCACTATAAATAAATAAAAATATATAAATATTATTTAAAATACGCTTAGAAATATACGAATACCGTTTAAAAGATATTAAATATATTTAACTTTAAGCTTAACCCATCATCTTTCCTAAAGTTAAACCCAAAAGGGGAAAACTTCCTGGATTAAAGGGCGGCATGGAGTCGCGGCTTTTAGTTTATTGGCCTTAGCAAATATATTATAGGTATTAAGGAACGATTAAATAAGGATGCGGCTCTTATAAAATAGGAAAAGCTTAATAATTAAGCCTTTATTATACTCCTAAGCTTAATATATTTAAGCCTTATAATATTCATTACATTATATAGAAAATCTTTTAATGCTTGGAAAATACTAATTAATTAATTTAACCATGATATTAATAACTTAACTATTTACCTCTTTTATTAATTAATAAACTTGCAATATAAGGATAGCTTTAACTTGCAAGGCTATTTAAATGCCTTTTAAAACCTTTAAATAAAACTTTATATTAAAACCTTAATATTAAGATAGTTAATTAAAAGGTTAATAAAGTTACTTTTTAAAAGCAATAAGATTAAAAGCTCCTTCTTTTTAATAATGCTGCCAAATATTATAAATAATATTATTAATAACCTAAGTAGCTAAAACCTTATAACGTTTTCTAAAATTAAACTTAAGATAATAAATATTATTTCCTATATAAAGATTAAATAATTTAAAGCCTATTTTACCTTTACTTAAAAGAAGTTGGCACTAAAGGGTGCGAAAAAGGCTGCGAAGTTTGCATTAATGAGTGCCAACTCTACATTAAGTAATAAAGAATGCACTTAATGCCATATGCAAAACTTTATATTTATTAGCTATTTATATACCAATTATGCAAAGCTTGCTAAATATAAAGCCAATTAGGAATAAAAAAAGGGCAAGAAATAAGTTATTATAAATTAAGCTATGGATAAAGAAGTTATTAAAATTTTTAATAATAATAAGGAAGATATAATAGCACTACATGCTAATATTTCAGCATATATGGTAAAGCTGCTAATAACTATAAATACTTTAATATTATAAATTTTTAATTTTAATGCTTTAAAGCATATAATAAAATGCATGGAAGACTTTAGCTCCTTGCAACCACATTTAGGTATAATTACCATTATGGGTAATAATCAACTCGCTATAAAAGGCATTAGCTTTATAGAAATCTTCCTATGATTGCTAAATAAATTAATTACTAAAAGCATCTTTATTAATATTTTATATAATCGCATATTAAGGAATACTTATTTATTTAGCTAAATTATAATTTAAAAAAGGTTTTAACTAAATGCATAGGGAAACAATATCTTCCTATTATTAAAAGATAATAAATTTCATAAAATACTATAAGCAAAGTTTTAATATAGAAATTTTAAAATTTAAACGGTAAAAAACAACTTTATAATATTCGCAATATATAGTAAATTTTATAAAGCTTTTAGCCATAGCAATCTATTAAGACTAACTGCTTAACGCCTATATGGAGATAAAGATGTTATGCTAAATAAATTAATGGATTTTCACTATAAATCATGCCAACTTGCAAAGTTCATTAAGAAACGCTTACATTCATTACTAAAACGATAATTTACACAGCCATTTAAGTATATCTAATTTAATTTATTAGGCAAATTCTTAGTAAAATTACTAAAAGGTTTTTAATACTTTATTCCGTTTATTAATAACTATACTTAATTCTATTGGGTTTACTTCATTGCTTAAAAGAACGATATTTTAAACGTTATTAAGGAATTCTTAAATATAATTAAAACTCAATTTAGCGTAAAAGTTAAGATATTTAATTTAAACAATAGGGGTAAATATATAAATAAGATAATTATCGCAATATTCCGAAGATACGGAATTATTCATAAGAAATCACCCCTTTATTACCATAAGTTAAATGGCATGCCTAAAAGGTTTATGCATATTATTATTACCAATACTTACATGATGATTCGCGATGAAGATTACTTGTTTTTATGACTTAAAGCAATTTCCCATATAACGTATTTGCAGAATTGAAAACCATACTTAGCCCTACCATGCCAAATAACGCTATTTAAGGTATTTTATAAACGGAAGCTTAATGTCGGATATTTCTAACTATACTTTTGCCTTATGTACTTTTATGTCTTTATTAAGGCTTGTAAGCTGAGAATGAAATTATTAAATAAAGCTAAAAAGGCATACTTTATGGGATTTAAGGCTAAAGGCAAGACTATCTTTCATTTATTTATGTTACTTTAAAAAGTTATTATAACCGTGATATTAAGCTATGTTACTTAGTTTAATTTAGCGATAAAGATTATATAAATGATTAATTAGCTAAATAAAAATATGCTATTTAAAATAAAGGTATTATTAGTGTTTTAGCTAATGGAATTTATTAATAATGCAGGACTTATAAATAAACTTATAAATGAATTGCTTAAACTTGCAAGATTTGTTAATAAACTACTTAAATTCACGGGATTTATATAGTTACATAGTTTTTAAGGATAATGGATTTAGCCTTTGCGGAAAGCAAAAGAAAATATAAACGTTATTATAAAATGTTTTAAAGATTTTAATAACTTAGCATTAATTAATGCAAACTTTATGCTAAATCTTGCTTAATTAGCATTAATTAATGCTAATTACCTTAATTAAATCTTTACTTAAGTATTACTTGCTAGCATAGTAAATGCTAACGATATCCCTAATATATATACATAAACTATAAAGAGCAGTAAAAGGGATGCCTAGCGATAGGCTATTAAAAGAGAATTTAAATTACTCTTAAATATAAGTATATGGGTTAAAGTACTTATTACTATAAACCAATATATTATTAATCCTTACTAGATATATATAAAGAAGTTTAACGCTTTTAGTAAGCTTGTTCGCTATAAGGCTTGACTTATTACTTATAAATATATATAAATTTACGGCGTGAATTATAACGATACCTACAGCCTTATAACGCGTTATGATAGTTTAAGACTAATCATTATTATTGCCGCTATAATGGGCTGGTAGCTTTAGCAATTTAATATTAAAATAGTATACTTGCATAGCTATTTAAAACATAATATTTATATGTAATTACCATAAGGATATTAAATATTGTTTAATAATCAGCAAGTTATTTTAAAACTTTTTAATGCCTTATATAAACTTAAATAATTAAGCTGTGAATAATTTAGTACTTTTAAAGAGGAATTAATTAAATATTTAATGGAAACGACATTTAACCCTTACGTTTTTATTAAAAACCAAATTATTATCGTTATTTATATTAACGACATTCTTATTACTAAAAGTCTCTTTTAAATTAATGAATTTCGTACCAAGCTTATGCAACGTTTTAAGTGCAAGGATCTTAATCTTTGCAAATACTTGCTTAGATTAAAAATTACATAAACCAACAATAAGATTTGCATTTCCTAAAAGGGATATGCTTAATAAATTTTAAAACGCTTTAATATATTTAACTGCAATTAAAGATAAATTCCTATGGATTTAAATTCATTTCCGCGATAAAAGGAACCTAATAACGTTGCAATGAATGCAACGATATATTAATCACTTACTGAATTCATTAATTTTCTCATTACTAAAACGAAACTTAATCTTACGTTTTCATATATAATGCTCTTAATATTTAATGCAAAGCTTATAATCCATTATTTAAATATTGCAAAGGGGGTGCTTTAATATATTTAGCATATACTGGATTATGCCCTGTAATTTTTAAAATAAATGTTATTATTTTAATTCGCCACACTTAATATGCATATTAACGCTTCCTATAATACCAATTTAGATAATTTAAAAGCATTTAGCGGATATATGCAACTTCTTAACGGCGGCCTAGTTGCTTAATTATTAAAGCGCTAATTTATTATTATAAAATCTACTTATAAGGCGGAATATATAGCATATTTATTAACATTATTATATCTTTATTAAATGATTTAAGCATTAAAAGATTTAAGCGTTAAGTATATTAAATGTTTACCTATTTTATATATTAATAATTAGCCAGCATTAAACCTTATTTAAAATTATAAAGTTAATACTTAATTAAAATATATCGCTATTTATTATTACTTTATTTATAAAGGAATTAAAGAAATATATAACGTTTATTACATTGCATTTAAAGATAATCTTGCTAATATTTATATAAAAGCGTTACCTTGCCTTGCCCTTAAAGAGGCTTATAGGAGATTAAGATTAAGATAAGTATAGGGTTTATATTACTAGGGGGGGCGTTTAAATAGTTAACTAAAAATAATGCAAGCAAAATATATAAATATTAAATAATGTTTATATAATGGTTTTAATATAAATTATAATGGAACATTTAAATTATATTTTTAGCTATTAAAACGGAATATCTCTTATTATCGTTAGGATAATAATACTTATAATGGGGGGTATGTTGAAAGGTGCGAGGGTTGTATGCCTATACGCTAACGCTAGCCTATAAATAGGCTCCTTTTAAGCGTTTGATAGCGGGGAGATTTCTCTCCTTAATACCCAATAATCAACTATCGTTTGCTTAATTGCTTCATCAGTTGGCATCCTTAGGCTTGTGACGGGTTCCGGCCTATTCCACAAACATCTCAGCAAGACACAAAGTCTCCAGCAATGTAAATTCTCTGTACCAATTCATTTCATTGCTGCATATTGAAAACGGCCAAATCTCCTCTTTTGGCCTTGAACTATTGCCAATTAGCCAGATCCTGGCCGGAACACCATGCGCAAACCCTCTTCACGTCCGTAACGATTCAAGCCACCGTACCCAGGCATGAGAGATGCACTTGAAACTGGCATTGGACAAGCCGTTGCAATTACATATGAGGTGTCTTTGACCTGTCTATGTGGACTTAATTTCCTCAAATTCATCAATCAGATGCCAAAGAGGACCCAAAGACCAAAAGCACCACCAGACTTGAATTGAGATATGTTTGCATGTCACTCACTTCATCCCTCAGTCCATCCGCGTTGACGGTCCTTTCAGTAAAGGAGAGGTGCCAAGTTTTCCCATACTTCACTGCCATCTCCTGAGTTCCTGTACCAGAACTGACCGGCCAACTCGGCCGCCAGGGTCAGGTAGTATTGATCATGTTGCTACAAAGGCCGCTTCTTGAAAGAGCCCAGCAACGCAGCGACTGGCGACTGCCCTTTTCCGGTGCGCTGCCTCTTTGCCCTCTGTTTTTCTTCCTTGTCCAATATGCCCGAACTACTAAGTCCTTCGTACAGAGCCCAGGCACCCAGCGTCTTCGCATCCCTCGCTCCCACTTTCCAAAGATCGGTATACTTCTCTAACCGAAGCGTGATGGCTTCACCCGCCGGTCGCAAGCCGGTGATTTTGCCTTTCAAAGCCTCGATGTGCACTCGGTCCATCTCCTTTTCCCAGAGGAAGAGCGAGATATGCTCGTCGCACCCGCCAGGACTAGGATACATTGCCTTGGCCAGATTTTCTGCATCCCCCTCTGAATCCTGGAGCGCGAGTTCAGTCATGTTGATGAGCTCCGACATGGGGATCTTGAGGCCTGTCTCCTCCTCGATCTCTCTCGCGGCGACACCAGCAAAGTTGTCGCTGGAATCCATCATACCGGCCGGGATCTCGATAAAGCGCAATGAGCAGGCTGGGGTACGGGCCTGCTCGGTGAGAATGACCCAGCGCTCGTCCCGCTTGTCTGAAGGCCGCAGAATCATGAGCATGGCAACACTTCCGCCCCGGAGGAAGATGGTCTCGTAGAGCGTGTTACTGTAGTCGACCGGAAACGCCTTGGGATCTGGAGCTTGATTTGCCTGCTCTGCAGTCGGATCCCGCTGAATCCAGGCCTCCATCTTGACAAAGCCCACTTTGCCATGGGGAAACCGTGTGATGGCTTTGACGTGGATACTTCTCAGAGAGTAGGGGCGCTTGTGGTGTGGATGTGTCTCGTCTCTCTCCTGTCGCGCAAGATTCACCTGCATCGTCTTTTTCCATTCTTGGAAAGCTTTGAAGTTCTCGAACTCTGCCTTATCGATACCGCCTCTCCGTCTCCAGTCGCCCAGACCGTATTTGTCGAAGTCGTCAGTTTGTGGGCACCAGAGACTGACTGTGGAATTGCCAAATTCGAGATCGTACTTCTTCCACGAAAAGTTGGGTGGGCAATCGATGATTTCCGACATATTTGTTAGGTTCTATATCGTCGGTCTCCGACCAAGCAGAGTTTGAAGCGACATGTGTCGAAGGAACCAGATGTGTTCAGGCGGCAGCAGTGCGCGGTGATGATAAGCGAGAACCCCTCAGCAGTTCTCAGGCGCTGTCCTGCGCTTGATGTAGCGGCAGAATCAGGCAGTGCAGGCTCATCCAGTGTAAAAACCCCCCTGTCTGGCAGAAACAAGATGATTGGATGGGGCGGCAGGCTGCTGCTCTTGTCTCAACAGCTTGCTCTGCAGGCTAGCGCTAATCGGCGATGGGCCATCACCCGTCGCCCGAGTTCACAGCCACCTCTTTGTTGAACCTTTCCAAGGTGGGGACCGTCTTACATGCATGTGCAGTACACCAATATTTGACACAGCGGCACATAACACCAAGGGGACAGGGGTATTGATCCAATAGAACGATCCACTGAATCCCACAGCCTGATAAGCCCTCGCACATTAATTCTCAGCTGAGCATCAGATTTACCTGCATCCCGCTCCACTTGTACATGGGCATCGGCTATGTCTGAAGCCAGGCGCGACAGCAGTCCCAGGGTTATTGGTTGGTCCAAACTCTCCTGGCGAGCTCTTCTTCCGCAGAGATTAAACGTATTTAGCTGGCACAGAAGCCCTGATGGACTATTGTTTTGGGCGCATGGGGCTGAATACGGCGTGCTAAAGTGGGTTGTACGTAGTGGGGGTTAGTGGAGGTGGGGAGAGATGTACTCGGCGGTTGGTTGTTGAGGAGACTGAATTTTTGAGATGGCAGTGTGCCTTATGTATGCATTGCATCCTACCGGCCCACTCGACCACTGTCGCGCCCAGTCAGATATGCATACATGCAGCGCGAATCAATGTAACCTTCCCCTGGTCGGAGTGGGCGCTACGCCATTCGGAAACAGTTGAGGACTACTAATAAAGTACAGAGGGCCGGCAGAGCGGTCCAGCTCCACACCGAACCAGGCTGGTTTTCTTGCTGCCCTTCCAGCTCAACCATGTCTCCCATTTAGTCCTGATGTTCCCGGGTTATCCCGCCTACAGATTGCTCAAGTCTCTCCATGTACAGCTTGAAAATCGACATCATTCAGTCCCTCATTTGTTAGTTTGCTCGTTTGTTCATTTGACAATATGCTTTGCGAGATCTGCGTCTGGATGTTGCGAGGGCGTCGTGGGCAAATTTTTGGGGGCACACTGGGCCTTCATTTCGTCCATCATGATTCGGCAGAGTCTTTCTGGACATCGGTCTCTAGAGACTGCTCAATCTGTCGCGTGCTGGGAGACGAACTCGGGGCCAGCTTCTTCCCAGCACTGCAGGGCACATACTTGACCCGCGACCGGGCCTTTCTGGATCTACGCAGCCAAGCACATTTGGATGTGGTGAAGTCACTATCTGACGAAGCTAAAGGCGTCTACGTGTACCGCCTCGACTTCACGGTGGAATGGGCAGGAATCAAGTTCAGCCGGACTTTTGTGCTCAGGCCGACGGGTATGCTGTTGTAGGAAGACCCTCTGAATTGTAACTCTGACTGACCCATGATGTGCCAGGCTTTCAGGAATTGCAACCGAGGACGCCGATTTCCGACCACATGTACCATGCTGAAGTCTTGGGACTTGCCAAGACATGGCTTAAGAAGTGCAAATGCGTTGAACACCAGAGCTTGAGACAAGAGCAGTATCCGACTCGTCTGATCAACTTGGCCGAGTTGAAGAAGCTGGGCACAATTGACTTGGATGAGTGGAAATACCACGGGGCCCCGGGACTGAGCGAGCTGCAAAATACAAATGTCAACCTGGTCGAAACAAAAGATCTGGACGAATGGAAACTGAAAGGCAAAAACTACGTGACACTCAGTCACAAATGGGGTGGCACAGATAAGCCGGTCAGACTGACGAAGGAGACACAGGAGACATACCAACGAGGTGTGAAGTTGGGAAGCCTGCCTAAAACTTTTCAAGACGCCAGTAAGCAGCTTCTGGTCACTTTTTTCACGTACCTGAGAATTTCTATCTGCCATACTTATAAGCTGTCTTATTACTTGTCTTCAAGTGCCTCATTTGATTGCAAGAATGATAAACAGACCATAATATGACAGTGTTCTGCTCCAGCCCATTTCACATCAGTCTTCCTAGCTTACATTCCACAAGCTAACTCTGGATACTACAGTCCGCTTCGCCCTTCGGGTGGATGATAGTATTCATTACATCTGGATTGACTCCCTATGCATTATCCAGGGCGACCCTGACGACTGGCTCAAAGAATCAGCCCTCATGCAGAGAGTCTACCGCAATTCATTCCTGAACATCTCAGCGACAGCCGCGGAAAACAGTGGTGAAGGTCTGTACTCAGAGCGGTACCCACAGCACTTGTGGGAAGACGTGGTAAGCCTGGATGTTGATGGCCTTCATAAAGGCACGCCCCTTCCACTTCGGGCTCAGTCAGGCTTCCCACCCAAGTCCGCCGCCACAGACAGCGCGTCATTGGATGTGGAGTTCACTCATTTGGCCAAAGTAAGAAGTTGTCTGTTGTTGGACGTTTCGAACTGGGAAAAACTGGTGAACCAGGCCCCGGTTAACAAGCGAGGCTGGGTTGTCCAGGAGCGACTATTGGCACCCAGAGTGCTGCACTTTTGTCGCGGCCGCATCGCCTGGGAATGCGCAGAGTTTGATGAAATTGAGGGACACTATCCAAACATACCGAACTACCAACTCGTTGGTGACGAAATCTACGAAGGCATCCCCATCAAGGGACTGGAGCCAGAAGAACATGGCCAAAAGCTGAGGAAAAATAGACTTCGTGGAGGACCCGATCCTCTCTTGGGCGACAGGGACAATTTGAAGGTCTCTCCAATTGTTCACTCACTTGAGTTGTGGGCTCGCATCGTCGAGATGTATTCCAGGACTGACTTGACCCAAAAGAAGGACAAACTCATTGCTCTATCGGGAATAGCTCATAGCATGGCCGCCATCATCGAGACATCGCGGAAAGCCAAGTATGTAGCGGGACTGTGGGACGCGGGCGAGCATCTTGTCAGTCAGCTCCTCTGGCATGTCGAACCGGTCTGTCGTGGTGATACCGAGTCTGGAACCAGCACACTTGAGTATCCGTCGAAGCGTCCAAAAGAATACAGGGCGCCAAGCTTTTCTTGGGCATCAATAGATGCCCAGTATGGGAACGGAATCACTTGTGGCGATGTTGTCAACCCTGAAGGGATTCTCGTCAAAGTCCCGCAGGACGACGCTATTACCGATTCTGAGATGAACACCCATGTCTGGGGAAAGAGCGTGTTTGTACAGTGCAAGACGGAGAACGAGTTCGGCCTGGTCACAGGAGGGCACATCCGGCTGGAGGCCTACTTGTACCCGGCGAAGTTACAACGGGAGGGAACGCACTACCACTGGTCCTTGGGTGCGGGCAATGGCGCGAGCGACGAGGTCAGCAAAGAAAAGCACTACAACGTTTGCCTCGACTGCCCTGGCGATGACGACCAACAGAGCCGGCTCACCAAGTCCGACGAGATCCACTGCATGCCGGTGGCGCTTAAGTTGTCGACGAAGTCCACTGACCTCGTATGCCTCCTCTTGGAGCGCGTCCCCGAAAACGTTCAGACAAAGACGTGGCCAGAGAATTGCCGGGAGCGCAGCTTCAGGCGCATCGGCTTTTCAAAGCTATCACTTACATTTGATCATTTGACGTTGAGACATATTGCGGAGGACATTGGACAACCAAGTGCAAGTGGCAACGAAGAAAAGGGGAAACAAATTGTGTACATAATTTGACGGGGGTCATTCGGAAGAGTCTGATTCGGGTGTTTGTAACTCACCACTCAGTCTCCAAAATTGAAACCGCAGACCAACCAAAGCATCAGCGGCAATTTCCTCAGCTTCGAGAGCCCATCTGAAGCAGCAAACTCATCAAATGTTTAAGAGGCTGCAAAAGGACCTCTGCTTATCTCATTAACAGGTTCTCTATCCATTATGGTCGATATCAAGAGTAAGTCTTGGTTGTTCGACTGGAACACCGCCGAAGCAATTCAAAATAAACCTGCGCAGGACCGTGGATGGGGGGAGTAGCACCACATACTCTGGGTAAGTAGCGGTGTAGATCTCTTTTTTAGTTTACATGCATGAAGCAAGAACACGAAATAGAGAAAGTTCATCGGTCGAAGATCTATCTACTTGCAGTCTGTGAAATCTTAACCGCGGGAACGCTTCGGACACGGAATAAGCGACTCTCCGTCACGCATTGAACCCATTGCCAATACAGAGCGAAAGACAGAAAATCCCCGACATCTCTCCCATTGAGTTAATGGGCGTGAATCACGGCCATAGCGAGCTTTGTCTCGCGAATAGGGAGTTCTGACTGGGAGTGTTTCAAGTACGCCATCCACCGAACTTGCGCTGGAAGCAACATCTTCACAGAAGTGACTGGCCGCTGGTTACACCTGAGTCGACCGGAGCTAGCCGAGCACGGACTGAAGCCGAACCTGTGGTGAGAATATTCAAGACCAATTGGGATCATCCTGAGTAAGTCTTGATCCATCCCACTCTCGATATGGAAGTCTTGCCGGCGATCGGGTCCCCAGAGGCGCAACGCCAACGTGCCGCTCGCCGGTGATTGTTGCAGGCTGTACACCCTCACAAGTCACGGATGCCCTTGGCAGTAATCGTGCACTCCATTACGCAGGAGGAAGCCTGCTGGCCGGCTCTCCGGGAATAAGTTGAAGTGAGATGTCACCAGATCTCCGTCCCACTTCTTAGATGTTCCCGAGTAATCGTCGTCCCCTCGTGAACCCCGCCTGTTTCCCACTCCTCTGCTTCATAAAAGTCCAGGTCATGCTCGTCTTCAATTATGTCCAACGAAGCTGACCTATACATTTCCAACGGCACCTGCTACTATGGAGAGGGTCAAGTATCTGACCCACGTTATATACCTTGCGGCAATGCCCGACTCTCTGGTGTCCAACACTGCTGTTTCGAGGGCTCGTACTGCCTCTCCAGCTACGCATGCTATGACACACCAAGTGAGCCTCTTTGTTATCGCTCATTCTGACACATATCACGTACTTACCAGAACACACAGCCGGAGTGACCTATCTCGCCGGCTGCACCGATCCCACCTTCCTGGACGAGCAATGCGCCCAGAAACCCGGCTACACAGGGCAGCAGTGGGTGGCCATGGCGCGCTGCAGCGGCGAGAACATTTCAATGTGGACAGGCTGCGCCCACCACCCGAGGCAGGTCACGCTCGAGAAGGAAAACTGCAGCTGCAACCTAACCAATGTCCTGATCGAGAACACCAACGGGCAGTCCAGCCTCGGTGAGATCGGCAGCCTGCCAACGTCCGCCGGCGGGACGATCTCGTTCAACCCCACCGCCCTGCCCACGTATGCAGTGACCACGACCGGGAATCCGTCGGGCGTGGCGTCGGGCGCTGCGACTGCGACTGCCACGGAGCCGACCTCGGGCAGCGGTGGTGGTGAGCCCTCCGGCGGCGCCAAGGCCGGAATTGCGGTCGGGTCCATCGTCGGAGGACTGCTCGTGCTTGGGGCCCTAGCATACCTTTTCCGCAAGGCGTACCGGCGGAGAGTGGACCGGGCCGTGGCAGCTCGCACCTCGCGGACGGACTCGGCGCCGCCGCCGCCGCCGCACGAGCCCAGTCCCATGTCTCAACTTTCATCCCGAGTGTCGCCGGCACCACAGTATCATGAGTCTTTACAGATCCCCAAGTCCGAGGAGGAGGGCAAGATCGCCGGGCTCGGGTACAAGTCTGAGATGCCGACTGAAAGCAATGACAAGCCTGAACTTCCGGGCGATGTAGGCATCGTGGCTCCGCACCGGAGGCATGAGCTTGCTACGTGATCGGCCGTGGACCGTTACGAGTTGGTTCAGGCTGGACCAAGTCACTATGGACAGGGCTGTTACACACATGGATATTATTAACAGCATCAGACAGCAATGATAGAATATGGACAGCGTTAATGAATTTTGGACAGCATCAACCAACCATAGTTAGTGGGGTTAGGGGTATCACTGTGAATCAACACTGTAGCCATCTTCCGTTTAACTTGCAGCCTGTTAGGTGTTCATTTCATGCCTCGAAGGCATGCAAATGGGTACTTAAGCCATACAGACGTGGATTGCTATGACGAGATTTTATATAGAAATTTCCAGTCTTGGCAGCTGCACAATCATGGATACAACCTCCCAAAAAAAAAAAAAAAAAAAAAAAAGGCACGATGGTGCTGTCGCTTGTAAACAGGATCAAGAACCCCCTTCCTTAAATCCCTTAAGTCTTCGCTGTCTCGACCTCAGGGGATTCCCAAAAAAAAGTCCACGGGCGAGTCATTTCTCAGCCCATTCGCAGACAACAGCATCGTCCAGCATCCTGTTTGCATATATACATTGAAAATCGAAACCTGTTGAATTCTGGGACTCAAAAGATGTATCATCATACTAGCTACTTCTGCCGGATGCATTCCATCACTGCTGTCCAAGATATCCAAACGGCGTGGTTTGACAACACGAATGCCGCATCATTCCGAAGCCCTGGGGATGCATTAGGATTAGATCGGTCCATAGCCAATCCGCCGTATGGAAATCCGGGACACGCAATCACCACAATCTCTGTACTGGATAGGTAACTTCAGTAGATCAAGTGCTTCCCGAACAGCACCATGTTCAGCTACTGGGACTACTGGTAGTTCCTCTCGTGCGCAGTTTGCCGCCATATCTATGTTCATCAACAATCATCCAGGTTCTCAAAAGAGACAGATAAACTCACCTTGCAATGAAGTAAGGGGCAGGAATCAGAACCAGGGCGATGAAGCCAAGTACAGTGTTTCCCCAACCATATCCCATGTCTTCATCTGAAAGACTTGGAGTTAGTACATCATAGCCTAGGTTTTGGGGGATGAAATAAACTTACAGAGAATCGGGCCAGCCAGAGGTAGGAAAGCGCCGACCACATTTCTCGAAGATGCCAATGCGGCGGTGGCCGTTGCTGCGTTTTCTGGGAAAGCGTCGATCATATATGTTTGGATGGGAAGGAAAATGCCGATCATTCCCAGCCCAAAGCATAAAAGCCCAGTTACTGGTGCCAGCCAGAATGTGTGTTCCTCAGCCGACCATCCGTACCAAAAGAACGACAATGGGATCAAAAATGAGAAGAAGACGCAGACTTTCAATCTGACCTCGGGAATAGGGATATTGTTGTTCTGTTTCGTATGCTTCGCCATAATGCGGTCGCTGGTACTGCCAATCACGACCACTCCGAGCATGAAGCCTATGCCCAGTCCAATGTAGGAGAGACCAGAGACTCCAATGCTCCAGCCATAGATTGTAACAAAGACACTCGTCAATGTTGTAAGCAGCAGGTATAAAAGCCCATACACAAACCCTAAGTAAAGGCAGAGGAGTCCAATGATTGGGGAAGTGAAGACAAACTGCAGGCAGGTCAACATTGCTTCATGGTAGACATCGAACTCTCGAAAACATAGGGCATTCATACCTTCCAAGGTTGTCGGATAGCTTCCCCTATACTGATGTCCCTGTGGCCGTCCGCATGTGGGAGCTCGACTGGGCCATACCAATCCAAACGATGCCACCACCGTTGAGGTTTGCCTTCAAAGGCACGTTTTCTTGCCATGATGACTCGCAGGTTGGTCTCCCTGCTCGCAAATATTTGCAGCAGGAGTGTAAGGAATCCGAGGATGAACAGAAGCCAGAACACCTGCATCTATCTGTTAGTGAAGTACGACTAACCGAAAAGTTCAGTGCAGCTACCCATCTCCACCCAGCCTCCTGGGACAGGAATCCGCCAACTACTGGTCCGATGACAGGGCCAAGCAGGGGGCCCAGCGCAAAGACTGCAGTCGCCACTCCTCTTTCGTTTGAATCAAACAGATCGGATACTATACCGCCGCCGATGGAGAGACATGCAGAGCCACCAAGCCCAGAGAAGATGCGGAAAATGGAGGGATGTGATGTTCGGAGCGACGGCGCAGGCAAGTTCCCAGATTGCGAAGAGAGCCGTGCTGATATCCAAGATCTGCATGGTCGGTGGTCAGCTCTGTGACGCTGAGGAGGACTTTTGGACACTTACTATCTTGCGACCGAATTGCTCGCTCAACGGAGCTGCGATGAGGGAACCAACCTATGCCAGGTTCTAGAGGAAGGATCATTTGCGTTGCTCGGAGGAGGCCTACTGACCACATATCCCAAAATGAAGAATGAAACCGTAAACGTGGACAATGTTGTGGAATCATTATCGAACTCAGCATTCATTAGAGATGTCGCCGGTGCGAAGATAGACGATGCTAACGGGCTGTTGCATCTTAGCACAGCGACAAAGCATGTAGTATACTGGTATCCTCACCTGACAAGGCAAAGCCAGCTGACCAGTGACATGACCAGCCATTTACGGCCAATGGGCCACAGTCTGTAGTGATCAGCGCCAAGAGCGTGTCATCGAGGAAGTTATTCGACACGTACTTGGGGTCATAGTTCTTGAGCTGTTCCTCATACTCTTGCACGTCAAGTGAGTGACGCAGAGTCTGATCTCCAACGACGAGGTCCTTAGGAAGGTCCTTCCCTGAAGGATCCTGCAGCTCGAGATCTGTCGTGTGATCCAGAGCCATCGGGGATTCAATGCAAGAATTATGCGGCCACAGTCTGGTCCAAATCAATCTGTATAGCTTCTGGCGGTGTACGAGGTGTTCGTGTGCAAAGTAAAATGGGGACAATTCGACAAAACCTGCCTCCCGACAATCGAGAATACACTGAGCCGTTCAGGCCAAACTAGCCTCACTTAGACAGAGGCTCCTCCGTTTCTACCGAGCGATGCCAAACAAATTACCGATGCCGAAGAAAATACGACTCGCAACTACCGAAATGGTTGCTGAATCAGTACTTCTCACGCGGTAACCGAGTCTGCCAAGTACGGGGCCGAGGGAGTGAGATGATCCACTTTTCCCCTTCCAACTGTATTGGCAGGACATCAATGAGCTGCGAGGATATATTTCAGCTTTCGGATTCTTGACGGTACCGGTAGCCATCGTATCCACCTCAATCATCCTGCACATCAATAGTACCGTCATGGGGATTGAATTACAGAAGAAAAGAGTATTGATCACAGGATGCAGTCCTGGGTCGATTGGGGAGGCTTTGGCACAAGAGTTCCTGAACCGGGATGGTACGTACGCCCGTAATCCTGCTTGTAACTTGCCTGGCTGACCTGACGCCAGATTTCGTGGTCTGCGTGACATCCCTACCGGGGGAAGAGCTCAAGGAGCTCGAAGCACTGGGCGCTGTCCCTTTCCCCGTCGACGTGACATCTACGGATAGTGTCAAGGCCTTGAAAGATGCTGTTGTCGAAGATCTGGGCGATGAGCTAGATGTATTGATCAACTGCGCGTGAGTACTTTGTTCTGGCATCAACCACTCCACTGTCCGACGGAAATGCTGACAAGATTATACAGAGGAATGAGTGAGAGCCGGCCCCGCGACGGCGTGGATCTTTGCCCAGTACTAATTGTCTCTAGATTATGTCATGCCGGCTCTGGATGTGGATGTTGAGGAGCTCAAGCGCATTTTTGATGTTAATCTCTTTGGGACTGTCCGAGTCACACAAGCGTTCTCCACGCCCTTGATTAACCGGAAAGGGGTGATTGTTAACGTGGGGTCCCTGGCTGCTTATGCACCATACGTCTTTGGATCGTCTTATAATGCCAGCAAGGCAGCTTTGCTTGCTTTCGGCAACACTTTGAGAATAGAGTTGAGCCCGTGGAGGTGAGTACTTAAACAGCCAACACAGGGAAGAATCCCACGCTGACTTGGGAATACCTCCCACAGTGTGCGAGTGATGACCATCATAGCTGGCCCAATCGTCAGCGGCTTGATGACCAGGAAGGAAAGGAGTCTGCCCTCAGACTCAAGGTATCAGCCGATCGCGGAGGCTTTCGACCAGCGGACGACTCATGCAAAGCATGGGTTTCAGGCAATGCCGACTAAAGAGTTCGCTCAGTCCATTGTTAAACAGGTATTGAGATCGAAGCCCCCACGTTCTTACTGGATCGGGCCGTTCAAGGGGGTGGTCTGGTTGTTGGAAACTCTTGGATTGGCCTCCGCGTGGAATTGGTTCTTCCGCAGGAAGTTCCAGCTGTGGAAATTAGATCAGCACTAGATATTTCTTTCTTTTAATGCTTCTTGATAGTGGCTTAGTATATGCTACGCTCCCTCCGGGTATTTCGAAGGATGGGGGTGTTCATCCACTTTCCTTCCGATTCCACGCGTCCTCCTGAGGTCTGTTGTGAGGATGTTGCTGCCGTAGCCTCTGGCCGGATACCATGTCGCGGCCAGGGCAGACTCTAGAGCTTTATAGCTTTTAGAACCTCATGCAATACTATGGTAGTAGCTACTGGAACAAGTCTTGTATCATTAATTGCAGTCCAATCTTGGTCCACAAGGTCACCCTTGTGAGATCAGTCCTTACTAATACACTTTGTGTGTATTAGCCACTGGCAAGAGGTGACCGGAGTGAACGCATGCCCTTTCGAATAGTCTCAAAATGAGAAACGCCTATATTAACCTTGTGACCTGACCCAGTATGAAGAAGATGTCGATGAAGTTTGGAAACATGATCCTTGTGACAAGTCTGACAGATTTCAACTAGCCAGGCGGGGTATATATAAACGTTCAGTACTCGATTTGAGTAGGCTGATCAGCATTCCGAGCTGCATAAGCGTGCAGCCAGTAGGAGTGTGAGAGGAATGTCTTCTTGGATTAAAATCTCAAAGGTTGGCACGTCCACATGAGAACAACACCCTAATGTACATTAAACACGCAACGCGTGCAAGCACAACACCTTAATCAGTACTAATCGATCAGGCGGCAACCCTTGCTTGAGCACTCAAAGCCGTTTCTGTTCCCTGGCCCTTCTCCCAATCACCCTTCTTGAAGCCATCGGTCTTTCCAGCCATGGCTCTCCTCATAGCCCACTTCAAAAAGGTCGGATACTCCGTAGCTGCATCGGTGGGCCCAACCTTCCTACCCAGTGGCTTCAACAGGGCCTCGTTGTTGGGACGAGTGAAGTATGCCAGGCTGTACCGTGTGTAGTTGGCTTGCTCCCCGGGCGGGTTCGTGACACGGTGGATGCTGCTCTTGAGCTCGCCATCTGACCACTTCACGAACGCGTCGCCCAGGTTGAAGATCGCCATTCCTGGCTCGGGCTTGACATACTTCCACCCGGCTTCTTCGCCCGGGGCGACGCGGTCCTCCGGGACGTAGATCTGGAGGCCACCCAGCATGTTGAACAGGACGGTCATCATGCCCCAGTCAGTGCTGCAGACGCGGTGTGTTAGCGAAATGAACCTTCCTTAGTTTTCATATTTGGAAGTGTAAGGACACTTGAAGTGGCCCCCGGGCCCTGATTTCCTGCGAAAGAAGTCTGGGTTTCTCAGTGCGGTATATACTTACTGCGGCTGCAGGCTGACTTTGGCATCTTGAGGCTTAGGTGGACACTTCAGGAGACGGACGTGGCTGCCACAGTCGTTGGTATGGCTGTACAGCTTTGTCAAGTAATCCTCGCTCTCAGGTGGAATTGCGAGGACGGCGGAGAAGACCTCTAGGAATCTGTCCGTGACAGCCTTGCCAAGATCGATGAACTCTTTGAGCTGGGCATTCTTGCCGTTGATCACATCGTTGTAGATGGCACGCGAGTGTCTGCCGGTACCCTCGATATCTCCACAGCTGATCCAGTACTGCTCATTGTTATCAGGAGTTCCATCTTTGTCTACGACGGAAGCTCCCAGCCCCTTGTACCTGTGGAGAACTTTAGCTCGTGCTTCGGATCAGAAAATGCAGCCGCCGACTCAACTCACCCAAACAGATCCTCGCCGTGGTTGAGGATGCTGTCATCGAGCTTCGTCTCCGTTGGGAGATCGAACGTCTCTTTGGCCAGCGCAAACATGTTTTTGGCCGCCTCCAGAAACTTCTTGCCAATTTCCGACTCGCGCAGGTCAACGCGGAAGAAGCCATTGTCTCTAGCGGACTTGATTACTCTGGCAATCTCTTCGACATCTCCGTCCAGGATCTTCTGATGTGAAATGTTCGAGATATGAGCGACTGGCATGTCGGCCGGGAATGCGGGTGGAGTTCCATCTACGCCGTCGAAGGCATTGAGCACTGAATCGGAGCGGAGAGATCCCATATTGTCAAAAGTGTAGCAAGTAGTAGTTTTCAGAGATACGGTTATCAGTACCATATCTAAGAATCAGCACTTACACGACTTGCGAAACTACATTTATAGAGGACACAAACAAGCCTTTGGCAGCTTTGTCTCCGTCTTCGTCAGCGCCGCAAGATGCACAATGGAAGTTCCGCTCACTCATGCTAACGAATCGAATGATGCTCGACTGATGCTGGAATCAGGAGTCTGGTGTATTACAGTGGACTTCGGTATGTCGGTTGTTCGGCTGCCCCACGTAAACTTTAAATCTTGCCGAACAGTGGGCGGCTGCATTTGAACTTTGAATCTACCGAATGTTCAGATTGCGTTCGTTCGCACACATTGGATTCAGGGGTAATGGGTAGTGGAGTGCATGAAGATACGTGGGGACATGTTGGTATTGCGGGTCGTGCCTTAATCGCGGAATGTACGTCTGTAGATCCTGGGAGCGTCAGCCCTGGTCCTGGCTGGCGGGAAGAGGCCAACCTTGCCCGAGCGAGGCTCGCGTTGGCATTCCACTTTGTCCCGAAATTCTGACTCGATGTGTACCATAGCCGGGAATTACGTTTATTCCCGTGGGTTACACATTCCCAGGACTGACCTAGCCCAAGAGTTGAGCTACATACGTACCTAGGCATGTATCTTGAGCGTTTATTCAGTCTTCCATACATCAATAGCTTTTTACTTGCTATTTGGTAGACAGGAACTTGGGTTTTACTAAGAATGTTACGTAAAAATTCCTGGTAATTCTCGGCCCAAGGACAGTCCTCTCCCGGTTCTTACGTGTAGAAAAACGCCCAACACCTTCCAACGTTTGGAAGTGCTGGCTCCACCCAAGAGAACTTCTCCGCCTAACTCAATCCTAGCTTTCAATCATGTCCTCACTGGATGCATCAACCCTCTTCTCCGTTAATGGCCTTGTTGCTGTCGTGACTGGCGGTGGAACAGGTATCGGGTTGATGATCGCTCGAGCTCTTGAACACAATGGTGCGAAAGTCTACATCCTCGGCAGACGCGAGGAGGTCCTCAAGACTGCAGCCAGACAGAACGCGGTACGTGTCGTTGCACGGTCCTAGGAAAATGGGGACCAAGATACTGACTGACTGCCTCAGATCCACGGGAACATAATACCTGTCGTTGCGGATGTGACTGACAAAGCATCTCTGGATGCTGCCGTGGCCAAAATCAGCGAGGAGACCGGCTATATCAACCTGCTGGTCAACAACGCCGGGACTCTCGGCCGCGTGCACAACGCCATCTCCCGACCGCCACCCCACAAGAGTCTCCCAAGCCAGTTCTCCCGCCAGACTGACGATGACCTGACCAACGTTCAGGGTATTCGGGATTTCCTGTGGAAGGATGAGTTTTCTGACTGGGACAACATGCTGCGAACCAACGTCTCCGGCGTATGGTTCCCCAGTATTGCCTTCTTGGGTCTTCTTGACAAGGGGAATTCGGAGGAGAATGTTGTCCAGAAGAGTCAGATCGTGACAGTCGGGAGCGTCGGGGCTTTCATCCGGATTTTGGGCACGTCCTTCTCCTACAACCCCAGCAAGGCGGCCGCGAACCATCTCGCGAAGATGATGGCGACGAACTTCGTGCAGTGGGGCATCAGATCGGTATGTGGACCTTGTCTTCGCATGAAGTTTTGAATTTAATACTAAAGAGCGGTCAGAATGTGATTGCTCCGGGCTACTTCCCATCCGAAATGTCAGTCGGAAAGGGAAAACTGGATGAGAACAACAGGAACCATATCAACATCGCAATCCCACCAGAGGAGGTTCCGTTGGGCAAGGTCGGAGATGAAGAAGACATGGCTGCTGCCATCCTGTTCTTAGCCGGGAAGGGAGGAAAGTATCTGAATGGCAATGTTGTGATCACGGACGGTGGCCGTCTTGGGATCAGCCCCGCAGTGTATTAAATTCTTAAAGACACTGGCAATTCGCAGAATTAGAGATTGAACTTTCTTGAATTAGCAAGGTTTCAGATCACACAGACTCGCACCAGGTGGTAATATCTCAAATGTTATGATGTCGAGCGGATTCAGCTGGCTGAACCCTTGTGCTCTACGTCACATGGCGATGATATCTTCAGGAAGCGGTCGAATCGCACGCATACAGTGTCACTGAATGAGAAACTGCTACACGAGTTTGATGCAATTTCTAACAGCACGAGCCTGAGTGCAAAAAGTCCTAATTTCTCACTTGTTATTCCATTATTGCAGCAGAGAAAAGAGACCAGGTGACATGATCCATTTCATGTCACCTCACTTGTACATGGAAGGGGAGGCCAGGGTTTAGGCTGATGTAAACTTGGTGCAGCAAGCGAGTTCCGAAGGGGAAGGGGGATTCATGATTGATTGATGGTAGAGCTCTGATCAAGATGACACCAATGTTTTAAGCTGAAAGAGGCACATATGAACTCCAAATAAATTTCTATTATCAATACATTTGAACCGCTGATGTGTTAGACGCTTGCTCAAGGAACATCCTGATGTAGCTGAGCAAGTTCCATCCGCTTTCCACCATCCACCTCAACCCAAGTCTCCCAGTCCCTATGTAACCATGTATCCTCCGCGCTCAACAATAATCAGGATCCAACACCTCAACCAGGATTCTCGACAGCGCCTGCGATGTCATCTTCGTGGCGGGAACCCGATGGAACCCCGAGCCCCGATACACGAGAACCCTGTCATTGGAGTCCTCGCATCTCTTCACTAAGCGGAAGCATCTCTCCTCTGCGACGACGGGGTCGGTGGAGCTGATGAAGTGGAAGATTGGCGTCTTGATGATGGGATTGTAGTATTTTTGCAGGCGCTCGTCATCCTCGTGATAGCCACTGTACGAGATGACCAGCCGTAGTGGGCCATGGAAGGTGGTGAAGGTCGAGGGGCGCATGCGCTTCGGCCTCTCCAAGAACGCTGCAAGCAGGCAAGCAACAGTGGCGCCCTGCGAAAATCCAATGATGCCGTCAAATGGCCCCTCCTCGTCAAGGACTCTGGAGAGATAGCCGAATGTTCGCTCGGGGTCTTTTGGGTCCCACCATGCATATGTTGGTTCGCCCGAGGCTGTTGGGACCGACAGATATGGTGCGCTGATGTAGAGGAAATCGACTTTGTCCCCTGCGATTTGCTCAAAGATCGGCTTCAGGAACGGCGTCTCGGACTGCATGATTGCAGCCGACTGCTGGTACCCATGGAGACAGAGGAACCTCATTTTGGAGCTCAAGCGGGAAGTAGAATGGAATGTGACAGATGATTGCGAGGGAAGGAATTGGGTTGGAGTCTTTGTCTGCCCATTTCGCTCGGCGAGAGGAAATCGGTCATATATAGTATGAGCAGCTTAGTATTACATCATTCAGCGATTTCTTGAGGCAACCAAGCGCAGGCTCAGAGCCGTGCTTCTGTACCTCCAGCGCAGAATTCTTGTCACAATGTGAAACATTTTACGAGGTCCACGTGAAAAGACTGGAACCCTCGGCTGTAACTGCAACTACCAAAATTTTCTGCAAAAACACCATAATAATGTTCTATTATTATCAACATTTCATATGTATGTATATATGAAATCTTCAACCCCTTCCTGTTAAAGTATACTAATTTTTAGTCATCTTTTCTGATGATAACTACTGATTAATCATATTTGATCAAAAGATCCAGACATGAGATCCGCATTTCTATTAGTGATATGCATGTCTTGAATGCAGTGCTGTCCAGTCATACCGAAGTTGCCAGAGGGGAAAGGGGCTTGCACAGGGCTGAGACAGAGGGGATCGAACACCCAAGGACTGCTTATCTCGATCGGGGTCCATTGTGCAGAAGCAGCTTCGGCATTGCGATCCTCAAGTCGTATTCTTGTTGGTGGAGGCCTTGGCGAGGCTCCATCAGTAGCCGAGCTATCTTGTTCGGTATATGGACTAGTATCCGCTTGTGGAGTCACTGTACCGACGCACATGGCATCCATGATATCGGGCCGTCGGTATGTACAACCCGCTGGTGGAGTCATGGACCGGGCTGTCGGGATCCGCCTTAGTTGTGAACTCTATTTTGTGGACTCTGCACGGCTACACATCTGGGCTGCTCCAGAAATTTGGCTTTGGCATCGGTAGAGACGGAGTCGTGAACGAGGCTCGGCTTGACAGGGCTGGGATTTACGGGTCGGATCTTGTTACCAACTTGTGGGATCTTTCAAACTTTCCACGTGGAATTAGCCATCATGATTCTTTCCGAGGCCCCAGCGATTTCTGCAATCTCGGCGGGCAGCGGGCTGCAAGATGGCCGAATTGTGCAATGTGGTTATCAGATTCCAAGAACATCCAGCTGGTGTTGACGAGTTGAAGCGCTCCCTCATAAGACTGATCATCCGCAAGCTTCTGTCACATCCAGACTCTAGACTCTCGCCAGACCTCATCTTCTTGTCCACGTGAATCCACCTTGCCCTATACATCACTTCCCTGTACTTAGTAATTTAATCACCCGTCTACACCGTTGAGCATCATCCGCAATGGCACCATACCTAGGAGCAGTCAGCAACACCTCGAGCTCAAGCTCGAGGAGCCCCAGCCCTCACAACGAGCCCTCCGCCGAGTTCAATGGGCCCGAACCAATTGCCATTGTGGGAATGGGTACGTTGTTGCATGTGCTCTACCCTGGGCGACGAGAGCTAACATCAAATTCAAGCCTGTCGATTCCCGGGTCAGTCTGACACCCCGGACGACTTCTGGCAGATGCTTGTAGACAAGCGATCTGGGTACTCGGAGCCGCCCTCCAACAGGTACAACATCGACGGCTTTTATTCTGAGAAATCCAAGGTTGGAACACTGGGCCTCAAGGGGGGTTACTTTATCTCCGACCAGTACCAATTCGATCCACCTTTCTTTGGGATCACGCAAACCGAGGCGGTGGCCATGGACCCTCAGCAAAGAAAACTGCTCGAGTGTGTTTACGAGGCACTCGAGTCCGGAGGAATTCCACTGGATAGCGTGTCCGGCAAGAATGTCGGCACCTATGTTGGCAACTTCACCTACGACTATGCCATCATGGCTCTGCGGGACATGGAATACCCCAAGCCTTACAGTATGACTGGGCATGGTGCGACCATCCTGAGTAACAGAGTCAGCTATGTCTTCAACCTCTGCGGTCCCAGGTTTGTGCCCGCCCGTCTCGAGTCACAGTACCCGGCGGAGATGCTGACCTCCCCACAGTTTCACGATCGACACGGCTTGCTCGTCTTCGCTGTACGCCATCCACATGGCTTGCCGTGGACTCTCGAGCGGCGAAGTCAATGGAGCCGTGGTTGGCGGTACCAACATGATCCTGGATGCGGCAGTCCAGATGACAGTTGACAAGATGGGCGTTCTTTCACACAGTAGGTTGATTCTACCAAGTTGTCATTCCAACAGCAGACTGATCCGGGAATCACAGCCTCGACCTGCCACACGTTTGATGCCTCAGCCGATGGGTACGGTCGGGCTGAAGGTGTTGGAGCCTTGTACCTGAAGAGGCTCTCCGATGCCGTCCGCGACGGCGACCCAATCCGAGGTGTCATTCGAGGTACTGCTGTCAACGCAAATGGCAAGACCAGCGGTATCACACAGCCCAGCGCGATCGGCCAGGAAGCCGCTGCGCGTGCAGCCTACGAGTTCGCTGGAAACCTCAACACCGACGACACGTCCTACTTTGAGTGCCACGGAACTGGTACCCCCGTTGGCGACCCAATTGAGCTGAACGGCATCACCAACCTGTTCCTGAAGGACAGCAGGCGGGACTCGCTCTTGGTTGGAGCTGTGAAGACCAATGTCGGCCACGCCGAAGCCGCCAGTGCCATGGCTAGTGTAATGAAGGTGGTGCTCGCTATGGAGACTGGAGTTATCCCCGCCACCATCGGCATAAAGAACTTCAACCCGAAGAGTAAGGCTGCGCCTCACCACCGAGCTTGACTTTTTCCTCTGCCTGAATTTACTAACAAACTCACAGTCGACTTTTCCAATGGCCGCCTGCAGGTCGCAACCGACACAACAGAATGGCCGGCCGGGTACAATGTGCGACGTTCGAGTGTGAACTCGTTTGGATATGGCGGTGCCAACGCACACGCCATCATCGAGTCGGCCGAGTCGTATCTGCCGGGCTACAAATCTTTCAAAAGACGCGGCAACACGACCAAAGCTATTACCTCAGCTCCGGCCGAGGTTCGTGGCAGCCGCTCTCTCAATGTCCACGAGCGAACGCAGTTTCTGCTTCCGTTCTCCGCCCAGGACTTCCCAAGTCTCAAAGCCAATGTCGAGAAGCACAGGGAGGTGGCATCGCAATACGACCTGCCCGATCTGGCCTTCACACTGGGCACCCGACGCTCGTTCTTTTTCAACCGGGGATATGCGATTGCGTCGGCGGATAGCATTGCGGATGACCTTGACTCGGAGGAGATGACCTTCGGCAAGCGAGGAGGCGGCGCAAAGATCGCCTTCATCTTCACAGGCCAGGGTGCTCAGACTGCGCAGATGGGCAAGGAGCTGATGGAAACCGTTCCCAGCTACCTCAAGAGCATCCGGGACATGGACCGTGTCCTCCAGAGCCTCGGGGAGGATGCGCCAGAGTGGAGCATCGAAGAGGTCCTCCTGGAGCCCAAGGCGACCAGCGCCATCGACCAGGTTCACCTGTCGCAGCCGCTTTGCACCGCCGTGCAGATCGCACTTGTCAAGCTGCTTCGAGAATGGGGTGTCACCCCAGTGGCCACTGTCGGTCACTCCTCTGGCGAAATCGCGGCTGCTTATGCTGCTGGTGCCATCACGGACACGCAGGCCATCCTCGCCGCATACTTCCGTGGTGTTGCGGTGGGCAAGCTGACTTCGCAGGGAACCATGTTGGCTGTGGGCCTTGGACCCGAAGATGTTGAGCCTTACCTCGAGGAGGGTGTCCGCATCGCTTGCTACAACTCCCCCCAGAGCGTGACCCTCAGTGGTGACCAGGACGCCGCTGCAAGGGTCCAAGCCAAGCTCGAGGCCGACAAGGTCTTCGTTCGGGCTGTGAGGACCAGCGGCCGCGCCTACCACTCTCATCACATGAAGGAAGTCGGAGGCATCTACGAGGAGTACGCCAACCGCGGGTTCGCCCGCATGGACACTTTGGGATTCCCCGAGCATGAGAAGGGCGTGCAGCAACCCGTCTTCGTCTCCTCGGTCACAGGCGTGCCCAAGGTCAACTTCCAGCCAGGCCCTGAGTACTGGAGAGAGAACCTGGAGTCCCCCGTCAGGTTCTCCCAGGCCGTGACCCACGCTGTTGGCATGGAGGAGCTGGGCATCAACCACATCGTCGAGATTGGTCCCCACTCCGCCCTGGCTGGCCCTATCCGACAGCTCCGCGAGAAGCTGGGGCTCAGCTCTCGAGACCTCGAGTACTCGGCCACTCTTGCTCGTGGCGAGAACTCCGTCACACGCCTCCTCGATCTCGCAGGAGCCCTGTTCATCAAGGGATACCCGGTTGACCTTGGCCGTGTCAACGCCATCGAGGAGATCGACAAGTCCGGGAAGCTCACCCTGCGAAAGGGGCTTCCTCTGGTCGACCTCCCCCGATACACTTGGAACTACTCGGCTGGTGAGCTCCGGGCTAAGCACCGCATTAACCTGGACTTCCAACACCGCAAGTTCCCTCGTCACGATCTTCTTGGCAGCTTGCTCCCAGGTACGATCAGGGACCAGGCTCAATGGCGCAACATGTTGGACATCCACGAGCTGCCGTGGCTGGAGCAGCACAAGCTGGGGCCTCAGCCCGTTCTCCCTGCGACTGGCTATCTTGCGATTGCCGTCGAGGCTGCACGTCAGTTCTTCTACGACAAGATCCAGCTCGAGGGTCCCTTCAAGTACTTCTTCCCGCGTGTCTCGATCAAGTCGGCTCTCAACCTGACCCCCTCCGGCACCCCGACGGAGCTCATGACCAGCGTGCGCTTCCAGACCGTCTCAAATGCCGTGTCTTCTAAGGAGTGGCTCGAATTCTCCATCTCGTCGGTTGTTGAGGGAGTGTGGACCGAACACTGTGTTGGTACTATCGGAAGGCAGGCTGTTGACGAGCGGGCTCCTCTGTTTGACGAGAGCAAGGTGCAAGAGCCACGTACTGCACACACCTGGTACAGAGGATTTGCCAACGTTGGGCTCAACTACGGTGCTGCCTTCAACGGACTGAACAACATCCGGACTGACCCATGGGGCAACGAGTGTGTTGCAGACACCAAGCTGCTTCCTATTGATGTGCCCACCGACGAATCTCGCTACCTCATCCACCCGGGAACCATGGATACCGTCTTGCAAGGACTCTTGATCGCTGCCCACCACGGCTCCCTGACGGGGCTGACCAGGTCTTTCGTCCCTGTTGACTGGGAGGAGGTTTCCATCTACTCCTACGAAGGCACAAATATGCCAGCCCCAGCCCCAGCTGAGGCCAACGGACGCCTTCTTGCCCAGGGCAAGCAGAGCAGCTTGCGTGCCATCTACGGTGGAATCCAGCTCTTCGCGCCCGACGGACGAGTGCTGATGGATGCCAAGAATGTCAACTGCATCACCTACTCCGAGGGCCTGAACAAGAATTCCCTCGAGGATCGTCACCCGTACCTCCGTGTCCTCTGGAAGCCAGACGTCGAGGCGCTCGAGAAAGGCGCGTTGCCAGCGGCCGCATCTGGGTCCCGACGAACGTACTCTGCCCTGGAGAAAACCGTTCTCTCCATATTTGCCCGCAACCTGCAGAAAGCCGCCCAGACGTCAAAGGCTCCTTCCGCTGCTGTCTTGGCGGATGCAATCTCCGCCCTGAAGCTGGATGTTTCGGTCGAGGCACAGCCCGATGCTGCCAGTGTCGACCTGAGCACCTCGAAAATGGATGCCAACTTCTACCGCCTGGAGGCCATCTACACCTCTATGATGCTTACTCTGATGGGCGAAGAAGCCCCTGTGACCATCGACTCGGCACCCTTGGAGGACTCTCTGATCCAGACACTGGACCTGCTCGGTCACAAGTACGCTGGAATGAACATCCTCCAGGTCGTCAATTCGGAGGTGGATCTCGACCGGAACCTTCCTGCTCTTTTGCAAGGAGACTCCTCCCTCAAGAGATACAAGTCATTCACCTACCTCGCTGCCTCTGACTCTCTCGTGGAGGCTGCCGAGGAAGCTTACCCAGACGGGCGTGATATCTCCACTGAGAAGTCGACCCTGTTCGAGGATGGCAGTTACGGCGCACTGGAGGGCGAGACCTTTGATCTCGTCATCCTGCCAGACACTTCTTCCTTGAGCATTCCCGCCGAGGATGCGCTGAAGCGCCTCCAGCCCTTGCTCAACGAGAATGGCCGGTTCTTGGTCCACCAGAGCAACAACAAGCGCACCGCCCTGAACGAGCAGTTCCGCAAGGTCCTTGACTTCTTGTCCCGGGAGCTAGCCCCAGGGGGTGCTCAACCCGATGCCTCGTTCTCCGAGTGGAAGAGCACCTTTGGTAATCTCGAGATCAACACCTCGATCGCTGACCAATCCCCATCCGGATGGACTTTGCTGTCGGAGCCGTCGCAGGGCCCTCAGCCCACCCAGGAGATCGTCGTACTCTCCAGGGATGCCACCACTGCCGTTGCAGAGTTCTCTGCAGAGCTTACACAGACCGGCTACAAGGTCCAGTCAGCCTCTCTGTCGGACAGTCACTTCACTGCTAAGCCTGATGCCATCTACATCTCAATTGTGGAGTTGGGATCCAGTTTGTTCTACGGCAACCTGAATGCCACCGAGTTCAAGAATCTGCAGGTCCTGGCCGAGTCGGCTCAGGCAGTCTTCTGGCTCACATCTGGAGACTTGCTTGGAAAGGTCGACCCCAACGCAGCCATAGTCCAAGGCTTGGGTCGTGCGCTGCAGACAGAGAACGTCCAGCTGTCCTTTGTCGCCATCGACCTGGACCACTCCGATGCGGCCAAGGCGGCCAAGCAGACCGCACGAGTCCTTGCGCGGTTCACCAAGGAGACCGACAGCATTGACAAGGAGTACATTGTGAAGGACAATGTGTTCCATGTCAGCAGACTGGCCCAGGACGCCAACCTGGACCAGGAGTACGGCGAGATCATCCGCAAGGAGGCAGTGAACGAGAAATATGATCCCAAGGAGCCCATCCGTCTTGACATCGAGAAGATCGGCCTGCTCGACACCCTGTACTTCAAGACCGATGATCGCTCTCGTGAGCTCGCGGCCGACGAGGCCGAGGTCGAGGTCAAGGCAGTGGGTCTCAACATGAAGGAGTACGCAACTTTCCGTGGCAGCTTCCACTCAGAATCCCTCAGCCACGAGGGCTCCGGTATTGTGCGCCGCGTCGGTGCGGGCGTGACCGACGTCAAGGTCGGAGACAAGGTCTGCTGGATGGGCAAGGGCCTCTTCGGCAACATCGAGCGCTTCAAGGCCATCCACCTCCACCAGATCCGTGAGGAGGACGGCCTGAGCTTCGAGGAGATCGCCGGCATGCCGCTCGTCTTCGCGACAGCTGTCTACGGCCTGCTCTACCTCGGCCGTCTGAAGAAGGGCGAGAAGGTGTTGATCCACTCCGCGACTGGCGGTGTCGGTCTTGCTGCTGTTCAGGTCGCCAAGATGGTCGGCGCCGAGATCTTTGCTACTGTCGGCACGCCCGCCAAACGTGAGTTCCTGAAGCGCGAGTACGGCCTCGACGACTCGCACATCTTCAGCTCGCGCGACACCTCCTTTGCCGCTGGCATCATGGCTGCCACCAACGGCTACGGTATCGATGTCTCGCTCAACTCCCTGGTCCGCGAACTGCTTGCGGCCTCATGGAGCGTCATGGCCCACAGCGGCCGTCACATTGAGATTGGGCGAACTGATATCATGGAGTTTGGTATCCTTGACCTGAACGTCTTCAAGCGCAACACGACTTTCAGTGCCTTTGACTTTGGTGTTGTTGCTGATGATCAGCCACGTAAGTTACAATGATTTGTATTTTGCTCAAAGAGAAACAGAAATGCTAACATTTATTCCTAGAAATCGTTGCGGATGTCATGAAGGATGTCATGAAGTACCTCCGCGAGGGCAAGATCCGGCCTCTCCAGCCACTTGCTCTCTTCAATGCTACCGAGGTCGCAGCAGCATTCGCAGAGTTTGCCAACCCGCACAGGATTGGCAAGGTCGTCGTGTCCTTCAATGCCGATTCTGCCCTTCCTGTCAAGCGGGAGCACAGGAACGCCGTCAAGTTCAGGCCGGACGGTACATACGTGCTCATTGGCTGCCTGGGCGGTCTCGGCCGGACCCTTGCCCGCTTCATGGTCGAGCGCGGCGCGCGCCACCTGACGTTCCTGGGCCGCTCGGGAGCGGACAGCAAGGACGCGGCCGCCATGGTCGAGAGCCTGCGGGCGCGCGGCTGTGCCGTCCACGTCGTGCGCGGCGACGTGTCCAACAAGGAAGACGTCGCAAGAGCCGTCGCTGCTGCCGGAGTCCCCGTCTACGGCATGGTGCAAGGCGCCATGGCCCTCGAGGACAAGCTGTTCAGCAAGCTTGACCTCCCTGGCTGGCAGTACCCCATCGACCCCAAGGTCCGGGGAACCTGGAATCTGCACGAGTGCCTCGCTGGCCAGCCCCTGGACTTCTTCGTCATGCTCTCCTCCATCTCCGCCATGACCGGTGCGCCGACCCAGAGCAACTACTGCGCCGGCAACACCTTCCTGGACTTCTTCGCCCGCTACCGTGCCAACCAGGGCCTGCCAGCCACGACGGTCGGCCTCAGCATGGTCCTGGAGGTCGGCTTCGTGTCGCAGAACCTGGCCATCGAGCAGGGAATCTCGCGCTCCGGCATCCACGGCATCACGGAGCGCGACTTCATCCTGCTCATGGAGCAGGCCATGAAGCCCGGCCGCGTCGGCGACTGGCGCCTCGACCCGGGCGCAAAGAACTTCCTCGTCAGCGGCCTCGAGCCGGCCAAGCTGGCCGAGGACCTCGACGTGCACGGCTTCCGCTTCTGGCTGCAGCCCCGCGTCGGGCCCCTGCTGACGGCCATCCAGCGCAGGAGCGAGGGCTCCGGGCGCGGCGGCTCAGGCGGCGCCAGTGCCGTCCTGGACCTGCCCGCCATCCTCGAGGCGACCGTCGACAAGTTCGCCAAGACGTTCATGATCCCCGCGGATGATGTAGACCCCCTCAAGGCGCTCGTTGCCTACGGCATGGACAGCATGATCGGGACGGCGCTGCGCAACTGGTGCTTCTCGACCTTTGGCGTGGATATTCCTGCCTCTGACTTCATGGGCCCCGTCCTCACTGCCCAGTCACTTGCGGAGAAAATCTTCGCGGGCCGCTCATGAGGATAATAGATTTTTGTTGTTTTTGCTTTTCGTCGAGATAGGCGTTCCTGTGGGACTGTACATAGACATAAATTCCATATTCTTTAGAAACTACTTACAATGGTGCGAAATCGTCGAGACAGCTTGCCAGTGAGTTTCGACGACGTTGGAGAGGCCTCCACGTTGAAATTCCGGGGCCTCTAGAAGACCGTAGATGCGCTCCTCCAAACTCGGAGGGAGTGGAATTTCCAAATAGCGAGTGGAATAGGGCCATATCCTGCCTGCCTCGCACCTTCACGTAATCCCTCCACCACGAGTTCCAACTTCGACCTGATACGCTCGTGCTCCATCCTGCGGTCGCTCAAGGCTGCTGCTATACGAAAACGATGCACAAGAACAAAACATTCCGAGTCGCTGCAAGTTGCCAAGCCTGGTAAACGGAGACATTTAGCACGAGATTCACCGCACGTCAGACATGAGATCCAATGACTATCGGTGGGGAGGGGGCTCCTATATAGGGACAATCTGTATTTTGTGCAAACTTTATCGAAGGGAAGATATCCTTTCAACGAGATGTCGGCATGCACATCAACCGTGTGAAAATACTGTATAGCAACAGGAGTTAGATTCATCCACCCGGAGACGCGTAACTGGCAGGGCCCATAGATGTCAAGTGGGTATCCGGGTCTCACTTCTAGCCTATTCAGTGCCATTGTGCTCGGAAAAGGGGCGCGACGAAGAACCCGTGGGCCCGTATGGGCCCAGAAGCCCAAGGATTACAAAGACGGGGACATGAGAGGTGAGTTCCGTGGCCCGTGTGCGGTATCCAGGGGCAGCTGTGGGTAGGGGCCACCCGGCTTGATACAGTAGGTAGGAGAGGCTCAACGGGTCCATCCCGTCCTGACCCATAAAATAGGGTTACGAAGTAGACTTGATACCTAGGCACCCTTGTTCTTCACCCCTGTCCCAACTCGGATGAACGCAGCACGGCGAATGACTTCAGCGCCGAATGCATGCGGAATGATGAATTCCGCCCCCCCTGGTAAAGACGATGTTGTCAGATCCAACCAACGGTGAATGTACCGTGGTTAAACGGTCCCATGGTAAATTCACCATGAATTTACTAGGGAACGGTAATTCACCGGTAATTTATCATAAATTCATAGTAAATGCCTAAGGCACTAAGATTTACGGATAAAAACCAGCCCTTATTATTCATTAGCTTAAAAATAAAATAATAATTAAGCAATTATTATATTAAGTATTAAAATTAATTATATTTATAAAGATTTTATTATAAAATATATATAAAATTTAATAATTAAAAGTTTTATTATTTTTATTAATTAAGAATTATAATTAATAACCTAAATATTAAGACCCTTATATTTTTTTTAATAAAAGTAATTAATTAAAATAATTAAAATTATAAATTTAAATTATAAGTTATTATATATTAATTTAAATTATATATTTATAAAAAGATATTGCTTTTTTTTATATTTAAAATGTTAAATATATATTATAAGAAATATATAAAGAAATTATATATATAATAAAATATTTAATTATAAATAATATAAAGTAAAAAAGAAAATAAAAAAATTATTTAAGAAAAAGAATAAGGTATTTAAATAATAAGCAATTTAATTAAAAATAAAGTTAAATTTTTTAATTAAAACTTAGCTTAATTTAAATAACTTAAAGCAATTTAAAAAAAATAATAAAAAAAAGTAAATAAATTTACTTAATAAATATTTTAAATAATATTAAAAATTTATAAGGTAATATATTATTAACTTAAGAATTTATTATAAAAGTAATATAAAAATCTTTAAAAATAATGCGCTTAAATTATAAAAAATAAAATAAAATAACTTTATTAAGTATATAAAAAAATCTTTTACTTATTAAAATTAGCTAAAAATGCTTATATATAAATTAATTAATAAGAAAAGATAATATTTAAGGGAATTAAAAAGAATCTTTTAAAAACTTAAAATATTATAATATAATTTTTAAACTTTTTATAAATAATTAAAGGAATTATACTTATATAAATAACTTTTTATAAATAAATATAAAAATAAGTAAAAGTAAATAAAAGCTTTAAATATTATAAAATAAAATAAGACTTTTGTTAAAAGTTAAAGAGTTATTATAACTTATAAAAGGGTAAAATTATAAAAAAAGCTTTTATAATTATTTATAATAGCTTAAATAGTTATAATAATAAAAATAAAAATACTTATATTATTAAAGATTTAAAAGCTTTGTAATAAAATATAAATAAATCTTATAGAAAAAAGTATAAATAAGCTTTTTTAAGAAAATTCTTAAAAGTAAAGCAATATATTATATATAAATATTTTTATGCCTTTATTAAATGCTTTTATATATTTTTTAAAAAGGCTTATAAAAACTAAAAGCTAAATAAGAAAATTTAATAAATAATATAATATATACTTAATAATAAAGCTAATCTTTAAGTTAAGATTTAAGCTCTTTATAAATTAAAATTTAAATTTAAGTTTTAAACTTTAAAGTTAATTAAAAAGAAGTTAATATAAAAGGTTAATAATTAATTATTAAGGTATTATATAGCTAATATTAAGGCTAAAGAAGCTTTTATTATAAATGCTATAAGAAAATATTTTTTAAAATATTTAATAATATTAAATTTAATAAGTATAATTTTAATTATTAATAATAAGTAATAGCTAATAAATTTATAATTAGCTATTTATAATAATTATATTTTTATAAATAATTATTAATTATTAATTATTATATATAAAATAATATTAATAAAAATTAATAATTTTATTTTATATCTTAAAAATATTACTTTATATTTATAAATTTTAATTACTTTTATTTCCTTAAAGTAACTTTAAAAAAAGAGTATATTTTAAGATAATAAGCATAAATTAATTACCCTTTAATAATATAATAAGATAATTCTTTATTAATTTATAAATATTTATAATTAATATATTATTAAATATTATCTTAATAAAACCTTAAACTTTTTTAATATATAAAGAAAGAAATATATAACTTATACTTAAAAAAATTACTTATAAGCAAAGCTATCCTTTAATATAAAAGATTTAGCTATTTAAAATTAAAAGCACTTAAATATTTAATAAATTTATTTTAAGGAATATATATTTATAAATTAATTATAATAAAATGCAAAGCATGCGCTTTTATTAAAATTATATAATAAATTTATTAAGAATTAAAGGAAATTTATAAATAAAAAGATAAAAGGATTGCATTAAACTTTTATAATTATAAAGAAGGAATTTATAGCTATATATTATAACTTTTATTTATATATAAAGTTTTTAGTTATATATAAGATTATTACCTTATAAGCTAAAATAATAATAGCTTACTTTATATTTTTAAGTTTTTTTATAAAATAATGAAATAATAATATAAAATTAAGATTAAGGTTATTAAATATAATAAGGAAATTTTTAATTATAAATAAGCTATTAAAGACTTTCTTAAATTTAAGTATATTAAATTAAAGCCCTTAGCATTAAATACTTAAGTATAAAATAATAATGCTAAGCGTTTAAGAAATATAATTAAGAAAAAAATGCATATAATATAAATAAGTTTAAAGCTATTATACTTATTATAATTAAAGATTAAAAAAGTAATAATATATTTTAATAATTAAATATTAATATATAATTTATAATAAAAAATACCTTATTTTAAATTTTATAAAGTAATTATAATTTATATAAGAATTTTATAATTAAACTTAAAATTAAATTAAGCTTATTTATATATCTTTAAATATAAGGCTTATGCTATAATATTTAATACTTAATTAAGAAAAAATAAATATTAATAATTAAAACTATAAGTATAAATAAGCTATTTAATTAATTACTTCTTATTAAATATTTATTAAATATAAATTCCCTTTATTAAAAAGATTATTAATATAAGAAATATAATTTTTAATAAATATAAATAATTTAATAAAAATTAAAAAGGATTTAAAAATAAACTTTTTATTATAAATATTAAATATCTTAGAAAATAAATAAAAGATTATGCTTTTTATAAATAAAATGAAATATTAAACCCTAAAAAAGAAAATTTCTTTAAGGATAACTCCTTAAAAGATATTTTAAAAAAGGATTAATTTATATTAAATTGCAAAGAAAGTATTAATAAAAACGTAAAGGCTTTAAAAGAAAATATAAAGAATACCTAAGAAAAGCGATTTATAATAAATTAATAAAATAGCGCTTATATAAATGCAAAATTTAAATTACTCCTTATGCCTTTGCAAACTCTTTTATTAATGCTTTTAGCTTATGCTATTTAAATAAAATTAATAAAAGAAATCCTATCTTATAGTAAATTTATTATAAATATATTATAATAAGTTATATTTATAGCTAATATTAAAGCTACTTTAATAATAATATTTAATGAAAAGATATTAAATAAGGTATAAATTAAAAAATGTTTATATTAAAAGGTAAAATTATAAAGAAGTAGCTTTTTAAAATTATTATAATAATATAAAAACCTTAAAAACCATTCTTTTAAATATTTATTTAAATAAATAAAAGCTAATTACTTATAAAATTATAAAGAAATGAAATTATAAATTAAAATTAAAAAAAAAAACCCTTAAATAACTAAAAAATAAATCCTTAATTATATATAAATTTATATTTATAAGTTTAATAAGTATAAATAATTTAAAAAGTGCAAAGCTTAATTAATTATTTAAGGAAATTAATAAGCAAAAGGGTAAATATAAGATATTTATATAGTTACTTTAATAAAATAATCCTTTTATATACTTATAGTAATTATAATAAAGTTTAACTTAAAGCTTATATAATATAATATTGTAAATATCTTTATATATACTTTTATTAATTAAGATATATTTATATAAATGCTATATAAATACTAATGAAAAAAAACCATTTTACTATTAAATAAAGCGCTTTATAGCCTTTAAATCTTATTAT